TTCCAGGGCTAAAGAAAAAAGGAACAATGACGTGAAAGAGCAGGCGATAGTTATTTGCTTAGTTTCATAACAAATGCCTCTCTAAGTCGGAATACGTTTGTACACAGGTGCTTCCGGAAGCCTGCCCCAACCAGCAAGTGATGGTTCATCTAGTTAGTGCGATCCGCGTAATGCCTATTGACACCTTAGTACATACTGTGCATCAAGTAGTGAAGACACCACCGCCGATACACGGTATCAAACAAGACTTCTCGTTGGAAGTCTCGGTGCTAGAACTACTTTACGTGTACATGCAAAGTAACACGTCACAGTCGCTCATCGAGTCTTGGGCGTCCTTGCTCAGTCTGCTGAAGGACGGCCTATCGTTAACTGCGCCTGCGCAATTCCTCTTGCTGGCTATATTGAACGAGTATGTACAAAAGTGTCCGCCGATGCAGGAAAAAAAAGACATCAAGGATCTGCAAGACGTATCTGCGAAGGTAACGATGATCTTGCCTCGTCGACGAGAAAATGATCGCTAAATGTGCTCGACGAACATTCTACATAGAGTGAAAATCGATTAACCGGTTTGTAATAAGTTTAACGATTTAAGATTCGAATGATTTTCACCATGTCATCAATGAAATCCATGAAACTGATACGTTTATTATAATCTTAACATACACAGTTTAAAAAACCAAATGATTAACGGTTAACCAGTTAATCGATTTCTTTCGGTTATTCAAATATTGTGATTGATTAATTCGATCGATTATCCGATTATCGAATTTTGTGATTAACCAAGTTAAAAAAACAGACATTTAGTTTTAAATCGTTGAATCGGTTATAAATCGGTTGTTCGGATGTTAAATTAATCAGACAAAATCACTTGGCGTTATTCCAGCTGATCGAGTCGTGCTCGCAAATAGCCGGCGCGTGTTTGGAGCAAACGACGTGGTTGAGAAGGAACCTTGCCGTCCGAGAAGACGTTTTCGAAGTGGTGGAAGGCTCCTCGGAAGGTAAAGAAGGAAAGAATGGTGCTGGTGCGTAATGTGCATCTTATTTTTTAGCCATACTTGTAGAATACTCTTAACGTAGCGGCGGATTCTTTCTTTGCATTTTTTGTTTCCCGTTTTTCTTCTCAACGCGCTTTGTCCTCTCGGTTCCGCGATTTTGCATTGGCAAAGCAGCTTTCCCTCGCCGGCGTTTTCGCACACACTGATGGAAACTCTTACAGTGACACCCGGAACCCCGCCCAACGCGGCGTACAGCGTTCAGGCTCAAGCGGTATTAGCGGAAATACTCGCGCCACTGTTGGACGTTAGTTACGGCTCGCAGGAGAAAGAACGCGTGGTTACGCTGCTGACGAATCTCATGTACAACGTCACGCCTTACTTGAAAAATCACACGTGAGTCTCAGGAGCCGTCTGTGCGACTTTTCACTCGCGTTTCGGGACTTTCCATCTTCGCCCGAGTTCCCCGTTGCGATCCCGACGCAGGGAAAACGGCGTTCTGATCCCCTCGATTGGTAATCTTGCAGGATAAAGAACATCGCCTCGTTTACCGCTTGCTCTCAACTATTGGCTTCCTTGTCGGGGTACCAATACACGCGGAAAGCATGGCGCAAGGACGTCTTGGACCTGTTGCTCGATCCGGCCTTCTTCCAGATGACACCGGCGTGCTTGCCGTACTGGAGAACTATAATAGACAATCTGATGACGCACGACAATACCACCTTTAGAGATTTAATGAGTAATTAGCATGTATTCCGATATATTCAGCGTCTACGTAACCGTAGGAGCTGAAACTAACGTCATTCTACTGCACAGATCGCGTCTCCATGGCTCAAGGCAGCGGGATCAGTATATTCTCGTCGAAGGAGCAGGAATACGAACAAAAGGCGCAGCTGCTGAAACGTTTGGCGTTCGTTATTCTCTGCAGCGAGACGGATCAGTATCACAAGTACATGCCGGAGATACAAGGTGAGTGCCTGCGGGATCTTTACAGGATTTACACAAACACACATACACGTATAACTGTTGATTGGTTATTTTGCTTTCAGAACGTTTAGCAGATAGTTTACGCCTACCCCAAGTAATCCCGTCTATCCAGGCGCAAGTGTTTCTATGTTTTCGCGTATTGCTATTGAGAATGTCACCGCAACACGCGACGTCCTTATGGCCGGTCATAGTTAGCGAGCTTGTTCAAGTTTTCCTCTACATTGAGCAAGAATTGAGTACAGACAGCGAAGAGTTCAGGTACGCGAATTCTTCATTGATTCATGTTGCTTCCGAATATTGAGCAAACTCGCTTATGGGACGCTGCTGCTTCGTACTGTGCATGGTGTATGTTCATTTTGCGCGCTATACGCGATTGGTTACTTTATTTGAGGTATACCGAGAACATCTCACTTGGTATTTTCTTTGTGTATCTTCTTTTTTTTTTCCTTTTTTGATCGATCTTCGAAAAATCGCGTTGCTGTGGCTTCGACGAGTGTGCAACGTCGGCGTGATCGATAGTTACGTAGCGAAAGTCTTGCAGTACGTAAATTATCGGTGATACATGTTGGCATGATCGGTAGTGTTGTGCGCGTTTCGCATTGCATTAGATTGCATTCGGTGAGATAAGATTCGGAAATTACTAACATTCGCAAAACACTCGGCATATGAATGACGGACATTTGGATACATGTAGAACATGTAGAGTACACCGCACGAAAGATGTCGATGTCGTCATCCTCTCTTGAGGTTTTCAGTACATACATGAATAATGAGACTGATATAAATAGCGATGAATATCCGCAGAAAGTTCGTCTGTATACGTCCCCCACTAACATGGACACGAACCTAATATCGTACTGTTTTTGGCTCTGTTTCGGCATCCGCGGTTTGATGGGATTTGTGGTGCCTCCGTAACTTGAATGGTGTTGGGACAGCAGTCGTCATAGCAGGTAACTCGATGGTTCAATGCATATTCGACATATACCACGTGGCGTACGCATACGGTTAACATTGCTAAAGATATTAATAACAAAATGCTGCACGGGAAAAAAAGTTTGGTTGAATTTACCAGACAGTGAGCGAACCAAATGCGGTTTTGGTTGAAAAAACAGAATTTTTGGTTTTTATAGCCTAAATTTAATTTAATTTTTATAACCATTTTTATAGCCTAAATTTAATTTCATTTTTATAACCAGAAATTCGGTTTCCTTCGACCAAAACGCGTTTGAGGCTCGTTTCATTATCTAGTCAACTCAACTAATTTATAAGTATTCAAAGATACTTTGCACCTATAGTTTTAAAGTTTAGTGAAAAAAAAGAAAAAACATTTTTCTCTCATTTCCTCGGATTTTTGATTACCTAAGAGTACAAAAATTCGCTTAGAAAAATTCACAGGGGTGTATTCAGTTGGAACCTGTTATATTAATTTTTTTTCTATAAAGAAAATATAAAGAAACCAAAGAAATCCGCGGAAGGTTAGGAAAGAACGATATTTCCGAGATTCGAAAACTGTAAATTGTATCTATCAAAGTTACAATTTACCAAGAGTAAATACGTACTCAAAGTACAATATCACTACAGTTTGTAAAAAGCGAACAAATTTTCAAGGATCGAGAGTAAATAGATAAAACGTGATCCTCTCGGTACAACTCACACGTAACCGTATGCCGTGCGCGCAAAAATGCTCGAACTGAGTTCTGTTGGGAAAATTGTATATCGTTTGCGTTGGCTGAGCCGAACCGTCACGCTTCTCGGATTTCGAGCTCCATCGCGCCGAGCTGTCGATAGCGATCTGAATAATAACGGAGCCAATCACGTTTCACGCAGCTCGCACATCAAACTTCTGTCGGCCCTGGACTCCTCGTGGGCCGTTAACGCCAGCAATGGGCTGCAAGCGCACGGACATCCCCACTGGCTACAGTTGCAACTGGCCGCGGCTAAGCTGCTAGACCTGGCGTTGCTGTTGCCCGCGCATAGATTACCGCAATTTCAGATGTGAGTGTGGTCTCATCGGACAGTTGTTCGACGACTTGAAACGGCCGTGTCGTCTCACACGCCGAGCACGTATATATTTATTGTCTCGTCGATTTACAGGTACAAATGGGCGTTCGTCGGAGACGCGGCGGCTGGGTGCACGGACAACAATAACCTATCGTCGGACTTTGTACCGCACATTACGCGAATCGCGAAATTAATGGACAGTAAGGTGAGCTCGCGCGAATTCAAGCTCCGCTCTCGCGGCACGACGAATTATTTGGCGCGTGTGCCATCGGCCACGATTCCTCGTTTCTCGTGTTTCCGGGAGAAAACAGCTTCGCGTATACGAGAATACGTTGAGACTAGTGCTGTCATTATAATCTGGCTATTTCGCGGATTTAGATACTCGGGTTCTGGACCAGGGGTCGGATTACCTAGATTGTCCGAACAGTGTGGGCATGAGTTTTCAAATCGGAACCGATCACCGGATAATCGGATAATTGGGCTCGAATGGGGCTCGGCAATCCAGAAAACTACAGGAAATGATTAGTCCCGTTCTAGTGGTTTCTTTTCGCTGGACTGTGTTATATATTCGTTTCGTTCTAAAAGCAAGAAATTTAACCTGGTTCTCAGTTAAAAAGAACAAACTTAATAACATGTAACGTCTAAAATTAGAATCGTATACTCAGTTATCCGGAGGTATCCAAGTAATGCCCGAAAGATCTAGGTTACCCAGATAATCCCGAGAGACCTGGGCACCCGGGTAGTCGAAATGGACAGCGCTAGTTGAAACGGTGCATCGCACGAGGCAGCGAGTCGATTTCGCGCGAACCATTTTTTCATATTTGGTAATTGAAATCTTTCCCTTCCTCTTCCTTGTCCGACCAACATTGCTCTGGTGTCAGGCACTTCTGTCTAATCTCGTCGAAGACGTAATCCTCCTTGCATTCGCATCCGCTTCTGCACGGTGTGTAACAATCCACCACGTCCGGCTCTGTACATGTGAACTGACAGAGGCAATGCGTCCAAATCGACCGGTCGTCGCACTCCTGGTAGCCTCTGGAGCCTATGGAGGCGAACTCGTCGTAGTCGTAGCCGGGGATTCGGTGCTTGGTGTATCTGTACACCTTCCTGGGCAATTCGTACCAGTCGAGGTGCTCGGCGAACAGATTTCTCTCGAAAGAATCGACGTTGTTCCCGAAGGCGGTGAGGTGATCCTGAGACTTAGGATACGCGTTGCGTTGATTCCCCACTGCCTCGTCGTAATAATCCTCCGGCGCTGCACCGATGCGTCTCTTGTAAAAATTCCCCACGCGATCCTCCGACAAGTCTTCGTAAAAGTCAAAATCGTACTCGGAATCGTCCCTATACTCTGAAAGGAATGCGATAATGAAAATTTGTGTAATATTTAATTATTCGTTTTAAATTAATCTTCTCAATTTGTTTAAATGAAATCTAGAGCGGAAGGTTATTCTCGGCCGACAGGAAATTGAGCTGATTAAATCAATTCGTTGGAGCAGGTCGTTGCACCATAACTATATTTTCGTTAATACTCGTTAATTAGCATCAGTTAAGCTTACATGAAAGCCGTTTGAAGCATTGAAAATACGACTGTCACGGATAAAAAGCAAGATATTTCTCACATTTGTTTATACACTCGTGAATAATATTTAAAAGGGTTATGAGGCTCAGTGTCATATTTTCAATGGCGCATCAAGGGAGGCACTCATAAATTTAATATTTGTCAAATAAAATTACATTCCTATACATTTATTTATTATTTAAATAATAAATGTTAATTTGAAGTAAAGTTGAGGTAAACATATACACATAATATCACAAATATGAAAATATTATTTTTTATTTGTTTTATTAATGCTATATTTATGCATCAGTTAATCCAATGGAGATGTACAAATAATAGAAAAAGGTATATAAATATTTAAATATATGCAAATATATTTCGAGTATTACTATAAATTATAAACTTTGGCAACGTGTATTTCCAAAACAAAAAAATCAATAATTCTGAAATTTATGTATAATGTCTGCATATTAATCTTTAATATCATAGTAATTTTTCCTCCAAATCTTATTCTTAGTTTGGAAGATATTAAAAATAAAAATTAAACATAGCTAATCTCAAGGAACGCGTATAAAAAGTGTCAACGTTAGTTGCAAATATCTCAGCTCAATCTGTTTTCTAATTACACGAGCAGTTAGATAATATTTCAGTATATACATAATGCAAGTTTCACCGTATTCTTATCACTAATTTCTCTTTATAACCACCTTAAGAATGCGTAAGGAAAAAGTAAATTTGCAGATATAATGCAAGAACAACAATGAAAACGAAAGATCTCACTGAGCACTCTGCAGTAAGTCCGCGCGATTCCTTGGAGCAAACGGAGAAGCGAATCGAGTCATTTCGACACTCACCTTTGCCGAAAACCATCACAGTGCACAAAATGTAACAAAACAGAATCTTCAACGAGGCCATCGCTATTACGTTCGAACTCTCCTCGCAGACTTCTCATCGGCGAGCTCTGCGCCGACCGTTTGATTACTCTCTCAATTATCGACGCGAGTCTCAACTCTTATATAGGCTTCGCTTAGAGCAGTGTTTCTATTTAATGTGACAGCGCTACACAATGTATCACGTTCAATCCGACGTCTTCCGCTCGTACATATTGCGGCCGATTAGATACCGAGAATCTTAAAAATTTCGATTCGATCAAAACGCCGTCTTCGCCTTTCCTTTTCTCGTTTTTCTTTCTGCTCCAATTCCCTTGGTCGGAATTAACGTTGGTGCGACCACTCGAGAACGGGACTCGCGCAAACGATCGAGCTTGACGCACACTCTCGCCTCTGTCTGTTCCTGAAATACTTATTTTAGTATCGTAGGAATTATACATATGTTCGTTTTTGCAACTAAGCCAATACATGCTCTCTTGCCCGTCGAGCGAGCGTTGCACAACGCTCAGCGTCGAGACGGCAAGTGCTTTTGTCTTCCTTCAACGTTTTCCCGAACGTGCTTAATAAGTACAATGTCCACAGTGCGTTTGAACGAAGATCTCTGCACTATTCCCGGAGCCTTATACTGACATGTTTTCTCGTTCGCAGTACAAACCGGAAGGCCCATCGCCGAAGAGGAATCCAGGGGAGCTTCTGTTAACGTCCAACAATGTCCGTTCCCTGCAGGACTTGCACCATTTCTTCTCGAGCCTTAGTCGCGCCACGTGCGACACGCACGTGCCAGTAAATAACACACAATTGGAGACTGTGATCGAGCAGGACTTCCTTGAAAAAATGCCAGCTGTGCCAGCGAGATAGTAGGGGTGAAGGGAGAAGGTAGATAGTTAATACCCCTTTGTTAACCGGCAAGTGTAAGAGAGAAAGAGAGAGAAGGAGAGAGAAGGAAAGATATACCGTGATAAGACACCTTACCCTTTGATATATTTGTAAGAAAATGTATATAGAGAGAGGGTGTTTCACTTTCACCGCGCCCAAGCGTCGATACGTATTCACTATGTCGCGTAAGTGTGATAATGTGCGAACACTCGGGGGCCTTCTTCTGGACACAGGGCGAACGCCGAATATGCCTTTCTAATTCTAAGTTCCGCTTTTCTTACATAGACATGTCACGTGTTGTTTCAGCTCTGTAGAGTCAGAAAGGCGTATTTAGCGTTCCGCAATGCATCCGGCCACGGGAAACGACACGAGATCCGCGCTCCCGATTATTACCGTCAGAAAATACACGTCCATCAGAAGAAACAATACTTTCTTAGTCCGAGTAGATGAGAGGAGGTGCGATGAATTTGGAACACCCTGCGCTCGGATAAGTGTCAATCTCTCGAGGCGGAGTGAAGAGTTCGATAGAACGCGCGAGAACCGTTATTAGTTCTATTGCGGATAGAATCGTTGTAGATAGATAATAATGCGACATTTCTTTCGCGCAGTCGTTCTTGAACAAGGAGATCCGGAGCGTGTAGAATAATAAATCGAGCTTTTTGTTACTGGTTTTTTATTGATTAAGCTTTCGACTCGTCTCCTCATTCGGTTGTGAATAGTTATCAGCGTGTATGATACGGCAAGCTAAGCTCGCTCGCGTTGACCTGCTAACTGTAAGGTTGTACAGTACGTGGTGTGTACAGTGTAACATAATATTTAATAACGGATAAAAGGTCTTCCCGCGCTATTCTCTCGACATACGCACACGTCGTTCATGTTTTTTTTTTTTTTTTTTTTTCTGTCTCCNCGTTGCGTACAGGCATTCCCGTGCGAAACTTTATAGCACTGAACACGAGAATTCCCTGCGGGGCCGGCGAGGTGCCCTTACTGAAACACGATCGCATCGAGATAACGAAAGGTAGAGATTGGGGGAGATTCGGTAACGATAAACGATTCCTCCCCCGCTCGTAATATCGAACGAGCGAAAAGTGCAATGTTGAAGTGTTCATTGTTAGCAAGCACCAACTAACAGTAACGTAACATCAATGTTGTAATTTCCCACTCAACAATTTAACTGTTACATAATACACGCGTTATACTGCATTTATATTGTTGAGTGGGAGATTATAACATTAATGTTATGCCACTGTTAATTGATGCCGACCGAATATAGGATCCGCAAGCTCGCAAGTCTCGCTCGTGGTGAGCTTTCCCGAAGAATCGAGACACCTTGTGCGAGCAGCCCGGTTGTCCTCTCGACGACGCACCTGCAGTGATTTTTATATGCGTTATCGCCTGATATAAGCACAATCTCTTTTTTTCCATTCCGCTATTGGCGTCATCGAGACAACCGGCCCGCTTTACACACATACACACACACAAAAATAAACAAACCCCGAGCGAGGTAAAAGATCGCTATGAAGTCTCAGAAACCTCCTGTCCGTATGAATTATTTAATATAAGACTATTATATTATAAAAAGCTTTTTATTTTAACGAACCGACTTTTTATGCGAACTAGTAAATTATTACGATGATGCTACTTTACAGCTTGCTTGGAACAAGACGCTATATTTTTATGAGAATAAAAAACTACGCGCGATAATCATAAAAAAATCTATCTCCAAATATATCTGCTTATCTACAATCTACGGCATATTATCAAGCTTATGCACACACACACACGCGCGCACGCGCGCGTGCGGATACGTATGGTTAGAGAATAAAAGAAATTCGAAAATATATTGGAATATAGTGAAATACATATATAACAAAAATGTGTGTCGTCTATTTTGCTCAATAAAAATTTTGGAACTGTACCGAGCGTTCAACTCGTAACACTCATCTCGCTGCGGAGAAATAAAGAAAGGATAAAGGCGTCCCCTTCCCCTGGAATGTAAACCTGAATTAACGCTATATTAATTTTACCGATGGCAGAAATATCATAGAAAGTAAATTATACGAAACGAGGTCAAAAAATGAGTCTCTAGTCCATGCGCCTGCGCCCGGCGTTCAAGGATTCAAGAACGAAGGACCGTCGAAGGAGGACCATCGAGTCATTGAAATCGAGAACAGGTGTGCCGGGGCGTACCTTACATATTGCAGAGGAAAAAAATCCGGCAATCCCGCTGTAAAACGCCATACATTCGGCGGTGAATCGATGGCACGTGTTGCAGACGACACGACAACCGCTTCTCAAGCTCGTCCTGATTCGTCTCGAGCACAATGGCCTGTGCGCGAGTGGGCGCGAGTAGAGACGAAGAGGATAGGAGTGCGAGCGAGCGAGCGAATGAGAGAGAGAGAGAGAGAGGGAGAGTGAGAAGGGGAAAGAGAAAGAGGGAGGAACGTTAAGGCCGAAGGAGAGAAAAGGAGAGAGGGAGAGTTGCTGAAGAGCATCGTTTACATGGCGCTATGCGTTCCGATGAGTACATCACGTCCGAGGTCTCGAGGACAACGTGACGACGCTCGCCACCTTCTTCCGCCGCGTTCCCGTGATAGGTGCACGAGGTCCTCGGCGAGATGACAATAACGCGAGACGTGCGTGCACACCAGTAAACTCGACGCGAGGAAAACCGGTTCCAGCCGAGTAGTTGCACTTCAAAGGCTAATGCTGAACAAGCGAAGCAAGGCGCACAGGTGAAAGTGAAGTAATCGAAAGGAATACGCGGACGAACGGGCGGGCGGGCGACTGGAACGTCTCTCTGGCGTCTCTTCTTCTGGCCCAGGCTGGCCGGAAGCATGGAGACGCGCTTGTCCTGAGGCGCCCCGTCGTTGGCTCGCTGACAGTCAGCTAACCTAAATCGGACGCGATATCGTGATATCGGAACACGACAAGGCGTGACGGTGAGCGAAGTTCGGCGGCAGCCACGAGGCCTCCTGCACCATGGCCATGCTCGACAAGCTGGAGAACGTCTGCAGGCTGTGCATGGAGAAGAAGAACGAGATGATGCCGATCTTCGGCAACGAAAGTATGCAGCGCAAGGTGCCCCACAAGCTGCGCGGCTGTCTGCCAGTGCTGGTGTACCAGACCGACCCGCTGCCGAAACAAATCTGCCAATTCTGCGCGGCCAGGTTGGACGATGCTTACGAGTTCCGAGAACATTGCCTGGACGTTTTCAAAAAGATGTTCAACATGCTCCTCAAGTCGAAGCAGACGGAATCGGTGCGGATATTTTTGGACGCGATGACGAACTCGCAAGACCCATGCCAGGTTTGGTCCGATGATTTGATTTGCTTTGGAGATAACTGGTCTCTTCTTTTCTGCTGAATTAGCGCTGCACTAGTTCGAGAAATGTTCAAGTAAATTTCAAGTTTAGCTAATTCAGCTATAAGGAACAGATCAAAGGTCTGTTTCCTGTTCCCGAATTAAGATTGCACCGGAACATTGTTCCTTTTTCTTTCAACACTGAGTTATATACTTAGATCTGTTTTCTGTTCCTGAATTAGGTTGCACTTTTTATAATTAGAATAAGACAAGTATATGACTTAGCGTCAAAGGGGAAAGGAACAATGCGGCCCTATAGTTCAAGGATAAAAAACATACCTTTAATGTGTGTACATATATATATATATATATATATATACNAAGAAGAACCGATCAAATATTCTCAGTATTTTAAGGAATGTCATTCCAAGAGTAGATTTTTATCTGTAATTAATCGGCATTGTGCAATTTGACATTAGTTTTTGATGAGATTCTTTAATCGTTGCTCTGTTTCAATCTGCAGGCGCAGCTGTGCAAGAAATCTAGAGCACCACCACCTTTGGTCCCTTTGCCAAACTCACTGCCACTTGACAACTCATTGGCCCCGATCAACCAGATCGCTCAGGACCAACTGCAGAGCGCTTGTATAGAGACCCTGCCCGAACTGCCGTGCGAGGTGGAGATCAAAGAGATGACCGGAGACGCGAGTTTGAACGACCAAATTGCTGCCTGTGAATCGCCGAGCAGAGTGCCCAAATGGTTGGACACTTACATGACGGATGTGCCAACGATGATAAATACAGTTCCTACATTTGACATTACGGAAGAGAAGCGGACGTTCTCTAAAGCGGAGTACCAAGCAAGGAGAGAGGAGAAGCGCACGAGCATTTTGGAACAGGCGCTGACTGGTAACCTCACTATGAACAATATGGCGAAGAACAATCTGATGGTGGACCACCAGCAGAGGCTACAAACCAAAACGAGATTAACTACCGAATGGTGGTGCGCGCCGTGCAACCGATATTTCAAGTGAGTTTTGTTACTCCATAACACAGCGACAGCGATTCGTCAATTTAGTCAATGACCAGCGTTAATTGATTTCAGATCGAAGGACAGTCTAGTGAGACACCTGGAGGTGTTGTGCCCGCGCGAGTTCACTTGCAAAAGATGCTCTATATCCTTTGAGTCTGTGGAACTCTTGGCGATACACGAAGCTGACAATCATTTGAAAGTCGAATTAGACTCGACGAAAGACTTAAACGATTGCGATCAGTGCGACCGGCAATTTTTAAGCTGGAACATGTTGAAACAGCACAGACTGTGCGACCATTTGGCCGGATTGACTGAGTTCCTTAGAGATACACGGTGTTCATTGTGCAATAGGTAAGCAATTTAGAAACATGTTTCCTTTATCGACCACGCGCGCTATCATTCAATCGCTTGAATTATTTTTTCTTGATAAGTCACTAAACAATTCACTATGCTCACTTTCTTCCCTGAATTACCGTTTTTAATTAATTAAATTTATAAAATATCAAATATAATTTTGTCACCTTTTTTAATTAAAAAAAAAAAACTCCGAAAACGTACTTGTATCGTTCACGCTTTTGGTCTTATTATGAACTTTCGAACTGTATTATGAAAAGAACTCATTATACGTTAAGTTATCTAAAAATAAACCTCAAGGTAAGAATGTTTTTTTTTTGCTTAAATGATCGTAATTGTTTGGAATATGACAAAAAATATCACTTCTCGTCATCTTCTCTACTAAGAAGCTATCACTATTTCAATTTTTTTTTTATTCCGGTGATTGAATGACAGCGCTATTTATCGTCTCTCGGATGTTATGTTCACTCATGCGAACTTCGATACTGTCTGAGCACACATATACGTGTTTGCTTTTAGGTTTTTCCCTACTGTACGAGCCTATCAAAACCACATGCAGTTGCATCAAACGAACGACAGCTTGGTATTACCGCAGAGATCATTTTCAGCGGAGCCCACGTTTCCCATGGTGAAGATAGCGGAACGAATGGGGGAAGTTAAGAGGGTAGATCCATTCTACGAAAACACGAAATCCCTCAAGTGTCCCACATGCGGAAAGGTAAGAGTCCATCCATCACGTTATCGTAAGGAGAAAGGGTCCTGATTTTATGACGGTCGGGTTAAAATCACGTATTTGCCGCCAGGTCTGCACGGCGCAAAGCGCGTTGTCGAACCACATGCGTACCCACAAGCCGAAGAAATACAAGTGCAATTTTTGCGGCCGGTTGTTCGGACTTCTTATACGACTGGCGGCGCACAAAATGTCGCACGATAAGCAGGCGGAGGTATCACCGGTGATGTCGGCAGTCGAGCAGGAGGAGGCGTTGAACGCTGAGAGAGAAGCGAGGGAAGCGAGAGAAGCCAGAACCCGTGTGAATAAGAGACCTTACTCCGAGGTTTGTCCAAATTATTTTTCCTTTCTTTCTAATCGACGCATACAAGTGAATACAATGAGTGTATGATGTGAGACGTAGAGCCAAATTGAGATGCTTTAATTTCATCCGACGACCAATGATTATTCCAAAGATCTTAAATTGCTAATCATGAGAAAATATTCATATTCTACAGATTGATTGTTATGAGTAATTAACGATGGGAGGATAAAATTTAAGTATTATTTGAATGAAATGATTCTATTGAAATGATGTACGATACGAGATTAAATTACGATCGTCGTGTTTTCGGTTGCAGACAGTGGAAAATCGCGACGCTTCGCCGGAGGACGAGCCTGCCGAGTTCAAAAAAATAGCAAAATGCGGCATCTGTTCGCAGTGGTTCGGCGACCACACGACGATGCTGACGCATCTTCAGACGCACTCAGACAATTATAATTGTAAAAACTTCACGTGTCACGTGTGTAAAAAGTCGTTTAAAGAACAATGGCAGCTGGCTAGGCACGAAGTAAGTATTTTCGCAACATGGTTACTTTGAATTAGTCATTTGTCATGTTATCTCTCATTTTTTTTTTTCAACACGAGCCACTTTCTGATTAATAGGCGAGTCACAAACGCGCTCACAAAGCTGCGTACACATGCAATGGCTGCAAGAAGTCCTTCACGGACAAGTCTCTGTACAAGGCGCATCAAAAGACGCACACAGTGGACAAAACCTATCATTGCGCCAAGTGCAATAAGATCTTTTTCAAAGAAGTGTCGCTGCTCGCCCATCAGTGCACAGGTGGCGCGTTGTTGGAGAAGAGGGTCACCGTAGAAGCCGTGCAGAGAACATCGACTCACGACAGCAACAAGAGACTCAAGCGGGACGCGTCGTTCTCGTCGTTGCCGTCGCGAAACTCTCATATGAGAACGCCCGACAACGAAGCGTACGGCAACATGGTATGTAATACATGACGACAACAATATCGCGCATCGCTTGTACATCCTGACTGTGTTACTGACGTGTCACATTTCAGGCACGTGAGATTAAGCTCGAAACGGACGACGAATCGATGCCAAAATTGAGCCCGGAGATCTTGGAGTACGTACCTCCCATCATCGAGCCCAGGGTCGAAATCAACGAGCAAAGTGTACCCCCACCTTTAAAACGGACTCTCATTAGGACAACTAATGGGTGAGTGAACGTTTAAAAGCATCGTCTGGAATTATACTTACGCCTTCGAGAGGCTATTTTGCTTGACAGATACTAAATTTGTGAGCGACTTCCTTGATACGCCATTGAAAATATGGCATGGATAAAAACTGACGGATAATACATCCTTAAGCTGTAGAACTGATCAAAATATTGCTGTAGTTTTGCATACTCTAGAAGAAGATTGAAGTAACGATGTGCTTAAAATTCAGTTCTAATAATTAGGTTACGCCAATTTGCGTGCGAATACCCTAACCGCTGCGTAACGCGTGTGCTACCATGATACTTAGATTAGATATTTTCAGGTATCGTTGTGGCGTCTGCAAGTCACCGTTCGTATCGAGGGAGCTAGCCGTGGCGCACCTGAGATCAGCGCATCCGCTGATGCCATATCAGTGTCCTTATTGTAAAAAGCGATTCACCACGCAGTTAATGTTCACCCACCACATTAAGACGGAGCACCCCGATGAGTCCGAGAACTGAAGACCGCTCCTCGTGCGATTCTTCTGGCCGCATAGACCGATCAAAGTTGTTTCACAATACGTGCCTCGTACTATGAGAGTGCGTCTCTTATAGTATGTATATATACAGGACGTTTATCGAAGGATTTTCCAGCTCAACCGTGCCGAATACAGCTGCGGTGAACACCCTGTATATAGTGTATCAAACTTTGGCTCGAAGGCCGTGTCATTTTGTTTGTAGGTGTTGAGAGGGAGAGTCCTCTAGTGCGTGACCGTGAGCGATTAACGTTAAAATTCGTTCGTTGAATGCGAGGCTATTGATACTAGTACTTACGCTGATGAACGTGCCTGTATAAGTGCTTTGTTTTACAGTGTTATTATAATCTAATTGCGCGCGCAAAAAGAGAAAGAGAGAGAGGGACGACGACGACGACGACGGCGATGTGTTTCTAGAACGACGGTAAGGCAAATTTCACAAGACGTGTTGACTAGAAAAACAATTTAGATAGTTACGTAAATGTTTGATCGGCCATTGAGCGGTCAATAGGAGATTTTAGTTGCATAATTTCTATCATGTACGATCTTTTACGACGAAAGAAGTTGCGGTTCAATACAGTGACAGCGACATAGTCGTGAGGAACAATATAGGCGTACGTTCATTGACATTTTGTTTTAATGTCGTTGTAAGTTATCTTGCGTTTCAGAGAGAGAAAGAGAGAGAGAGAGAGATAGGGAGGGAGGAAAAAAGGAACGGAGGTGTCGAAAATCCTCAGCTATTTAATTATTAGAACACATTCCCGCAGTTTTACTTGGCGTCACGATCTCGCGGCGATCGTAACGCGAACGGAGTGCCGAAGTGCTTCTCGAGAATACCGAAGATCGTCGTCGTTAGTTGCGGTCCGGCGTAGAAAAAAAAGAAAGCCGACGTTCCCAGCCGACAGCGATGCCACGTAATTTAATTGTACACTATCTTTGTAAGTTTATTTTATATATAGCTAATTTACAATAAACCATTGTCGAAAGATTCTCTCGCTCTCTTTCGACCCTCGCCGGAGAGTCCGAGTTGTGAACTATTCCGACTATTCAGGAATGCACTTTCTCATGAGTATTCATCTCCGCAACGGCAGGTCTCCCCCGATTGGGTTTCTGGCGCGGGGATGTGCATTCCGGAAACAGCAGTAGGAGAAGGAGAATGAGGAGGAGGAGGAGAAAAGAGGGAACAGTGGTGTGTGCACCACCGGTGGTCGGCGATTGCACCGGCGCAGCGGGCGCACCGCGAGTCCAGAGGGGGTGGGATCTGCCGCATAGTGCGGCATATAGTAGGCGAGGGAAACTCGGTGACTCGGTCGACGGGTATCGGCGCGTCAGTTGCTATGCGTCCGGGTGCGATCGCGAACGCGGCGCGCGATCAGCAGCGAGCCCGTGCCTGGTAGTCGCTCTCCTCATCCTCGGACGCGACGACGTATATCATTCACTGCCTCTCCTTCCTGGCCGACGACGACGACGGCGACGACGACAACGTGCTCGCCTTCCATGCGACAATCGCGGAATTAGAGTCGAGAGAAAGCACGCACATGGTCCGGCAATCGCGACCATGATCGCGAACCGTGCCGCGCTGATCACCGGCCTCGTCCTCGTTGTCCTGGCGGCCACTTTCGATCGCGGTGAGTGCCGATCGAACTCGGCGACCGATGCCGCAGCTGCACCGGACTCTTTCCCGGAACCGCGATCGATCCTCTCCGTGAAGCGCGATCGCGGGGTCCGGCGGAAAGTCAAAGATCACGCGACCCTTTCGTCGGGATCGCGCGCGCGATAACGCGCTGCGACTCGCTCAGAACGAGGCGATTATCGCAAGGAGTAAAGTAGCGTAGATAGCGATCTTTCTCGGAGGCTAGGAGAATTGTTTCTTTCCCCACGACATTCTGAATGCATCCTTTGCAAGATCAGGCCTGCTATATTCCATACACACGGAAACAAATTAATATCAATTCGAGACTCATGTGTATAAGCAGGAATATATAATCTCGTGTGGAGGTAAAACTTACTTACAAGAAGAAATTCTATATAGTTCTACTAAAAATATCATTTTTATTTTATCCCGGAATAATTTTCATGAATTGAGAAGAAAAAAATGTTGGATAGAAAGAATTGTGTCAGTTTGAAAATATCGTTCTTTCTATCCAATATTTTCTCCTTCCAATTCATGAAAATTGTTCTTGACTAACAATATAGTATTTTTTCGTGAAACTACACAGAATTTCTTCATACAAGCAAGTTTTATCTTCATATTAGATTATATATTCTTGCTTATATAAGAAAACATAAATCTTGAATTGATACTAATTTTTTCCCATGTATCGATATCCGTCGGTTTAATAAGTGTCGTGTTGCAAACATCATAATCATATCACAAAATAGCTGCGCGACGACACATGTTAAGCCGACAGTTGTCAGTAAACGTGTACAGAAAACAGCCCCAGGATTTCATTCGAGTCACCGCTTCGTTCGTAGTAGCTCTCAGCTCGTGAGCTTTCACTCGAGTCGGCCTGATTATCTCAAAAAGCTCAAGACGTGCATATAATGGAAAAGCTCAGAGAAGTTTCCGATTGAAGTCGCTCAATTATTTCGGATTTTAATTGTGTTTTCTAGAGAATAACTGAACTATTCCGATCGGAAATCTTTCCGAACAGTTCCACAATAAATGCCCTGACGACCTCGTAAGGTCCTTGAGGCCGCAAGATCGGCACGTCCTTGCGACCATTTTACGTCGTCCTGATCGGTTTCCGTCGAATTGATTTTCTCCCCGGGAAAATATGTGCGATAGTCCCGACGGATAGCGGCAGGATCGACCAGAAGGTAGTCTCAGGGCGACTCACACTTTGCGCGCAAGCTTGACGGGAACTCGGCATTCCCGATGCTATCGTTCGTGCACGCTCGTATTGTCCTTCGGACAAATTTGAACTAATTGCCACTCGCAAGAGCGCACAGCACTTGTCCAAAAGAACGCGAGAACGCGATCGATACCTACGTGCACTTTATTTACAAGTGAAGAAAAGAGTCGTATACATCGCGGCGCAATGCGGCGCAGAAAGGTGACGAGGGAAAGGTTACCGCGACTCAGCCAGAAGCCGATGGCTCGTCGTCGGGGTCGGCAGGGTTGTTCCGGACGAAGAGCGCCCGCGAGACGCTCGGGACGTCTTTCAGGTCTCCCGACGAAAGTTTCAAGACCAATTAAAATCTGTCCTTACAGCGTCTTGAAACTTCCCTCGAGAGGAGTCTCAGTCCGCCTCAAAAACTCCTCCGGAACGCGTCTTTTGTAAACTTGTGTATTGTGTCCGCGAAAACGACAATGGCTGCGTTCGGTGGAGAAAGAAGCTCAGTGAGCGCTTAGTGATTACATCGCCTGTGATTGGAGTATTCTTTTAGATTCTTGAAAACACCACACAGGGAAATGTATCAATCGATAGGCCTATTCATAACTATTAACGACAGTGTCGTTGCCGTTACGTTGTCGTTGCGCAGATATAACATATGGTAGGAAAGCTGCGCATCGACAACGCAAGGATAGCCACATCGCGTTGACAGGACAGGACTGCAGGAGTAATAATCATTATAAGCGCTCGCTGAGCTATTTTCTCTGCCGAGCGTAGGCAATGCCCGGAAGATGTGTGAAAGATTAGAACGTTTTACAGGGGCTGCTCTCTCTGCGTGGGCTTCGAAACTTTTCGCGTCGTCGACGAGGCGTGGAGAGAGTGTCTCTTTCGGAAAAGCGGAGCGTCCTTTGAAATATATATCCTCCGGAAAGGACTCTCCAATCCTCTTTGTATCGGCCAAACGAGCCACGAATCGTCTTGGCTATATCGAGGGCGCGCGCGCACGCGTGTGCGAGTTACATAAGTTGAATTACGTGTAACCGCCTGGGTGGGATCGTTACAAACCGCGAGCGATTCCGAGCAGTTCATTACGGCGTTATCGAGTTCATTAAGGGGGCTGGCGCGCACCTGAAATATACGTATGTCATCGTAACGAATCGGAACGCGCTACATGGGGAATTGGATCCGCCGATATTTTATTCATCCCCCCTCCCCCGGGGACAAATAGGCGATTCATCGGGGAGAATTCGCAGGAACGCATGTCGCGAGCATATAAATTTCTCACCTTCGAAAACCAAAACTGATTCGTTCGTCCTCCTCCCATCACTATTTCTATCGGCCTGTTTTAATTATTGCGGAAAATAGTCGCTCGAATTCAGTCGTTCGGTAGAACATCGCCCGCGCATCTTTTTATCGTTGCATTAACGATGCACAGCGATACGTCGTCATCGAACGCGGTATTGCGGCCAACGAAAGAGAAAGAGAGAGAGAGAGGGGGAGGGAGAGAAAAATTTATTATATGGAACGTATAATCTCCTAAGAAGCTATTTCCAATAGAAAAAATATACAATGTTTATGTATATACCTATATAAAATTTAGGTAACTGAGAATACATTTTTAACAGTATTCTCTTTAACTATGAAATAATCAATTTTATATAGTACAACATGGTGGGTAACAACTTCGGTCTGACGAAGAGAGAGAGAGAGAGACGGAGATAGAGAGAATATATTATCTATTTTGCGCTTTGGGACAGAGTTCTCCTCAAGCGCCTCAAAGCAGAGAGAGAGAGAGAGAGAGAGAGAGAGAGAGAGAGAGGGAGAGAGAGAGAGCTGAGATTGCGATCGGAGAGAATTCCTACAACGGTAGCACTTGAAGTACTTCAAGACACCGCGTCGCGAAAATGAGTATACGCGTACTAATTTCGAGTGCAATCCTATTACCGTGCGGGGAGAATGTCGCGCGGTAAGTGCGCATTCGCGTTCACTCACGGTGAGTTCGCCCACGGTGGGTGTCCCGGAATAACCGTCGACTGTGGTCCTTTCTGAACGAACATTTGAACGCCGCGATTCTCCCGACCGCAATTAAATTTCCGCCGATGAATCTCGTTGTGACAAATTTTCGGCACCGCTTGAATCTTGCGGGGGAAAAGTCGCGAGAGAGAACGGTAGATTTCAGCAAACGCGCTATCAAGTATTCCTGAGTTTCCGTCGCATGCTCCCGACAGATAATGAACTCGCGGCCTAACGACTCGTCAGCATGGAAAATTAAACGGTTCCGCGAAATCGCGAACCCGCCGCATTATCGAACTCGCTCGCGGCCTGATTTCGACGCGGCCTCCGCATTAAATTCGCATCCCCACGATCGAGCGGATCGGCGCGCTCCGACCGCCGACCGCGTTTCCCGCCGCCGACGTTTGTCGATACACGCCTGGCGATTTCCGCGAGGACGACGACAACAACGACGATGGAAAAGTCGGCCTCGGGAAACGGCCGCGGCCGCACAATGGATATTCGTTTCCTCGACGGCGCCGGATACGTCATCAGACGCGACCAGCCCGCGGTGGGACGTCTCCTTAGCAGACGTCGTCCACGAGCTGGTGACGTAACTCGCCCGCGGGGCTGGCGCAAAGGTGAAAGGTGTCGAGATTTTCAGCAGCTATCACGCGATGATTAAATTCCGCCAATTGAGTTTGCCAAGCTTGAATTCTCCTTTTTAAATTTTCGTCCTTGAGTTCTCATTTTTGTCCTGGAATTCTCGTTTTTACATTTTCGTTCTTGAACTCTCTTTCTTAAAAGTTCATTATTGAATTCCTTGAATTTTTATCTTCGAATTTTCGTCCTTGAATTTTCGTTCTGAAATTGTTCTTGAATTTTCTTTCTCTTGAATTTTCGTTCCCGAATTGACAAACGACGATAATCACGAGTGCGATTAGAGTCGAATTTCCCTTCTCGTCCGTTTCCGATTTCACTCGGCGACGATCCAATTCGATACTCGTCGATCGGCCGCGCGAATTCTCCCGTTTCTGCCTCGGAATTCTCCGACGTGAAATCGCAATCGCGCGATGATCCCCGCGATCCGCCACGACGAACCCCATATCTGAGGATCCCCGAAGAAGGCCGCAGCTTCGATCGCCCATCGGACACGTGCGACTCAGCGGACAACTCGCGGTCGGTCTTCGTGTCGCCCCGGCGATCAAGCTAATTGCCGATACGAAGTTAACTGGCATCGGCAATTCGTGTTCAGAGCGTCGCGTATGTACGCGGCTATATCCGGCAATTTGCTGAAATTTAGGATAGCGTCTACGAAGGCCGCGCTTCGTGTGAGGGTATCGAGCGACCCACTTTCTCCTTCGCACCCCTTTCCTCTCACTCGACCCCCTCGGCCTCTTCGCCTCTTTTCGTATGTTTAGTATGTTTATCTTGTTTTCCGAGTAATGATAATGTTGCTCTTTTTCCCAGTTTATCAGTTTACCATCTTAACGATGTGTATAAACACACACACATACACACATACACACAAACTCATCCTCGTTTCGTCTTAGAGGACACATTTGTTTTCTCTGTCTCTCCCTCTACTCTTTCTGGTTAATATTCAAGTCAGTGCTTCGAGGGTATTTCGAAATTAGAAAATCAAACGTATTCAGCTTCATTATTTATTCAGCCGCAGAACATTTGTCAGGAAATTGATTGTAACCACTTGGATAGAACGATGGAGAGATTTCCGACAAAATTGACCTAGCATTACTGGCATTTTTTGTCTCTCTTTTCCTTCGGAACGTACATAGTTGTATATCGTGTATCGCGCGTTCGACTTCACCCGCGATCAATAAGGTCTTGCTTGAATAATGACGATTTGTCAAAAAGTATATTCCGAGCTTGCGAGCCTGAGCCAATAATGTGAGAGGGAAAGGATATGAAATTGTATAGACTTATCAAATAAATTATTCGTCGTTAGTGAAATGGCTGGGCGGCCGTTCATCGCGAAGGGTAATAAAATTCGATCCTTAGGTTTCGCGTGATATTAGCATATCCCAGTCCGGGTAGATCACAACGGGATGTCGTTTCGTGGTTTCGAGAAAGAGAGAGATTTTTGTCAGTGAGAATAAATCGCTTGACTTCATTATATCCTTTTTCAATATTTTTCTTTTTTTAATAATTAGGACACCCAGCTTCCGCGTTACGAGAAGCGCGAAAAATGGGTCAGTTAAATTCACGCACAGCGGGCTGCGCGACGAGTGCGAGGGGATGTAAGGCGGTAGGAAAGAAGGAGAGAAAAGAAAAGGAGGAGGAAGAGGGGCGGACGTGAATTCACTTCTTCATTCTTCGTTCCTAATCGCGCGCGAGCACTTATAAAATTTGGATTCTTCGTATCGATCCACGACAGCTGAGTGTAGGTCATCGCGTGCCTCGCTACGCTGTTCGATATCAGCTGGCGCCGTATCAGCCTGGTTCCGTGGGATGCAACGGGTGTGCGTGCAGCATGTTACGTCATAGTGAGGCCAGACATCGTGAACCAGACCTTCCCTCTCTCTCTTTCTCTCTCTTTCTCTCGTCCCCGTCGACACGCTCGCCCAGCCGACGTCTACTTTCTCGAACTTGCCTGTAGAATCGCGACTGCACTTACCCTGAATGAGAGATGCGCACCTCTCAAATGTCTGTCTTTAATTCTAGAGCAGAGCTCTTTTTAGGCTCGTGAGATGCACGTCACGACCTTCGAATCGTCGCGGAAACGAATTGATTTACCCGACGCTAAAACGCCAACGCTGATCGATCTGTGATTGCAGGTGAGGCGATAATATGTTACCAATGCAACAGCGAGTACGACCCGCGCTGTGGCGACCCATTCGACCCGTACACTCTTGGAACTGTCAACTGCAGCTTTCAACCTCGCCTGGAGCACCTCAGCCAGCTGGAGCCGACTCTTTGCCGGAAAATCAGTCAAAGAGGTGAGAACTGCGACGCCAAATTCTCCGTTTCTGTCATGCGATTAGCACGCGGTTTAAACGCCGATAATGCAGTATCTCCCGAGTTTCAGTTAATTTCTCTTATCTAATTTTATGTATTTGTTATACTACCCAAGTGTCTCGGAATGGAATCTTATTCAAAACAAGTGAAAAGTGGCGGTATTTTCATTTGAAGCGACAAAGAAAATACTCGAAATCGCAGGAATAAATATTTCTGTGAATGAGAATGAATTTGTTCCCGTGACGGTGGAATACGTTAAATTCACACTTTAGTTTCGCGAGGTGAAAATATTAAAACTCCTGGGATTGCATTCCGTGCACGTTTACCGGCAACTGCCTGCTCGGTATGTGTCGTTGCGCAGCTATTTAATAATATGATTATATGCAACGACGACGTAACAATAACGATACTGTTATTAAAAGTTACAGAATAGGTTTATTAGTCCCTCTGTGCAACTGTCCTTGTTTAATGACGTCAAAAGCGAGAAGATTCATGCCAAGAACCCTTTTCAGTGTACAATCACAAAAAAGTTACAATATTTTTTTTCGATTTGCAACGCATCTCGTAGCGAATAAGAAAATGTATTTTCTGAGAATTACTGAAAAACAAATTCTCCTATTGGACATAGTATTTCGAAACTTGTTAAAAAAAGTATTGTAACTTTTTCACGACTGATCCATACATCAATGGAAGATCGCAAATGACAGACAATTTATTAGATCCGGTAGACCAAAATAGCGAAACAGAGGGCACAGCTTGAATGCATGAAAAAATAAATAGAAAATAAAAATAAAATAAGTAAAAATAATAACTAATATTCACACTCGGCAATTTAGAGCGAAGAATTCACTCTGCGCGAGTGAAAAATTACTCAAATCCGAGCGACTCCGTCGTCACTCTACTTTTCGAGTGAAATTTCACCCCGAGATAAATTTCCAGTACGTCTAAGATTTCACGTTATCAAAATTTCGAAGGTCAAAGCGCACGTGATTTCGCAAAGAGGACAGAGTTTCTTTGCGGACAGCGGTCGCTTGTGCATTTTCGCGTTCCTCTTTTTTCCCTTCCTTTCTTTTCATTTGGCAAATGCCATGTTCTAAAAAGAGAATCGGAATCGTTGCAGTATACGGCAAGGTGAGGGTCGTCCGGAGCTGCGGATACATCACAGACGTCATGGACAACGGCGCGTGCCTTTTGAGGACTGGCACCCACGACGTACGCGCTACGTACTGCTCGTGCACCGGTGATCTGTGCAATTCCGCACTCGAGAGCCGCACGCCGTCCTTATTACTGCCACTGGCATCCCTCCTGACTGCCGTTCTGGCGACACCGAGTCTGCTCCTGTCGTGCCCGATCGCGCCGCCTCGTACCTCCACTCTCTCAATAGCCTAATTCTGCCTAATCGATCAAATCACACCTGAATCCGAATCAGCCAGCCTGTCGTCGTCGTTGCGCCGCACGGACCGTTCGCCTAGATGTATGCGTGTGCGCGCGCGCGCGTACGTGTGTGTATGTGTGTGTGTGTGTCTTACGTATGTTGGACATGCGTCCGCAAGCGGTCGATCGAACGCCGGCCGACCGTCGTCAATTTCGCCGCTACGGTATTCCCCAGCTGAGAGACACGCGCGAGGGAACCGCGCGGAAAGGAAGCCCCGATGAAACGGTCGTTCTACATCGAGAAGAAAGGAAAAGCTGCTCTCTTTCTTCTCACGGAAAGAGAAGGAACACTTTCGGCCTATCCTTCACTACAGATTCCCGGCCTAATCGAATTCGCGTCGTTGAACGATGATAAACGCGCTCTTTTCCGTCAACGAAAACTTCACCCGTCACATTTCTGTCCCGTACATCCGAGTCGTACAACGAATCCGACATGACTTCTCTCGTACTTCTCCGAAGTTACCTCGGCCTCGGTGCGTCCCGAGAAGCGCCGTTTCTTCGCGCGCTCACATTCGCTTGAAAGATCGTGCGGCTGCTGCTGTGAATCCTTCTATTTCTTTCCTTTTCTCATGATTTATTCATTTCTTCCATAATTTGTCTCTTACTTTTCTTCTTTTCTTCTTCTTCTACTTTTTCTTCTGATCCTTCTTTTCCTTCTTCTTCTTCCTACACGTTAACGTGATTTTCGCGTGTCCGCAGTATCGGAAGTCCGATTTCGCGGAAATCGCGCAGCTGTCACGCGTTTATTGTGTGCATTGAGATCCTATTTGAGGAGCACTGCAAGCTCTTTAGGAAGATCTTCAGATTCCGTAGCCAACTAGCGAGATGGATTTCCCGTCTCGGCAGCTCGACAGCGAACGGTCCGCGAAATAGCCGACGATTATTATAACGTAGTGTAACGGTGATAACTGCCAGATGCGCGAGGACGATACTTCAATAGTAGTACATATCTTCGCGAACGAAGAAGGGAAATAAAACGGCAACACATACACACACGGCCTCCGCATAAGAAAAAAAAAAAGAAGTCGATCATCTCTCCCGCGTGCTGACGTTGCGCTTGTCGCGCGATAAGCGCGATCGGTTGACGCGCTGATCAGGTATCGGACGCAGTATTTCTCGAAATATTTTTCGCAGAGGTGAATCGGCAGGATTCGACCGGGACAAATGATTCCGGTGAGACTTACGTTGAAATTCCTTCTAATCTTCAGAAGCACAAATTCTTCGGATCTTCTGAAATTTATACTGTACTTGTTAGATGTACACGTTTCTTCATTCTCGCACGTTACCGCTCTCGGTGTCGCGGTTCGTTGCCTCGTTTAATGAGAAACTAAGCGAATTCGCGACTGATCCTTTATTTACGAACTCTACGTACGATTTAAGTGCTCGTGCTTCTTTGTTCATACAGTATATTCCCGATCGATTCCTATCGATTCGCCTATTTTTGTACAGGGACGACCGGCCGCCGACTCGTGCCTCGCGACAAGCGTAATGCGACGGATCACCAAAAAGCGTAGAAGTAAACAAGCGGCAGATATCTTACGAGAATTAACGATTAGTGAATACCAAAAAGAGTCACAAAGATAAAAATAACGTAAATGTAAAGTAGCGGCATCGCGCGACACATTTCGCACCCCGCCTACTACCGCAGAACGTCTGTGTCTGTGCGCGTTTACGTCTGTATGTATGTGTATGCACGCGTATATTTGTGTGAATATGTGTGTGTATGTGCGCATAATTTTACGATGTACGTATACGCACGCGAAATATAAACGGAGAACAATGAAGAGGTATGCAAGTATATTTTTCGTTAGAGCCAAGCCGAAATGGAATTGCACGCAAGATCGGCAGTCCTGCTTATTTCTAGAGGTGCAATGTCAATGTAGCGTTTGCGAGGACCGCAAGAGGATGCACCGCATCCGCTCGGTGCACTTCAGTGCCGCGTTTGTCGCGTATTATTTAACTTAAGTTCACCGTACGAGATTGTGTACGTTTAATTGTGTAATTATATGTTAATCATTCGTTCTCTCGCAGTGATTACACGCTGGTTCTTCTCGCCAACGCCGCTTCTATTTATTTGCGAGCGTACAGTTAGCGCCCGCGCTTGAATTCACCACGACTTCTCTCGCCTGGGTATGACGGCTAAACCGTACTGAAGTGCGACCGGCACGGACGCGCGACGCACCACCCTTCCTCTTCGGAGAAGAGCTGGGTGAAGCTCTTACACGGGTTAAGACTCCAAGTGCTGTGTTAAAGTGGGCTACGTGAGAAGAGCTCGCGGTATATAAACATATCGACGATATGAACCGAGGGAACCTCGCATTTAGCTCTAGTGAGAGCGACAGATCCGCCGTCGCGTCCTCACATATACACACGATTATTCCGTGTTTCGCAGAATTTTGCAATAAGTGCAGTTTAAGCCAGTAACTGAGTCACCTGAGCGTACAACAACCGCCGTTTGTATGTGCGTGCGTGCTTGCCTGCCTATGTTTACGTGTGCATGTATGCGTGTGTGCGGGCATGTGTGTAAACGCTGAAACTCGATATAGCTCAATTACAGGGCCGGTCGTTGCATCTTCGGCTCAAGTGTTCGCTATTTTATCTGACAGACAAGCGTCGCGTCGCCCCATCCCCAGTCTCTTCTTAGATCTTAAGACTCGCCATAATATATATACGTCTATATATATATATATATATATATATATANATATATATATATATATATATAGGCAGAGAGAAAGAAAGAGAGAGAGATGAGATTAATCGATGACCGACGATGGAAAAACCGGCTCTTGAGCATTCATTGTTGCTCCATTATGCGGAAAGAAGCGAATAGCGCGAGTTGCAGGACGTCCGGGCGGTAAAAGCGCGCACCACCTTCGGCGGAACTCTGCGCAATGCCCATCTCCCTCCGAATTTCTGAAACTTTAACATTAAGTGTATTTCAGTGCTCCACGAGTGGAGGTTCCGTCGCGGGAAAGTTCATCTATAATCAGCGAAAGGAAAGAGATTCCCTTATTTATTTGCATAATTCACCGAAGATCACGGTCCGCGAAGGCTATTCCCGTCGCGGTATTTTCGCCAAGAAGGCGCAATTATTCCCATTCCCGGCGAGAGGCGAACGAGCGCCACGTGCGCGTCTCGCGATCGGACGTCCTGTAACGACAGCAACGATTGAGGGAGTGACTGAAACGATGAGACAACACGACGAACGAGCAATAACACGTAAATGAGGAAACGTAGATGTGATCGGCAGAAAAAAAAATATATTAGATGAAGTAGCGCGCTTTGTCAACGTGCAAAAAAATACGCGTTCACCAATAGGTAGAAACCACCACGAGGAAACAAGTGATCGTCAGTCACTACTGCTGCTGCTGTCACCACCCGTCGTCGCCATTATTGCCATTAATACGGTCGCTACTAATTATTATTGCCACCACTACTACTATTACTATTATTACGGTTATTGTTAGTACTTACATTACCGAACCGTTGTTACGAGTAACACCGCTAATAATAATTATCATTAGAGCGCGAATGGCAACAACCGTGACGCACGATTGGTACCGGAAATGGAGACGATAAGGGCGATGAGGGAGAGAGGGGTAAGAGCGAATCGATATCGTGAGTGCGCACACACCGAGTGATGAGATAAACTTATTGGCTGCGTTCAGCAACTTTGTTTCATAACTGTTGGAAGTTTTGCGCTGAGATGAGATTATTCTTCAAAATTTAACAGAATAATTCAATAGCTCAGCTCGGAAAACTTCTAGCAGTTGAAAAATAAACGTTCCGCCGAACGTGGCCGTTTTATCGTGGAACTTGCGAGAGAGTGGTCGATGAGGGGTGGATCGAGGAAGCCTCGAATCCGTTTATTTCACAAATATCCGAGTTGTAGAGATTATTTATCTCTTTTCTTTTTATATTTCCGCATGTCAAAAGTATTAGTTTCCTCTTTTTTCTTCTTTTTTATTAATGGTGCTGGAGCGCATTTGTGCACAGTCGCGTCAATGTTACCTCGAACGTACCTCTGTATCTCTCGGCGAGTGAAGGTGCCTTTTCATGCTGACGCTCGACGTTCATTTTTAGCGTCAAAATAAGTCGCATGATCGAAGTTGCTGGATAGTGAAAAATGTATGAAAATTAAGGGTATAATAACATCAAATTTGGAACATTATAGAGTCAGCTCCATGTAGTTTCTCTCCGAGGATTATATCATTCTAAAGTAAATATTATATGTAGTTAAGAGAGACTCTGTGTGTGTGTGTGTGTGTGTGTGTGTGTGTGTGTGTGTGTGTGTGTGTGTGTGTGTGTGCGCGCATGCGTGCGTGTACAAAAAAATAATAAAATACATAAAGAGCAACATAAAACATTTGAATATCCAAATTAACAGTTCGCATTACGTGACGCTAGAGAAGCTAAATAAAATTTAACTTCGAACCTGGCGTCAGATTAAAACCATGTGGCCACGTTCAACGTTGCAACGAGCGTCTCATGAATTGGCACCTTGAGGATACCACAGAGCATCCACCCTGAAGCGACCGGTTTCCGGTTGCCGACAGTTTCTCGAGCGAAGAGAAGTTCGCAACATCGCGACTCACCCCTCTGTCTCCCCCTCGTCTTGACTTTGTTCGGTCTCGTTCGAGATACCGCGACTCCATAGTTCGGGGGAAATATGGAGTTCTTGTTGTTGAGAGGATGGACTCGCATTCCGTCGACACGTGTCAGTGCGGATGTGTCATGATTTCCTCTGTCGTGAGTCGCTGTTGAAAAAAAAGAAAAAGAAAAAGAGAGAGAGAGAGAGAGAGAGAGAAAGCCCAGATAGACATATTTTAATACATTGTCTGCATCGTGACTAGCATAAGTACGTGAAAATGCGTATTCATAAAACAAGAATTTTGCCGGTATATAAAAGAAGTCATGTGATGCCATGAGAATTGCGGCAATATTATAGCGATATTCTGCCATGAATATTGCTATTTATTTTGTCCGAAAAAATAAGAAGTCAACACTTTGACTGAAATTATGGCGTAATAAATGAGTATTTCTTAAAACAAGCAAATTTTAAACAGGTATTGTTGCAGTAGCAAAATATACATTAAATGTTTGCATACTGCATATACTACAATATATGTTCAGCATTTTTGTCTATCTGGGAGAAAGAGAGAGAGTGAGTGAGTGAATGATCGACGCTTTGCTGTAGTGCATCCCCTCCGAACTTTTAAAACCTTGGACTTCATTTCATGAATATTAATGGGATAAGAAGAAGTACTTACGACTACGAAGGGAAGGCGGCTGCCGCATCTTGAAAATGGAGACGTATAGCTATCAAATTGATATAATATTGTAATATAAAGAGAGATATTACCTATTATATTGTTACATGAAAGTTTTCCAGTTATAGGTGACTATTTTCAAAGTGTAGCGTGCTCCTCCATCGGAATGTCGCACTTTCGACGAAGTTGCGAGATGAAATTCACCCCATCGCGTAATTTAACGCGCTCGGCTTGAGGACAACTCGAGAAAGCTCCGATGCTCTTCTTCTTCCGCGGAAGAAGAACGACAAATTCGAGAGATTCCGTCGTCGAACTTTTCGTTGGGGCGCAGCCTCGCACCCACTGGCACGTGGTCGAGAGAACGCGTTTTACGTCGAACCTCATTGAATCTGTTCGTAATGCTCATTTGAGTCGAATGACATTACAATATCATATACTATGTACAGAGAGAGTATTCTGCCAATAATAAAGTGTTGAGCGATTAACACGAGTGACGACCTCTTCTCCAGGTGCGTATCTAACAAGCGATTTCTTGTTGCGAAAATGCGAAATCCCCCCTGCGAAATCCCCCTTTGAAAAGAGGCCCGTGTAACCTTCCGCCTTCTCCCGATTATCTTGAGATCTCACCACTCTCTCTGTCGATGACTGCGACACCGAGAGACGCGAGAGAACTTCCGTCGCAGGCACGCGTCAGCGAAGATCATCGTCGGGGAAATGGACGTGTGGTGGCATGAGAGATCGCGCACAGTCTCTTGCGTGTTTACGATTTTATTGCAATATTACTGAACGATTGTGGTAAGAAAACTTTTACAAAACAAAATATCCCTACAAAAGTTATCGTCTTACGTGTATTAAGAAAGTTATAGCTCGCTTGTTACGCGTTAGTTTCTCTTTCGGTACGTAGGTAGATTAAATACGTAGGGGGCATAGATAGGTAGATGTGTTTTAAAAAGGCACCGGAATCGAAGAAAACCCTTTACCGATCGGAAGACGAAAAAACGTTCGATCACTCGGTCCCTTGAGTAGCACGAGTATACACAAGACTCTCGTTCGCCCTAGTAGCTTTGCGAATCGAACAATGCCGCAATGTGTGTGTGTGTGTGTGTACAGTGTCTACGTAGATAAAACGCAGTATACGGAACACACTATAATGTGAAAGCGTAAAACCTTCGAGTGCCTTTCCCGCCTCTGTAAATGCAGCTTTGCGAACGAAAAAATATTAATACTGTAAGAATGCGCACACAATAACCTAACTATGTTGTGAGAAATAAAAGGAAACTATCGATCGCGATAGGAGAGAAAGATAGATGGAAAGAGAGAGAGGCAGAGAGAGAGAGAGAGAGAGAGAGACCTACGAGCTGTCGCTTATTCTAAAAACGTGCGCACATCGTCCCTTAGGTAACTCTACTCGCCTGTAACGCCGTTTTCCTCGACGTCCCTTGTGAGTTCGACTGTCGGTTTATTTGCACTTTCATTGTCTTTTGCCGCCTTCTATCCATAGAAGGCAAGAGGAAGCCGATCGATCGTTGAACCGAGGTCAACAGACGTCGAAGAAATCGGGCCACTCGCCAACGACACTTTAGCCGACCACTGTTCGGCGCGTGTGCCAAAGCTAGTGCGAATTAAACGATGAAAACGAATGTAGCTTGGTAGCGAAAAGGTACCGATAGAACTCCGACTAAGCATTGCGATCCGACTCATCGTCGGATCACCATCTGTGCAATTCTACCCAGTCGGTTAGACCTCGACTGTAAGAAATCCTCGCTTCGATACAGTGTAAATTACGCGCGGTAGCGTCGGTATGCGGAGAACAATTAAAATCGATCTAATGAAAAAAAGCTTAACAAAATGCCGTTAGAATGCCGGTTGCATCGCAGACAACGCGTATACCACCGATGTGGTACGTATCGATGTACAGGCGCGTACGGAATGTCCCGCTCTCAACGCGCTCACTCCTCGACGGCAGATTCTTCGACGTTCGTGTGGGAACCCCCGTTGAGACAGAGGAGTCGCTTCAAATCTCTAAAGTAGAATACGATATCGTACTCTTTCGATCTGTGCTCTTCTTCGACTTCCATTTCGAAAGTCGAATGTCACTGTCAAGTGTCGTAAATACGTAACCTTCGTTCGAGAGAAAGTCGACTCTGCCGAGGAATCTGCTCCGTTGAAAGGTGAAGCGCGGTGAAACTGTGGTCAGTCTATAATATGGCCGCGAAAAAAAGAAGAAAGACATACCATCGTATCTTCGTCCGAAGATCCGTATCTCGCATCTCAAGAATTTAAGTGCCATGTGCCGAACAATAATGACGCACGCCTACGAGCTTATCCTAATATTCGTAATCAAATGGAATATGTTACAAAGGATGAGTTGGTGAACGCCACATCCTTTATCTTTCCACAATTGTGAGGCGTTACATTCTCGAAATGCTAAGTATCCACGAATATGATGTCGTTCTCTTTCTTGCTCGACGCGAGCGGCGTGACTACTTGCAGACGGACTGACACGTACAGAGGATAGGTCAGTTGCTTGTCCAAGGTCATTAAATGCAGCTGCAAACAGACAAAAAGGCGTTACATCGCCCTCCAGTAAATTATCGCGATGTGATGAGCTCTCCTCACAGTAGCGGATTTATATAAAAACGATGCTGGAACGTCCTTCGGCGACTCACCTGCATATTTTTCTTCACGCACAACCTGAGCAGACCCGAATTCTGAATGTGCTTGACTTGTCGTTGCTCGTCCAATGAGAACAAGCAGATCCTGGAATCAGTTCTCGTTGAATTGCACGCCCACAACCTTCGTCGAGAATGCGACAACGATTCAAAACTTACTTTAATATTATGTTGTGTTCCTTGTGATTGGCCTTGATATGCTTCGAGTCCATTCGGTTGCTTCTCTCGATGTAAAAAGTCGTCATGTCCATCGCCATCACCAGGTCCAGTCCGTAGTGGAAAGCGCGCCATCTCCAAACGTGCTCACCCGGTTTCTCGATGCATCTGCCGCACCGGAAGCACTCCCTGAAGAATTCCTCTTCCGTCATTTGCACCGGGCTGCAATGCACATATACGAGAAAATATGTAATCCGGTCCCATTCGAGTCTCCGCTGGAAAGAAGGAGAAGCTCGAGCGTGACACTCGTAACTCACCCTCTCTCCTCGTGTCCGTCGATTCTCAGCACGTGCAGCCACTGTTCTCTATAGGCGTCGTGCATCCAATCAGGCGGTATCAAGTTATCACTGTACAAGAGCTTGACATCTTGCTCGTGCAACACCAAATACTTCATCCTCAGCGTCTTGAAAGGCGCTGCGAATCGCTTTCCCTCTTTCGTCGTCAAAAACGGCTGCGTCCACGTGTGATTCTTGAAGTATTCTTCGATCTGCAGCGTCTCCTCCTCGTTGTGCGTATGTGCGAACAACCTGCGTCATATTTCGACACGTTTAGCGCGATCACACAACAATCACATCGATTCCCTTAGCATGTGAATATCTACAATAGTAGATGTAGTAAGCCTTCAGCCTTTTGCCCGAAGCGACAAAGACTAAAAAGGCCTACCACACCTATTGTAGATCCGGACTTGTCTACGTACCATACACGTAGCATCGTGTATATGCAAAATTCTGTTTGCATGGCGACTAAGTCAGGACTGGCGATTAGGTCTGTCATCAGCTCCGGTGAGATTTCTTTGAGGAAGGAAGGGTGTAGGTAACCGTAGGCCAATAGATTTACCTCCAACCAACGTTTCGCAGCTGCCTTCACCGTAGGTACACCATATGACACAGCCGCATTATAATACGGCACTACAGTCTTGATATTCGTTGTCTGTATCATGATGTCGGCACACTCGTCGATCAATCCTTGCAATTGTAACAGAGTGGCAGTCGCCAAGATAGAGACAACTTGTTTCGGCTCCAAACTGACTTCATCATGATAGAGCGAGCCCAGAACTATCGACAATGCTGAAACAATATCATCTTTAGGTGATATGGTGTATCTACAACATGTGGTATGTCAGATCTACTCCAAGTATCCTTACAATTCAATGTAATATTAGGGTCTGCGATTTCAACGTTAATGATCTTCTCATTAGCCTCCCTCCAAGAACCAGAAAACATACTAGCAAAATAGGGACTCTGCAAACCAAATGCATGCTTATTTATTATACATACATGACTTATTTATAATAGTTTAAGTCTTAATAACAGTTGTAATATCTAATGACAGATTTCCATTCAGAATTTACATCTTCTTAACAAACTTCTTAACAAGAATATCAAGATCCAAGCCCTTGTGTTAGATATATTAATTTTATTAATAACTCTTTATAAATTATGAGAATATAAATAATCGACAAAACTTGATTTGCTCTTTATTTGATATCTCAGATCAAATCTATTTTATTAGTCAACTTAAATTCTCAAGGCTTGATTCTAAAATACAGGAACATCTAATGTTTGAAAACTGAACAGCTGATAATGAAATTACTATTTCAGTAGTATTTCTCGAGAACAGAATGTTTTCAAAGTTATCAATGTGATCAAAGCATTTGACCAAAGCTTTACTGAATGGTAGTAGGGGCAAAGAGAGCATGTATGTATGAGTCATACCTGACTAATATAGACCTTGTGTAATCTCCATGCTCGTCCAAGTATAAGGACAGTTATGTCACTGCCTTTCTCTTCGAGAAACAAGGTCTTATATATGTACTGCGCTGTTGTAAGCAATTTTCTCCTGTGGGACAACACAAGGGAAATGTGATATAATAAATTCCCTCTGGTAAGCTTGATGACAAGGATCGCTTGCAAGTGAAATATCGGAGGTTACTTGTCAGTCAAATTGCTTATGATATTTATCAATGTTAATCAGTTAATGATATTCATTAATAATCAACGATACATATCGTATCACGTCTAAAATAAAAGAAAGAGATAGATAGATAGAGAGAGAGAGAGAGAGACAGGAAAGAGAGAGAGAGAGAGAGAGAGAAAGAAGCATGGAAGAATGAATTGAAAGTGACGTCTTACTTTTTCGGGGTTTGCAGGGTGCGATCGATATAATCGGATTCGGATTCACTGTCGCACTCCTCGATGTACTTGCGCTTACGGCCGCGGTACACGCTGTGCACGGCCGTGTTTGACATCGAGGCGATGCTGCTAACATAGCCGCCCATCGTTGTGACCCGATTCCCGCACGAGAGACCGCCGATGGATCTTCACCGAGCGCACGCGATCACACACAAAAATCATACACCGCAGAGCACCCTCCTCCTCCTCTTCCTCGCTTGTACCGGTCTTCGTAGTTTCCGCGGCGCCGAAACCGTCAGATCGTGCCTATGCAACGCGGAGGCGGATGTACTGGCGCATGGGCGGATTGCGTTCAGCGAGCCTCAAACGGCGCATGTAAACATACGAACATATGTAGAGACCAGGGCCGGCTCTGAGCGAGGCAGCTGGGGGCGCGAACGCCGCCGTGTTTAACCTTGGCTGTTTTCGGTCGGAATTTCGCAACGCGTACCCTGGGTACTCGCGTTGTCGTTCACCCGGTGCCAATGCATTTGACCGTTTCACAGAGGCAAGCATTTAAAAGCACGGCGAAAGCTCAGCGTGGGATACGCACAAAACGCACAGTGCGACAGGTATGCGCGGTATAACTGTTTATATTTGAGAATCCCGTCACGTTCTCCTGGTGATTTTTGCCCGCGGTGTCTCACTCGTGTACCGCGTCTTTTTTTCCCGACGAGTATAACACGCGCGACACGTTTCGAACCGTCCGGCGACGTGAGCACCGCACGCGCGCGCACTCGAGACGCAGCAACTTCGCGTGGTACATCCGTGATCGATCACCTGTTCTATCCCTACTGAACTAAATATGCGGCGTTCGGTAAATATCGATTTTTTTTCCCCCAGCACGATTACGACACACCGCGCTTGTTGCACGCTTCGCTAATTGTTACTTTTGCACCGGCATGACGAATCGGGCGTAAAGTCTCGGCGGTCGGCGCGATACAACGGCACTGTAAATAACGAGGAGCTGTGTTTCCCGGACAAGCAAATTGATCCCGTAATTACATAACCTCTCTTATTAGATTATCGCAATGTGCCAATGAACCAGTCGTTTATCTGGATCGATAACGTCGACAATATGCGGATGACTGAACTCAAGACTGTTGTCATTGAACTTTGTACACGACGTTGTATAATACGATAAATCACGAAGATGTTACGGCGAAACAGGTAAATTTTTATGCAGATATCTATATCTATACGATGAAGTCGGTTGGAAACGTCATTGCAAATGTCTGTCTTTGTTTGTGTGCGTAAAAATAAATGAAATATAAAAATGAAGCACATACAAAGCACCTGGCAATAGTGTGGTTTGTTAACGTCATTGATTTGTTGTGAAAAAATTGGTTGGAATCTGCAAGAATTCAGGCATTGCGTCTCAATGTGATATCCAACAAACGTCACGAAACATTAACATTATATCAATGTTATAATTTTCAGCTTAACAATGTAAATACAACATAATATATGCTGTATATAAAAGTTACATTGTCGATTGGAAAATTATATTGATGTAATATTACTGTTGATGTTTGCTAGCTACCCAGTAAGCAAGAAATCATTGACACAACATGCAATAACATTTTGTAACGTGTAATGTTTTCACGTGATTCTTAATCTTGTATGTTACATCATTGTTAACGATATTTGACCCAAACATTACATATAATATTTCTACACTATTCTACACATAATTTTTAGGGATATTATATTATCAAGTTACAGTTGAAAAACATTTATGAAATACTATGGCAAAAGGTTTATAAAATCCATATAAAATCAATGTTTCAAAAGATAGATTTAATGCTTTTTGCTTACTCGGTATGTTATTAATACAAATTGTATACAATTGATAAGTCATATTGAACATAGGTTGAAGCATAGGATAATATCCATCGCCTTCATAATTGCTGCGACGATATTTTACAATGAGTATCTCGTATACGAAGTGCAGAAATTCAAATGGGCGATGCGTGAGTGCTCAGCATGTGTCAAGATCCTCCTCGTCGCGGATCCTCAAATACTCGGAGAGAAGAATGAGAATTACTTTGGCTCATGGTTAGCGAGATGGGACAGTGATAGGTATAAACCAAACGTCTTCTCTGCATTTCCCATATCGATCGATCAGCTACGTGAGAAATCGATATCGTGTTGAGATTTACGTGTCTCGGTTCTGTGTTCCACAGTGCTGTGCTTTCAGGTACTTAGAAAAGACTTTTTCGAGAGCGTTGAAGTATTCTCAGCCGCACGTTATCGCCTTCCTCGGTGATCTCATGGATGAAGGTCACATAGCCAACGCGGAGAGTTTCGAGAGATACAAAAGGAGATTAGATTCGATATTTTCCATGCCGGACGATATAATGGTGCTTATCTTTTTCATCTCATTTTCTTTATTCTCATCCTCCTAATTTATTCTTCCCTCCTCAGAAAACCCAGCAAACACCAACAGTAACGTAATATCAATGTTATAATTTTCTACTCAACAACGCAACTGTTACATAACACACGTTATTTTACATTTACAACGATCGAGCGAAAAATTATAACATTTGATATTATATTACTATTAGTGTTTGTTGGGAATCCATTCGTGGTGTTTATTTCTTTCCGCCGATTAATTTGTTGTTGTCCCTTCACAGAAAATCTATTTGCCAGGCGACAACGACATCGGAGGCGAGGATGATCTTGTTTCTCCCAACATCCACAACAGGTTCAATTTCGCGTACACTCAGCCAGACACGTTAGTTTACAAGACAGTCACTTTCTTCAAGGTAAGCGGCTGAATGTTTTAGTCGCATCATTTGCGTATGTATCAATAGAACAAATGTATGTGTCGTTGTAGGTGAACAGATTGACGCGTACGATGCCAGAAGCACCGAAGGACGCATTTCTCAATGATTACGCCGAGCGGAACACGACCAATGTTATTCTTAGTCATATGCCGTTATTGTTCGTACCCGGCAGCTTTGTGCAAAATGTACGTTTGAGTATTACGTAAGCGAGAGAAAACGAAAGGAGAGAACGAAGAGAACTTATCGCCACTTATAGATTACTTTATATTTATGTGTACATAAATATTTGTAGATTATATTCATTATTTACACTACGTTATTGCTGTTATCTGTAACAGGTGCTCAAAGAGTTATCGCCGCAAGTGATCTTCACGGCTCACGAGCACAAGGCAATGCACGTGAGCTTGGACACGGCGACCGATCAGTTGAGCGAGATCGGGATCCTCCCGCCGCACGAGACACCCCTGTACCAACTGCGGATGGACGTGGGGGACATTCACGAAGTACAAATACCAACATGCTCTTACAGAATGGGCACACAGCACATGGGTTATGGGCTCGCCTATATCGGTATCGTTATAATTAACAGTGAACAGTCCGAGCAAACGTCGAGTAACATTGCATCAATGTTATAATTTCCAACCTATCAATGTAAATGCAATATAACACATGCTGTACATAACAGTTACTTACGTTGCTGAGTAGGAAATTTATATAACATTGATGTGATGTTACTGTTACTTGGTGTTTGTTGGGATAATTGGTCAAGAATGATTGAAACGTTAACGATTTTGCTTATTCGACGTTTCAGACACTCAGGAGAAAACCTTGGAGTTCACAATTCTGTGGCTGCCGAGCAGATTCCCGCAGCTGTGCGCTTACGCGCTGATCGTCGTGCTGATCGTCTTACTTGCCGCTTGTACTTTCGTCTCGGGCTGCTGCTCGAAGAGCTACGCGACTTATAATCGTATACCTTCAGTATAGGATAGCGTACAATCAAAAGTACTTACATTACGCTTAAACGGTGAGTTAACTTGACGTCGCAAATTAGGTACAAAGATCCGTCCAGGAGATGATGACTCTTCTAGCGTCTCTGTATCAAGTTCCCGGGGGAGGGGGGGCAGGAAACGGGAATTATAATGGTTGTCCGTTAGTCACACCACGTTAGTCACATCACAAATACGGCCACCGCAGGTGCCAGATTTCGATAAGACTTATTAATTATATGGGCATACCTAATCTCAGATTTAAAGAGAGAGAGAGAGAGAGAGAGAAAAGGAAAGGGGGAATTCTAATTTGAAAGAATTTCAAATTCGTCGAAGCGGTTGGCAAACTTAGAAAATTTCCGAAAACTTCCTGAAATTACTTACTTCCGAATACATATTTATTTGTCTTAATCTTGATCGTTGTATTCACCCTACTGTGACTAAATTTACAATGCTAAAGGCTAAGCCTTTAACACGTTAACTGCCACGCACATTTCGGAGGAAATCTCCGTCAGGCCACGCGCGCTGCTTAGAAATGCGCTGGTATTGTGGTATAGCAATGCCAAGCGCAATAAAGCTTCAATAAAATCCATTAAAATTTTTTGATAAGAAATATTTAAGTACATTAATGATACGATCCTGGAATTACTTAAAATTTATTAAAACTGTAATTTTTTTAGTTTTATATCGTATTTTATATCGTCAGTCACCGGTGACTGACACGGCCCGAACGGAAAGTTCGGTGTCAGTCACTGGTGACTGACGTGGCAGTTAACGTGTTAATACACTTTATTGGTGAGAGCTGCAGCGTTGGTTTTAGGTACGCGGTACTTGAGTTGATTGCTGATTCGAGTTAATTTTTGACTTAACAGGTTCTTTCACTTTCTATTTAATAATTATATTCGTCACAGATCTGAAGAAGAATAGATAGAATAAGACAAAAATCGAGTAAATCTGCGAAAATATCTCACATTAGCATATTGGAGTGTCTTGTGTTTTTATATATTTTTATATTTTCAATTTTATTTTTATATACTAATTTTGTAGTTTATAATTTTTATATACTTATTTTTATATACTAATTTTGTAGTTTGTAATTTTATTTTTATATACTAATTTGTTTGGCGTATATCGAACGGCTAGTCGTTCGAACCTTAGTGCTGGTTAAGAGGTACACTGTGTATTATGTACATAATGATATTTGTTCAGAACTCGATGTTTCGTTGTGAGATGTCTATATGAAAGCAATTGCCAAACTTAAATATGACTCTCGCGAGCCACCGTTACTCGGTTAAACAATCTCTCCACATTGAGTAATGTAAAGAGATTATTATTACTCGAATTATGTGACGATGGTGACGTCAATCACAGAAAATCCGCCGATTGTACTTGCTTTTAATTAACGAGAGATTTATCGTACGATGTTATAAGTATAGAAACTTATAAGAAAGGATTGTTGAGAAAAAGCGAGAGCTTGTTTTAGATAGGTCAATTTATATTTCTCCGCCGACCTGTGTATACATACATATTTGCCTGAAATAAATGTTAAATGTTGAAAGACCGTCTCTTAATTATCCAAAAATATCCTGCATGTATTTAAAACGAAAATCTTGTAATTTGTTAAATTTGACAATGAAAGGAGTCATTATTTCTCAATTATGAAAGAAGATAAAATTCAATGAACTATAACATCGATTAAAATAATGGTAAACAGATGATTCGGGAAGCATTTCACAACTTGAAGTTTCTAATTTCCAATTATTACATGCTTGAACAAGTTTCCGCCGTTTTTTTATGAAATAAATGATTATCACAATTGATTTGTATCATTTTTCTGGATGTTTGCAAGAGACAGTGGCAGATCCTAGTGGAGACTTCGATACTAAAAAATGCCTTAGCAAAGACTCAAACCTTCAGCCAAGATTCGAACCTTATGCCTAACGGGTTTTCACAGACACCGTTAGATGGCGGTGGATAACAGTTAATAAATGTGTACTCAACGACAAGTCAGACAGTTTTCGTTTTATTCCCAAGTGATAAAATTTAACGACTGGTCAGAGGCCTTTACATTTTGAAGTTTTACGATCCAAAAGCAAGTCGGAAGGCCTATTTCCAAGCTTCACGACTCAGCAGCAGGTCGAAGGATCTTTCTATTTTCAAGCAGTACGACTCAACGACAAAGTGAACGAATCTTGTACTTCTTCGGTGTCACTAACGAACAACATACACGAGATGGATGAACTTTAATTTTTATTCGCCGACAAGAAACGAAAACAACAATATTCGACATAAAGGTAACCATAGCGACAATTCTGGTTGGAAATATCGCGAGTCGGGTGATCGAGTCGGTCGCGTTTGACGCTATCGAAAGGGACTGATCGTTCCTCCGGCAAGATAAAGAATCGAAGTTCGAGCGCTCGGTCGATCATCGCCCATCCCTAGTGCAGTTGAAGTCATGGTGAACACGTAGCCGGCGTTTGACGTGTCCTAGCCTCCTAGCTTAGGCATATAGCGATTTGGTAATTTGTTGCGCGCCGCTTGGATTTGACCGATCGGACGGATGTTTACGCACATATGGCGAGCACGTTGTGAGAATTGACGCGGATCTGCTACCTATATCTACCAAGTCCGTGCACGCAGAGACGACTAACATGCTGCCGAACAAGTCGCCGTCGACGTCCTCGTCGCCGCAGTCGTCGTTGCCGTCGCAGTCGCCGTCGTCGACCTCCGCCTCGACAGCGAACGCCAAGAAGGTCATGTTCCCCGACAAGAAGCCGACGACGAAGCAAATGAAATCCTCCACGCTGACCAACGCCGCCGGCCTCAGCTCTCTCATCACCTTTACCGTGCTCCTGCTCGCCTGGATTTCGGGATTCGCCTCGCGGCTCTTCGCGGTCATACGCTTCGAGAGTATCATACATGAGTTCGATCCTTGGTACGTGGTGTCCACGCGCCGGTTATCTCGCCGCGTACGCTGATTACTCAGCATTCTATAGTCGACAAGTGATCCGATATCTCTCTCGTGACGATGATAGCCAATTTTTAGCCAGCATTTTTATTTCAATATGATGTAACGAAAATTTGAGACACACTCTTCCTGGAATGTTTTTATTAAAAAATATAGGAGAATTTGCATTCGTCAAAAAAATTTGCCGCAAAATCTCTTAGCTTTTAATCTTTCTGAAGGATAATGCGCGGAGTTTCCACGAGAATTACTTTTCATTCAATGAAAGCAATTTAGCAAGGAGAGATTGTTACCTTCCGTGTGAGATTTTTCAACATGACAGATACAATAATGGCTGTATTCAGAAAACACAAGCGATCGGCAAAGCTGTCGGTGATTGGTCTTTGCTGTTAGATTCTTAAATGTTAACCAATTACGTTGATGAATTACTGACTTAACTTTGCTATAACCATTGTGTTTTCTAGACGCAGTTAATGTATGGATGACGTATAATCAAGAGATATATCTCAAATTTAGGTTCAACTACAGAGCAACTGCGTATATGGTGCAGCATGGATTCTACAATTTTCTAAACTGGTTCGACGAGCGAGCGTGGTATCCGCTGGGCCGGATCGTGGGTGGGACTGTCTACCCGGGGCTCATGATCACATCCGGCTCGATACACTATGTGCTGCACTCGCTGAACATACCAGTGCACATAAGGGACATATGTGTGTTCTTAGCTCCAATTTTTAGTGGCCTTACTGCCATATCCACGTATTTATTGACAAAGGAAATATGGAGCGCCGGAGCGGGCCTGTTCGCAGCATGCTTCATTGCCATCGTACCCGGTTACATCTCGCGGTCGGTGGCTGGCAGTTACGACAACGAGGGAATCGCGATCTTCGCCTTACAAATCACTTACTACCTGTGGGTCAAGTCGGTGAAGACCGGCTCGATCTTCTGGGCGTGCATCACCGCCTTGTCCTATTTCTATATGGTGTCCGCATGGGGTGGCTACGTGTTCATCATTAATCTGATCCCGCTTCATGTATTCGCCTTGCTGATCATGAATCGCTTCAGCAATCGTCTGTTTACCAGCTACACCACGTTCTACGTTCTCGGGCTCCTACTGAGTATGCAAATACCGTTCGTCGGCTTCCAGCCTATTAGAACTTCCGAGCATATGGCAGCGGGCGGCGTGTTCGGTCTCCTGATCTTCATAGCAGCTCTTAGGTATGTGTTCCCTCCCGTTACGACGACAGTTCGCTAATCGTTATGTCGTTTCGTTTCATTTGCTGAATGATGGATAATAAAAGCCCTTTAAATGCCCTTTTCTTCTTTCTCTTTCATATATTTTCACCTTCTTCGCTCCATCATTCGCAATTTATTTTTATTAATAACACAGATATGTATAGTTTGTGAATGCATTTTAATATGTTCAGTTTCGTTTCTTGATTTCCTCGGTGTCTCATCATTTTTATTGTTTTATTATAACATTATTATTAGCGACGAGAGACTTTGGTTCTCAGTTTTGTTATATTTGTATCGTCTCTGTTCTATTTCTTCGTTTTCTCTTTCAGATACTTAAGAACTGTACTTACCAAGTCCGAGATGAAATATTTCGGCGGCGTGGTGGCCGTGACGGCGGTCATGCTGCTCTTAGTCTTGATTGCACTGACGTACGCCGGTGTCGTCGCGCCGTGGAGCGGCAGATTTTATTCGCTGTGGGACACTGGTTACGCTAAGATACACATACCCATAATCGCGTCCGTGTCGGAGCACCAGCCGACTACGTGGTTCAGCTTTTTCTTCGACCTGCATATTCTCGTTACGACATTCCCGGTGGGTCTTTGGTACTGTATCAAGCACATCAACGATGAGCGTGTCTTTGGTAAGAAATCATCGTGTGACGATACGTTCTCAGTTCAAATTAGCATATTCCAACGAACACACGTATGCAGGATTTTATCAACGATAGACACTATATTTATTACTTTCTTGGTTTCATCTCTTAATTTTCTCAGTGTCTTATTCTTAACTCATTACTTTATTATCAGCGCAAAGATTTTCGTTCTCTCAGTCTCGCTACATTTTCATTGTCTCTGTTCTGTTATTCTGAATTGATTTTTATGTCGTTATCATCAAAAGACAACGAATAATAATGAATTTAATCTCAAGCAAGATCACGACAATGCATAGTAAGCAATTGAATCTTCTTCACAGTCATATTGTACGCCATAAGTGCCGTTTACTTCGCCGGGGTAATGGTGAGACTCATGCTGACCCTGACGCCGGTGGTTTGCATGCTGGCCGGCGTGTCGTTCAGCAAGCTGCTAGAGCTGTTCCTCAAGGAGGAGGACAGGGACGGGAACGATCGGAACGGTAACGAGAGCGACGAGGAGAGCGAAGAGGAGAGGGAAAGGAGCCCAGGTAGAGCGTTGTACGATAAGGCCGGCAAACTTCGTAGGATGAAGCACGAGAGGCCGAGAGGCAGCGGCGACGGATTGGGCGCTAATCTGCGTAACGCCGTGATCATCGGCATACTCATGCTACTGATGCTGTTCACCGTGCACTGCACGTGGGTGACCAGCAACGCGTACTCGAGTCCGTCTATCGTACTCGCGTCGTACAGCAACGACGGCGGCAGAGCCATACTCGACGACTTTCGGGAGGCTTATTATTGGCTGGCACAAAATACGCCTAACGACGCCAGAGTTATGAGCTGGTGGGATTACGGGTATCAGATAGCCGGTATGGCTAACAGGTAAGACAGTCTAGTCATCGTAGTGTACCGAGTTTGGATTAAAGGTGATCTTCACTCGAGTCTGATTTTAAGTTAATTGACGATTTAAAATTGCTGCCAGTCAGGTGTTACCTGTTCTGTCTTGTTAATGCCTGTTTCTACTAACATCGTTGTAACCTTAACCTGAGTTTTAAGCGGTATCTTTAGTTAGAAATTTAAATTCAAGTTCAGGCTTAATTGACATTGACGGAAACGGGCATAACGTAAATAAAAATTAGCTTTTCAATTCACGTTCATCAGCTCGTAGATCACAGACGAGATGATCGATCGGTGTGTCAATTTGCGCAGAACTACGCTCGTGGACAATAATACGTGGAACAACTCGCACATAGCACTGGTCGGCAAGGCGATGAGTTCGAATGAAAGTGCAGCTTACGAGATCATGACGTCCTTGGATGTGGACTACGTGTTGGTGATATTCGGCGGGATGATCGGTTACTCCGGCGACGACGTGAACAAGTTCTTGTGGATGGTGCGGATCGCTGAGGGCGAGCATCCCCAGGACATTCGCGAGAGCGACTACTTCACAGAAAGGGGCGAGTTCCGCGTGGACTCCGAGGGCTCGCCCACTCTGCTGAACTCGTTGATGTACAAGCTGAGTTACTATCGGTTCGGGGACGTCAAGATAGACTATCGGTCGCCCTACGGCTACGATCGCACCCGTAACGCCGAGATAGGCAATAAAAATTTCCAATTGACGTATCTGGAGGAAGCTTACACCACTGAACACTGGCTGGTCAGGATTTATAGGTGAGTATCGTGGAAGTTTCACAAAAAGTTCACAACAGATTTCAATTTCTTTAAAATATGGAATTTATTATTTTATCATATTTTAAGGTTTGTTATATTTTAAAATAATAAATTATTATTTTTTTTTATTATTTTATTATATTTTATAAAGTAAAATAATGTTAGACTGTGATACTTTTTGTTTTAATTTTATTACTTTTAAATATATCGTCTTCAAGTTCGAAATTATATTCTCTGTCTCTTAATCGAGAAATACACATTTGCAGGGTAAAGAAACCAGCAGAGTTTAATAGACCTAGAATCCCGATCTCCGAACGGATTATCACCCGCCGTGCAAATTCGTATATTAGTAAAAAGGTTGGTGTTTAAATCTCTTAAAGGTAAACAAGGAAAGAGACACATTATTCGTTTTTATTTTATGGTCTCTCGTATCGTTTTACCTTTTTAATCGTCACACTTCAGTCGATCTGGAAACGTAGTTGAAGTTATGGGGGGTCGGGCATTGATGTTTCAGACCGCACGGCGTAAGCGAGGTTTCATAAAAGGCCGGCCAGTTGTTATTAAGGGACAGAAACCTCAACGACGAACGACGTAACGAAGATCCGCCGGCTATTTCGTAACGGTTTTCAAATACAACTTTTGTAATAAAAAAAAAAAGAATTACCGTCCCTTGGATCTACCACGAAACTATACCTCGAAACTAAGAGTTTAAATATCGTCGGAAACGGTTCAATTTGTTTCAGAAGAATAGAATACTTCGAAGTGTTTATTTTTTCCTTTTCCTTTTTCTTTTTCTTCGAACAATCAGAGATCAATTGAAATATGTTTTAAATTGATATTTCGTGTTCAACAATGTTACATATATGCGATGTTTATATGCGTACCACCGTAGTCCGATTCATTTCTCCTTAAAGCTGGAGCGCCGATCATAATTTGTTGCATCGCATGTGAAATCATGCGGTGCATCATTCGTTAATATATCATCATGCTTTCCAATTTCAGCGCGTGAATATTTCCGATGAGCGACTCGATAGATTTACAAATGTATTCATTATAGCTGATCACAATTGTATTGTATATTTTGCATTTCTCTCTAGACGAATTCTTCTTCATATATTTTTTTCTTTTCTTTATCTCTTTAGTCCTTAAATTATTCTCCCAAAAAACGAGTCGATTGCATTTAGTAGTTGACTGTGTGCAAATTTTCTTTCACAGGATTCACTTGTTTGTTATTAATCAAACGATTAAAACGATTGCGTCGGTCTCATATAAACGGAGACCCCTAAAGACATCCTATAGTTAGTGTACACACGTTTATGTTACATAGTATGTCTAATGCACATGGTATTGTATCGGACAGAGTCTGATAACGGAGCGAGAAAAACCGGACTTTTGCCGATTTTCAACTGGAACATCAGAAACAATCGAATGTGTGTCATGTGTACACGGTTTGTTGTATAGCACCTTGTTGAAAGATAAACATTTGTGATAACATAGTGTCGTTATTTAACAAATACGCATTCGAGATGCGGATCCAGTTTGTAATTTTTGTTTCACCCGTAACAAGAAACAAAAAGGGAACTTTTAATAACGTAGATTGCATATGCAACGCAAATTTGACATAATTTTAAAATTTATTTTGTTATATAAAAAAATATACAGGGAAATTTTCTAGTAGGTCTCACAAGAAAATATTACAACTATTTCAGCATTTCCTTTACATAACTTCTGTTAAAAAAAAGAAACTGGAGAAATAAATTATGTAACAATGGTTTTATGCATATTGGTATGTTATTGTTGTATATTAGACATTAGGTTCGGTTATTTTAAATAATATAATACATATTCTATTAAACAGAAACGATTAAAATTTATCACTTAAATAATTAAAACGAGATGATTTTACTAGAGGAATCTGGTCGGGAACGTGAAAACCTGGGTATTGTTGGCCTGTATATTTAAAAGATGGGCATTCCATGGGAAGTGCATTGAGCTCTCTTTCACAACTTTTCAGTTTCTCTTTAAATTTCCTTATCCGTGTCATCGGACAGATCGCCCAATTCATAAAAGTCCTCTTGCGAACCAGCGTTACCGAATATACCTGCGCGAGGATTGACATTGACGCTGCTGAATATTCCCGTAATGTCTACACACGAGAATTTGTTTCGTTTCAATTGTCTGTCAATCGCCTCCTTCAGCGTGTTGTACACAGCTATCATGTCACGTGGGCACTGCGACAGTAGATCTGAAGGCAGATTCGAAAACTTTGCTCACAATGTTTACGATTATCAGATATTATAATAAACATGTGATAGAAACATTCTTACGTTTGTAGACCGGCTGTCCAATGTCGAACATTTTGTGGTAGTAATACAACTGATTGTAAAGCTCCGTCCCGGAATACTGAAAACATGCATGAATATCTACATTGAGCATGAAAATTTCGCAATATAGATCTCTATAGAACGATTCGATTCGCGCTGAATTGTCAACTGTATCACTAAATCAAGAGATTAAAAGACATCAACCTGCTCTTTTTCATTTTATGAAATTCAATTACTTAAATCTTTCGAAAGAGAGAGAAAAAAAGAGAGAGAGAGAGTGTGTGTGTGTGTAACAATAAAAATTAATTGCTTAGCATTTCTGAAAAGGACGTTAGTTGAAAAAATCGATAATTCGTAGTTTTGAGTTCACTTACAACCCTAGACATAGAAATATCCTTGCACAATGGACAGTTCGGGAATTTTCTAACAAAGTCCAATGGTAGCCTCCTGGTTCTGTTTAAACACAGCGGATTCTCGCATTCTAACCAGCCATTGTAGTATTTGCTGATCGCTCTTCTCATAGCAAGTTGAACTGCATTTTGTATTGCATTTGCATACCTCCAGGGTGGCAACTTGCAGTCCTGATTTGGGCACATGCTGAGCGACAATTGCCGACCGGAATGCTGCGGGGAAACACGTAAGTATCTCACAATGCAGCATTGACGGAACTAGTTTTAAGTTCGTTTAAGCTACTTTGCTCGGGAAAAAATGATGTTCAAGATCTAAAAAGAAGCGACTGTAATGAGAAAGAAGAGACGAATACTCACAAACTCGGTTACAGTGTCTTTGATTATTATTTCACTGTTGCATCGTTCATTTCTGCATTTAAACGTTAAAGGCACGCAATTGTCGAACCTTTCGTCATTGATGGACAGCGGCAGGTTCAGTGTCGCCTCGCAGACTATCGTTTTGGGTTTGTAAACGAATTGTAAACCTAATGAATAGATCCAGGCATGTGAAAAACATCGCGTATCGCTCGATTTCTACTGTTCGCAATATCTACGAGTCATACCTAAATTATTAGCCAGGAAGACGTCGTCGATACCCTCGATCGGCTCGCAAATTCGCAGCACCACGGGAAATATCTGACTCAGCAAGTAGTAATTTACATCCACCTTCAGTTTCTCGCTGTTCTTCACTTCGTCGATGTGGTACGCTCGTTCCGTCGCGCTTGCGTTGGTCCCGTCCTAAATTGTTGAAACAACAGTTTTTACAATCCGGAGACACTCACGAATTTGATAATTTAAGATCTTGAGTTATGTGACAACTATATCTTAAGTTACATTACTAAAAAGCTGCGTTATTAAATTATATCTTAAATTATACAACTTAAGGAATAACAAAGATATAATTTAAAATAAAAACTATATACTATTATTAAGCTACATCTTAAATAATATATGAAGTATAAGAGACAAAATTTACCGGATAAAAGTACTACAAAACTGCTAGAGTAAAAAATAAAATATAGATGGATAAAACTATCAGGGGAATAAAGAGATACATGTAACTTAAGTTATACAATTTAAGATATTAAATTTGTAAGATCGTAGGAGAAACGAACGAAACCTCGCATATGATGTAGGGCAGCGTGTCGCCGGCCTTCCACATTCGGCCGCCTGCTTTATTCAGCCTCAGCGCCACCATCACATGCGACAACTGCTTCTTATCCGGATACGCTTCCGGATTCTTCGACAGTTGTTTGGTGATGACGAACGACGACATGGGCGCCGTTCCCTCCTTCACACTCTTCGCGACGTTCTGCAGAATTTGCACGACCTGCTCCAGACGCGTATCGCTCGACTGGTCGCAGAGGAGTATATCCAGAATTTTTCTGAAAGGGAAACACGCGCGTCACACTTGAGCGAAGCCCAACGAATAACTTCGACCTCGGCAAACGTCGTTATGTATATTTGCTAACTTTCCAGTCTCGCAGGCCAACGGGCACCAATCCCTCCTGACGATGTCCAGACCCTTGTGCTCCTGCACCAATTGCAGTTGCCCGCTCGGCAACTTCGTCATCGTAACGGCAGCGTATTTCTTCTTTTGCAACAGCAACAGGTACCGGAACACTCCGTCGATGTCCAATTCGACTTTCTTGTATCGGTTATTGACCTCCCGCATGATCTACGAGATATTCGATCCCGTCATATCGCTTATTGAATTGCGAAATGTATAAGAATTTACAACACAGAAGTCACATTCGAGTACAATATTATAGATGAAGATAAAAAATCACACACACTCTCTCACCTTCTTGCCGATTGAAAAAACGTCGTCGTACTCCAAGATGTTGGTGTTTATCATCAACGAGTCGGTGTCACCGTAAATGACCTCGTACTGCAACTTCTCGACCAAGTGCTTCGTGTCTTCTAGAATCTCCCGACCCTTCGCTGAAGGATAGAAAATTTCACATGACGTCGATGCTGCGTTCCAGCTTCATCGATCTTTCGTCTTACCTGTGATCAAAGCAGCGAGGCCTTTGGCGTAAAACCGGCAATGCGTCGCTCCTAGGCAGCCGTACATGGAATTGGCGGTGAGCTTCAAGGCCATCTGCCTGATATGGTAATCCATCTTCTGTTCCGGCGTGAGATTCGGCGTTTTCATAAGTTGCTTGATCTGCTGCCTGCTCTTGACCAGCTTGTGAATTTCAGTCGGGACCACACCGGTCTCCAACGTTGAGTCGGGAATACTCAAGTCCTGCGCGTCGCACGATCAAATATATTATTCGAGACCGTCACGCTTGGTCGATGTGTGTTGCGATTTGAGAAAATTACCTCGACGTCAGCGTAAGCCGCACCGGGTACAGTGGTGAAGCACAAGTTGTATTCTTGTATGATGCTTGGATACAGCGAATTGAAGTCCATCAGCAGCACCAGTTTGTCGTAGAAACCTTTCTTCGGATCGAGCACCAAACCTCCCGTATACGCCGCGGCCTTCTTACGAGGATCTGTGTGTGTTTGGCATTAAGTCAACTTAATATCGTTAGTAATAACGCAGGAAAAAAAAACATGTTTTATATATATATAAATTATATTTTTTAATTTATTCAATTATATTTATTATATTAAATTTCTTATTGGATACTTTATATTAGGTAATGGTATTAAATAAATTTAATAAAAATATATTAAATATTAAAATCTCACTGTCATCTCGTCTCTTTTCAGTCTTCTTGTCCGGTGTTATGTAATCCTTCAGATGAAAAGCATGCAAGAGAAGGTATTCGTTTCTCTCGGCTCTTCCGCCCAATAGGGTTCTCGACAAGATATTACCTACATCCATTTTATCGATGATTAATCACAATTGCAACTGTACACTCTTTCTCTCTTTCTCTCTCATACACATGGACATATTAGCGATACATATCGAAACCTTACCGGCTAAACAGGTGATTTGAAGCGCTAACGGTATAACATTAAGATCCATTACTATAGTTATAATGTATTTTGCTTCCTTTAACGTCGTGTGTATCAGACTTGTTATTTTATCCGGGGTATTGTAGTACGACGGGGTCTCCGCTGGCGTGATCTCCTTGCACTCGTGTTCCTTCGTCCTCAGCACCTAGAATTCAAAACCACGTCGATCTCGATCGAATAAACGGTGCACGGTGCTATCGTTCCGACTTACCGCACTGCAGAGCGACACTAGATCGTAACTTCTCACTTTCAAGTTCAATTCTTTCGCCGAGACTTGAATGTCGCAAATCGGACGGCCGACGAACGCTTGGTTAAGAATAATCTTGCCCTGCAAAGAGGTAGTTTGAATCGTGTTTCTATTTATTTTTTTTTTAGAATGCGTTGATTTCATTACTGCTTTTAACTTGTGTTTATTCAAAAGACGACAAACGAGGTAATCACGCGTACCCTAATAAGAGGAGGAGTTGTTGACTTTAATCTTCCCATTCTATTCCAATTGGGCACTTTCAAGGCGAACATTCTTTGCATCAACACGTCGAACTGAAAAGCACAGTCGTAGCCTATTATCAAATCCGGGTCTGCTTTTTGCAACAACGTCAACAACTCTTCGAGCAATTCACTCTCGATTTCGCACTTGATTATCTCGGTATTCTGGATTCTAGGTAGCATATCCTGAACTTGCCGTGGCCATGGGATATCTCGTGGCCGTGTAACAACTATACACGATGAAAACAGCGAAATCTTCGTTAGTTTCTTGAAAGAAAAAAACCAACAAATGCTATTCCGCAAAGCAGAGAACAATCCACGAAAACTTTATGTGAATTAAGTGGCAACGATCTTCTTTTGCTCGTCTGAATCGCAGAATGACATTAGTTGCTCCCTTTTTATGGTGATATGTCAAAGTAACCGTATATTAATGATGAGAGAAACGTACGGCAAAACTGACGGTCGTAAGGTGGCTTTGGTGGTTCCTTGTCGACGTTATACTTATGATGAATTAATACCGCGACCATCACTACTTCATTCTGTAGCTTCGAGTTCAAAGACATCCTCACATTTAACGTCGCTATCACCATCGGCGGCTTGGCTTTCTCTTCAGAACATAGCGATATGTTGTCCATGTCTGAAGTAACCACCTGTTGCATCATAACATAGCAATATTATCATTGTTGAAGAGAACTCGAAAGTATCGATCGCTATTGATTTCGCGACCTTTACTTGAAAAAAGTTATATTTATTTATAAATATTAAATTTACTACTTCACCGCCTGGCTCTTATTACATATTTTATATATTTTCACCGAATGAATTCCAATTATTTTTCATATATATTTAATTCCCTCTTTTAATCCCAATTACAATAATAATTCGCACTTACTATTTGTTGGCACCAAGTGAAACGCCCTGCGTTAGACGACACGTTCTTGACGTCCAGCCATCCAGGCCCCTTGATTTTTCTTTCTACAAGCAACAGTTCCAACGGGTTCACTGTCGTGCCGAAGACACGCTCGATCGCCGGACCCGAGTAATCGGCGTTGATCGCTGGATAACGCGCGTTATACCTGACCTCCAAGTAATCGGACGTCTTCGGTGTACCCTCCTTTTCGAAGGAATAATGCTTCTTCGACTCTTTACAGTTAAATTCCATTATGTGCATCTTGTTGGCATATTCATCGAATTCTTTGTACACGTCTTCCATGGTAGTTAATTGGGGTTCTCCGCTCTTGGAAGTCTTCAACTGAAATTCATGACAGACAGTGAGCTGATACGTGTAACAAATGGCACAGTTTGACGAAGAAAGAATATGCGGGAAATTGCACGTACGTGTTTCCTGGGTAAGAGATATATTCTCCTCGGTATATAGTGCACCATGACGCAACAGGAGCAGTACGTATCGTGACTCGGTACGTAGGTCTTGCCGAAGAGGTACACAGTTCCGGGATTCTTGTAAGGGTTTTCGTACGCGTCCAGATAGTAAAATCTGAACACCTCCACCTCGTCCTTCGTCTTGACCAATTGCGGCGCTACTTCCGTCAAATCGACCGCATTCCCAACCTTTATACCTTTGACGGAAGTCTTGCACGTAGCATTTTGCACGTTCATCCCGTTCTTCTGAGGTTTAACGATGCTTACTGGTGAGGAAAAGTCTCCGTCCATGATCCCATCGTCGAAGTCTATACTAGACAGCTACAATATGTATTTCATATATAGTATTGCGCTCTCCTGTATGAATAATACGATAAAGCATGGTAAAGAACAAAGAACTTACATCCTCAACACACTCATTCGGACCCAAATTTGATTCCTTCTCTGCTTTTGAACATATAGACGACAGTTCCGACTTACTAAATAACTCTTCCTCCGCAAAATCATCATCGATCATCTGACTCGCATTTTGGCAAGTTTTGGTGTCTTTCGACTCGGCTTGTTTATTTGCGTTTCTTTGTGATTCTTCGAGTTTAGTATCTTCATCAATTCTCTGGTTCGTATTCTGATATCGTCTAATGTCATTAGGACCTATTGGTTTATTTGTACTTTTCTTTTGTGGTGCATCAAATATCAAAGCTGTATCATCATCCTCAATTATCTGACTTGCACTATTCACTTCTAGCTTCTGAGTTATCCTTTTGTCGTTTGCCTCTTGGTCTACAGGTGAAGATTGATTTTTGTGTCTATAATAAATTTAGCATTTGTGAGTTTAATACAAACTTGTAAGATCAATACAAAACAGTACATATGAGTATGTACAAATATAACTCAACAACTCACGCAAGATCTGAATGAACTGTGTGGCAAAATTTGTTTTTCATTTCTCTTGGCTTAGAATTATCAGTTGTCTTCTTATTTGTTGAAATCTCACTGAGCAACTCTCCTAAAATATCATCATCCTTGTAGTCTGTATTGATGCCCTTTTTAGAAGGCATATTCCTAATCATGCTCTGAATATCTCCTTTCTTCTTTTCTTCTTCTTTTCTTTTCTTCCTAGGACCAGACATATTATACTTCTGTCTTTTCGCATCTTGAATGCTTTCTTCATCCAAATCGTCGTCAAAAATCTCTCTCCCATCTTCCACATAACCACTTTTCCCTTTAATTTGTTAATTTGAAATTAATACTTAAGTTTTACAGTTTTCAAGAAGACGTTACTGACTATAAAATATATTTGAGGTAAGTTGCTTTCCAGCAAAATTTTCTTTAATTGTAGTAAAATATTCTTAAATCAAACAAGAGAAATAATTGTTTACCATCATCGACTATCCAGTCATCCTGTTGACGCTTTAGAACAGTAGTGCTGTATTCTTTCTCATCTACCTCGTCATACACATTTTCTATCTCTTCAACCTCATACTTGCGCTTGCCACTTCGGGTTTCCTTCAATTTCTCCAAAGCCGAAAGCCTGCCAGTCTTATCAACTTTCTGACGTCTGTTCCTTCCAGACGTAGATGCTAAAACAATTTCGTTTAATCAGACAAACTGCAATATTTGCAGTTGGATCATTCATCACTCAAAAAACACAGCATGAATGAAGCGTAACAACAGGTCGAAGAAAATTCAGAGACGTTTACGAACATTTTGTCACTGCGCGATACTTGGCCGGAATTGTTCCGATACTCGACAGCATATCAATTTACTTACGCTGCGAATCGTCCATTATTTTTCCCGTAAGTTGCGTTTATCAACGAAAAAACAAGAACGACATTTCGTGCCGTATTCATTCGGTGAGTTTTGGCGGGAGATTTCAAGCAACACGAAGGCGCACATTCATGAAATGCTGAACTAATGTCAAGTGTAGTCACGTGACAACACATTGTTCCGTTTAGAAAACATAATAGTTGACAATTCGTTAATATAATTGGTCTAAATTTAAGGATCTAACAGTAAAGACCAATAATCATCGACCGCTCACTGATCGCTTGTGTTTTATGAACGCAACCATTGATGCCAACGTTAAAGGCTACGTTCCAATATTCATTGGTAGTGCTGAAAAACTATAGTATACGTTACATGAACTATAGATTTTAAACGCTAGCAGTGAATTTCGGAACACTGCCAATGTTACCTCGTCGTTATGTCATGTAATGTGAACTGCCAATGTGAATATTCTAATGTTTTACGTCGAGTTTAATGTTACTTGTCGAGTCTCTACTGTAGCCTCTACTAATCGAAAAACACACCGCGTCGCAGTTCGATATCCAATAGAAAAAGCGGCTTTCTAGAGGTCTCAGACTTTCCTTTAGCCCCGAAGTTCACACAATTACATATCTATTTCGAGATTTGGTAGCACTGGTCTCGCGTTCGCTCTGTACTTCAAAGCGGAAGCTTCATGTTTAACGAACAACAAGGTGCGAGACGGTAAATATTCTTCTTTAGGTTACACGTTTGCATAGCGATGAGATTATCGGTTTTCGTACTAATTATCGACAGTTAGAGCTAATTCGTGAATTGCTTTGTCCGCGATAACAGTATCTCGAATTTCGGAGCAATTTGAATTTCGAGAGTGACTCTCTTTACGTTCTATTGCGTACGTCTTACATGCGTATATATATATGTACATATTAATTGTATTTGATGTGAAGCGGTGATGAAAAATATGCAAAAAATTAGTTCAATGCCTTGACAAGGGTTTTCTTCACGGTATTTTGTCAAGAAAAGATTACGTCATTGTTTCATTCGTGCAATCGGTCGGTTTGAATGATTATTTTTTCTTTTTCTTTTTGCAAGAAGAAACGAAGGTAACAAATCTACACAGTTTCATCGTATAATATCGTGAATCGTTAATAAAGAAGCTTATTAGAATACAAGTTGTGTGTTGTGGCAACAACTCCTTTTTTTTTTACATTGCTATAATTTATCTTTCAATTATCTAGCTTATTATATAGAGATATTACGATACAGAAAGTGTGCATTAGGTTATGTTTTTAACAGGCAACCTTTTCACAAAATCTTTGTGCCAAAATAGTATTCATACTTGAGTTTTATATAGGAAAAGTACTTTCATAGCAAAAATATACTTTCAGTTATAATGGCAAAGGCACAACATTTCAATGCAGAGCCAGATAGTTTTTATGATCCAAACTTCACCTTGGATATCAATACACGAATGCGTGTTCCAAAAAGCATTCGTGTAAGTGGAGATTACGCTGAAGACAGCACAATAGCAAATGGATCGGCATGGAATCAACCTGCTGCAGAGAAAATTGAAATGCATGTGCCAGATAGAATTCTTGTTGTTGGTGAGGTTTTAGTTTAGATATTAAACTATCTTGTAATTATTAGAGAAAACAATTTCATGTAATAGTTCTTTTATGTAATATGTTTCATATAACTTAATTATCATTGCAGGACAAGAACAACATGTTGGCACAAAAGCTCCACCGCTAGAAATTGCTTTGGAAAATGCTGTTATGACTCCTGAACTTGGAATTATTAGAGTACAGGTAAGGCATTAACCTTCCAATAGTACGGTTGGGGTTGAATTCGACTCCATATTCTGTTTTATTCATTTTTCATCTAATATACGAAATAGACACAAGAAGTGAATAATAGTATGAACTTTTTTCTTTTCGACAATTTTGTTTATTTATAATTGAAAAAATAGAATAAAGTTTACTTATTTTAAATAATTACAGTAAAACACTTTGAAAAATGCTTTGATATTCTAAGAATCCACGTTATTATTAGAGGGTTAAAGAGATGAATATCAAAGAATAATGATTCATTATCAAATACCTTCTTTTTTGTTTATAGACTCCTCCAAGAATCCTAACATTGGACAACCATTATTTTCCAGCAGTAGATGAAGAAGACCAATCTGCTACATGTGAAAATAGAGAAACAGTTGCTAGGACATATAATCCTGAGGTACAGATTGTGAGACATGTCAGGTATGGAATTTTATATTAATTATATAACTATGTACAATTTTCCGTGAAACGCTGTTTTATCACTATATTAACAATATGATCTGCTTCTTATTTTGCACTATATGTAATTTGCTTCATGCTTTTGATACAGAGAACAAACACCCTCTTATGGTCCTCTTGATGTTTCTTTACCACCCAGTGAAGAAGTACAGCATTTACGCCGTCAAGTAGGTAAATTGAACCGCAGGGTGATGGCACTCGAACAAGATTTAATAAGTCGTCAACAGAAAGAAAAAATGATGTACATAGCTACCATAGCGTATCTTATATTGAAAGCTTTCTCCTGGTTAAGTAGAAACTGAATGAAAAATGAAAGAGAGACAAATGTCAGGGATTCTTTACTAGAAAAATGTTGTTAACCATCAATCTTGAGCCATTCTTGCTATGTGAAAGTATAACCAAAGACTTTTTACCACAGTCTCGTGAAATCAGACAGAACAAAAATAATCGACTACGTATATATGATACAAAATAGAAATAGATATGTATGATCATTTCTATTATCTACAATTATTAACAACCGGTACATTATCGTGGCGATTTATCATCTTTGCCGCGTTAAGAGCAAAAGTCTCGCTTAACTTTAAAAGACATATATGTACTGTATTAGATTTGACAATATAGGTATTATTATTCATGTACAGTATATGGAGAAGTAAACTAATAAATTAGATTAATTTTCATATAATATAGACAACATACGACAGTAACAGATATTTTGTTGAGATACTACGTGCATATATAACTCAAGTTTTTCTTCTTGATAGAAACGATTTATTTTGGTGATATAACATATATACGTGTGTGTGTGTGTGTGATGTGAAAGTTATATCCTTTACTACATTTAATGATTTATTTCGAAGTATATCTCTGATCATTTTTTTTTTTGTAATCAGACTTAAAGTTGTAGCTTCTTATTCAGTATGTAGAATTGGATGAAATTGATAATATTAGTGGAACGTTATATATACATGTAACTATGAAATTAGATAGTGAAATTATATTGTATATACATACATGTTGGATATATGAATATGTATATGTACATATAAATTATACATGCATATATGTATAGACATGTGTATATATACATATATGTATGCATATATGTATGTGTATATATATACTTTACACAATGTAATATGCTATTATCAGATATGAATTTTATGTTATTGTTAGAAGTTTATTCAACTTTATTTACATAATGTGATTGTCATTTATATTAAAATTATACATTGTGTATCACCAAAATGATTTCTATAATATAAAAGTACGTTATTCTCATAAAGTGTTTTCTCGTTATATTAATTAACTATTCGTGTATCAATGTCATAAAAGATGTTTCCTACTACCCGTTTGGAAAAATAAATTTCAATTTCTTCATATAATAGAATTAACACAGCATTAATCCCTTAAAAATCTTTAAAATGATGTCCGGATTAGTAAGCCTTTAGATTTTTGCTCTAAGCATTAAATATCATCTGTTTCTTTCAGCTTAACTGATAAAACTTGTTTGAAAAATTTAAATATATATTGAAGCGTACGTACAAAATTCTCACGTTTCAACCCGTGTAAATTTCTTGATCAAACGGTTCAGTTAAGAAGACGGACTAATTGTAACGTAAATTCTAATCTTGAATGTCAATACTTTAAAATGGCAAAAAGTCAATACTTTAAAATGGCAAGGCGACAATAACTTAAATGCAAATGATTAGTATTTTTGTGCAAAGTTGAGCGACACGAATTAATTAATAGACCTGATAATATAAAGATGCATCAGTCAGAACACAGCATTTCTAACATGTCACTAGATTCCACCAGATACAGTACGAAGCACCGTATATCGCAGGCTTAAGCCTGCAATCAAACTATAGATTATGAATGTATCGAATCAATCAGAGTAAATTTACTAACTTGAGTTTAGTGAAATCCGTAATCTAATACCGGCTATAAGATCCGATTATGAACGATATTTATAGAGTCGGATCTACTCGAAGCTGCAACTATTTTGGGACATTTAGAAAAAATATTTTTCGAACAAAAATTTGAAGTATTTTTAGCGTAAAGTGGATCTTACGCATAGTCATATTTTATTGTCGTGTTCCGAAACTCTGTAGTTGTAGGATAGACCAGAATTTTATCAGTCAATCGTGATAAAGAAATCTTTACTCTTCTTGTTCTGATTGATCAATTAAATACTACGCTATACATCGACTATGATTTCCGAATGCAACCCTTAGATAGATATTACAACCATGCGTTCGTGAATACACATTGAGAATAGAGTTTAATTGACCACATTTAATTGACCGATCAAGGATCAATTGTGTATCTCAAAACATGGTAAGAATCATAAAAGTGAGCGAATTTATTAGAACACTTATAATTACATTGGTCAACATCTGGTAAATTTGCTCACTTTTAATTCTTACAACCGACCGCCAGGAAAAAAGAACTAAAATTCCTTTATCACGATTGGTCGATTAAACGTTGCTCAACCTCCAATACGTATTCCCGAACGCAGCCCATGAGACTCGGGGGAAATGCTCGAAGAGGTCCCGACAGATAATCGCCGGTTGGCGTGCCTGCGAGCACACAAGAGAGGTCAGTGCACGTCACGTAGTTATTGCTCGAAGCCGAAGGAGGAATTCGGTACGGTGAATTCGTTCGCGGGTGATTCCGGTCAGCGGGACAGCAGCGAACGTCTTGGGACTCTCGCGAGCGGGCCGAGGACATTGTCGGTGCGCGGTCGGCTCAGCGGTGCTCGCTTCCGGACGGCCACGTAGTGCGAGACTGTGCGGAGAGCGCGCAGGGTTGGAGTTCGCGTTCACAAAAGAGAGAGAGATCGCGGAAGTGTGTTGGCGCGTTCTTCCAGTGCGGGCGCGAGAGAGAGTGCACCGAGAGACAGAGCCGACGGGCAAGCCGTTGTGGCATGTAGAGGCGCGCCGCCGCCGCCGCTAACTGCATGTAATCGCGCGCTACGTTCCCCCTCCTCCCCTCCGCCCGCCTGTCCTTCCGTAGCCGGTGCTGACACGGGCCGTCTAAATCCGCACCCCGGTTCTACCGACCGACGACACGGGCGCCGCCGTCGCTCGACGCTCGCCGACGACGACGACGACGACGAGAACAACGACAGCTACTACGACGAAGACGATTACGACGACGGCGACGTCGACGACGACGACGACGACGACAGCAACAACGACGAGACGCAGGCCGCACGACACAGGTTATGTCAACTGGATTGTCAGGCGCTGTCTCAAACCAGGTCAGTGTGTTGTGTTGACTACGCTACTCCACCATCACCACCGTCGCCGCCGCACGCGTCTGCACACGGCAGACACCATATACCCTCACTCTCTCTCTCTCTCTTTCTCTCTTCCTCCCTTCCCCCCTCCGCGTACGCGCCCCCCCCCCCCCCNCTCGTCACGTCAGCGAGGACTGTCCTTCTAAATTTTGTATGTTTTTTCATGCGACGGCATGCAGCGGATGAAAGGACAAACTGGCAACCAAGGTGAGTACCGAGAGTCGAGCATGCATCTGCACCGAGCATCCTTCCCTCGTCGTTGTACTCGACACACTTGATACTCACCCGCGGCACGGAACACACGTGTTGAATGTGTGCGAAGAACGGGTGAATTTCGTCAGTTGGATGACACGACGTTGATTTTCCTCGAGTGCCATGTCGAGCTGTCGGAAATCAACGGTCGAGCATCGAAGATCGAAGAGATTCAAGATTGAAGCTTAGAACTTGACCAATTTGGACAAAACAAGCCAAGATTGCAGTTCATTGATTCATTGAATTCAAACTTATTGTCTACGATCATTAATCTTCATTACCCAGTCTGACACGCGGACTTTAGAGATATCCAATTGTGTGTACAGTGGTGAACAGGGGAAGGTTGTTATGCATACATTGTGAGATTGTTAATTTTCTTTACGAGTTTTGCAACACATCCAATGGGAGAATGTATCTTCTGAGAATAACTAAAGAACAAATTCTCGTATTGGATACGGGATGCTTTCCCAAACTTATCCAGAAAGAGTGTCACAACCTTTCCGTTGCCCACCACTGTACATCGAGTACAAAAGTCGCTTGAGAGAAGATCTTCAGTCTGAACGATTAAGAGGAGATTAAAGCTGATAGAATGCCATTTGGCGCGACATTCTGGTTTAAATGTCTTTCAGAGTAATCTTTGTTAGGATTCGACAATGCATCGACTCGTCGAGATATATCGATTTCAAGAATATTATATTTCACTTCATGTCTCGTAATTGTAAACCCGCGTTTACATTCTCTGTAAACCGCTTGTAAATATATGCAATGTAATGTGATGCACAGGCAACAATAAACAGCTGTCAATTCTGCTCGTTGTTGTCATAATGTGTTTACGAATCGAGCGTCGTACACTCACATTGCTCAGCGTCTTCGAGTGTGTCGATAACATTCCCAAGATCCGACTCACAACCTCTCTCTACTCCGGCCCCCACAGATCGTCCTTTTAAATCATGTGTGTGCAAAACTATGCAAGTATCTTACCCTCTCTCTCTCTCTCTCTCTCCCCCCCCCTCTCACCCCTTTCTCTCTTCCTCTCTCTCACAGTAAAAAATTTTGTGTTAAATTTAACATATTTCATATGTTCCAAACGGCCCACTGAAATTTTTGTGTTAATTTAATACAATTTAACTAATTTATTTAATTAATTTAACATTAATTATTTAATTAATTTAACACAAGGTGAATATGTTGAAAAGTAACACAAATATTATGTCGAAAATTAACACATTAATCAACACTGAAGTATAAAATATGTCAACACTTACGCATATTGAATATCGACACAAATTATTAAGATAACGTAAACATGATATGTATTAAATTAATATTTAACGGATATGTTAGAAATTTAACGCGAAAATTTTCAACAAGGACCGATTCGGACACAAAATATTGTTTACTGTGCTCCTTCTCACTGACGCTGCAAGCGAATAAACGCAGAAACTCTGTTCGGAACAGTGAGCAATGGCCCTAAGGAACACCAGCAGCAACAGCAGACGGAGCATGCCGCTGGCGAGGACACCGGTTTCGATTCGTGGCGAGGTGGCAACAATGCTCAGCATCACTCGAGTTATCCGATCGGCGCCGGTGATCCGTACAATCCGTACTACCCCGGCACCTCGTTCCCTTATCAGACCTTCGGCGACGGTACATGGTCGAACGGCACAGACCCGGTGGCTTTTCTGTCCGGCTACGGCGGTCAAATAGGCCACGATGCGTACGGCATGGACGGTATGTTCTCGGCGAACGCTGCCGCCGCCGCCAGCGGCGGCTTCGGCACGTTCGGCCAGCCGCAGTTTAACTACTTCCACGGTAACGGCGACTTCAGCGCTTGGGGCACGCCAAGGAGGACCAAGTACGAGGACTATTACCCGCGCGGTAACGAGAGCTACACCACGCCGAGCAGCACGGACATTAAGACCATCGAGCAGAGTATGCAGAGCTTGTCGATCGGCAGCACCGCGGAGCTACCGAGGCAGGATCAGCAGCACTCCGCTGCGGCGGCGGCGGCGGCAGCTGCGGCTGCGGCCGTGGCGCAGCAGCAGCTCAAGCCGGAGCCGAAGGAGCCGAGGAAGATCACGTGGGCGAGCGTAGCAAGCCAGCCGGCGAAACCGGTGCCGCCGTTGTCCTCCACCCAGGGTATGAAGAAGAAGGCGGGCATGCCGCCGCCGCCGATAGTGCCGGGCAAGCATAACATGGACATCGGGACGTGGGGCGAGGGCAAGTCTTCCGCGCCGCCGCCGCCGACGGCACCTCCGCCGCCGCAGGTGCAACCGCCGATCCCGCCGCCGCCGCCCCCCGTCCAGAGACAGCAGAGACCGCCCCCGCCGCCTCCCTGCTGGAACCGGCAGCCGACGGCGGCGACCCCGCCGCCTCCTCAAATCCACGTACCGCCGCCGCAGTCGCAGCATCAGCAGCACCAACAGCAGCAGCAGCATCATCAGCAGCAACAACAGCAGCAGCAGCAGCAGCAACAACAGCAGCAACAGCTCGTACAGAGCCAATCGCATCCGGTGCTCGACGAGCTGAAGGTGAAAAACGATTACAACCCCGTAGAGTTCGATCAGACCGCGCCCGGGGCCAGGTTCTTCGTGATCAAGTCCTATTCGGAGGACGACATACATCGTTCGATCAAATACGAGATCTGGTGCAGCACGGAACACGGCAACAAGCGGCTGGACCAGGCTTACCGGGAGGCGAGTCGCGAAGGCGCGCCCCTCTATCTGTTCTTCTCCGTCAACGGCTCCGGCCACTTCTGCGGCATGGCGCAGATGGTGTCGCCGGTCGATTATCAGTGCAACAGTAGTGTCTGGTCGCAGGACAAGTGGAAGGGTCAGTTCCGCGTGCGTTGGATTTACGTGAAGGACGTTCCTAATGTGCAACTGCGACACATTAAGCTAGAGAACAATGAGAACAAGCCGGTGACGAATTCGCGGGACGCGCAAGAGGTGCCGCACGCCAAGGGTGTCACGGTGCTGCGCATACTGCACACCTACCGCCACTCCACCAGCATCTTCGACGACTTCGGGCATTATGAACGCAGGCAGGCCGAGGAGGACCAGCGTAAGGCACCGAGCAATGTCATACAGCATCACCATCCCTCCTCGAATCACAGGAACAGAGGTCACGTCTCGGATCTGCCCAGAGATCATCATCAGCATGGTCATCAACCTCACCTACATCAGCGCAAGGTAGATAGAGATAGGTGGACTCGAGTCGGTTTGATCAACCATCCGCGATAAGGATGTTTATCTTTTCTTTTTCCTAAATGAAAGTCGCAGACGCAAACAGATCGAAATGATCAAGAGAGAGAGAGAGAGAGTAAACACCGGCTGCTGATAACGATCGTTAATCGACTTCTAATGGAATGTCGTGTCTCGTTGCAGGAACGCGACGGCACTCGTGGCCGCGGCGGAAGAGGAGGCTCGCGCCAGTAGCGTTGGGTAACGCAGAAACATCACGTGGACGAGAGTGAACGACGTAAAGGAAGCACGCTGCGACTAATTATCACGTCCTACCACTTACTACTACCTTTGCTTTCCCGGATCCGCGATGGGCTTCTGATTTTCCTGTGACCGAACTTTCGTCGTCGAAGCCGCGTTGTTCTTACGTTTAAAAATGATTAATCCGTATGAAATAACTAGCGTCGCGTCGACATCATCGTAAGTAATATGTAACCGCAACTATTATGAGGAGCGAAGGAGGATGATGCGCTGTTTTTTCGACGAATATTTGGCTAAACCCGCTGAGAGACGATCGCGAAAGAAAAAGGAGAAGCGTATAGTGTGGTGTTGCGTGCTATTCATCGAGAGGTGTTTCTTAAACGTACAAATTATAAAACGGAACAGATATAGAACAGAGAGAGAGGAAGAGGGAGAGAAAGAGAGAGAGAGAGAGAGAGAGAGAAAGTGGAAGAAAAGGAAGGGGAAAGAGAAAGGAGGAAAAAACGAGACGCGATAATAGAGAAGAACGAGAAAGGAAAAAAAAAGGAAATATGTGGACTAATCCTAATTGTAATAAAATGCTTAAACTTTTGTTGAAAATGAAAAAAAAAATCTATGCGAGAACACTTTATTGTAAACAAGTGTCATTTGGATTGGTTATATAGTTTTCAACGTCGATGAGAACATTTAATCTGGTGCCTGCAGCTACGAGAGGAATCGAATCCCCCCTTAATTGTTAATAAGGTGCAGGGGCTTGTTACAACGTTTTCAGTTGTATTTATAACCATCATGCTTAACGATGAATTATACAGAAAGAAAAAAAACGGATTTATTGGCGTTTATTTTAGCGCGTATTCTATATCTCTATTGCGAATATATCTATTATTATATTATTCATGAACTACAGAAAAAAAAGAAATGAGTTGAGGATAATATAACGAAATGAAATAATACTGCAATTAATAATATTGTAATGTACACGATGACGACTATTATTATTATTATTATTATTATTATTATTATTATTATTGTACCATTTGATGACATTTCATGAGATATGATTCTTATTGTTAAACGCATCTCTGTTCTCCACTTTTTTCGATACATCCTTCGCAGCGCGACAGCATCATTATAATAATATAATAACGTAGAGCGATTGTGAATTATTTCCGATGAACGACACTGGAACAGATTTCTTCCCGGTGAAGGTGTGAAACGTCACGCCATTTGAAATTGTCTCGAGAACTCACAGAGTTCATCGCTGTCATTCAGAATTGCTTCGCGGAGAGCACTATGATTTCCATGAGCGACCCGTGAGTGGAAATTACCGGCGATTTCATTAACTAAAGTCAATAGTAGACTGAGGTGGACGATTGGCACCGGACATTAGCCTTGTTTACACCGATCGTTTAACACATGTACCAACTAGTAACTCTATTAAATTTATCCCAACTTCGGCATATAAACGACGATATATTCGAATGGCACAATACGTCTTCTTGGCGCGACTATACAGAAGACTCCATAATGCTGTCCCATTCCCTAGACATAGTGACATTGGAAATTCCCAATTAGGCGCATCGTTTCTGAATATTATATATTATTATAATATAATATCATTATAATATTCATGCTGCTGTTCTGGGGAGCATCGTTGCCGATTCCCGGAATAATCAAGTTGATGCATGAATATTTAGAAATGATGCGTCTAATTGGAAATTCCGATGTCATTATACCTAAGGAACAGGACAATATTAATGGAGTCTCCTGTGTCAGCTAAGAGTCTTAGCAGGACGATAGACTTGAAATTTTAAGACAATGTTTCACGCCCTAAATCTTTGTCTAAATTATCATCTCATTTACTTTTTTCTTCATACAACGATTCGTCATCAATCGCAAGCAAAACAGCTTCTTAGCTGAACTTAGCTGCACAACTGTTGAAGGAATTTGTGCACTGAAGCATAAAAATCTCGCACGTACGATTCATACGCTTCAATGTATATGTACGTTTCTTGAACTAGGGCAACTAGTTTTGAAAAGAGCTAAAAGACCAAATCATTGCGCATTACTAAAGACATAAAACTTCTTTAACCGACAAGTCAGCCATTCTGCTAAGACCCTAAGCGTACCATTGTGTACACGCATCATCAATATGAAGAAAATTTAATAGAAAATTTTTATTTAGTACGTGTATCAGACGATCGGTGTAAATTAACACACTACGACGCATTCTCGCATCTGATCGATCAACCGACGTCATTTGTCCGCGATATCGGTCGTGTCGAATTCGCACGCGTCGACGTGATCCTCGCCGGTTACTGCGACCGCGTGATCCTCGAGGACACCCTCTGGCCGCTCGTCCTCCGCCTCTTGCGCTCTATTATCGACTTCTGCCACGCCCACGCGGTCGTCCCGCGGCGCACCTTGCTGTAGGAAGTAATTCCGCAGGTTCTCGCGCACATCCTCGCGAAACTTGTCGTGATTCGCCTCGACGTAGCGGTAGACGAACAGATCGGCGCCAGTGATGACGAAGATATGATTGAAGACGTTGATGCGCGCGCCGATGAAGAAGTCTTCCGGTGTGTAGTACTGCGGATCGTCCCTGCCGGTGCCCGGCTTCGGTATCACCCTCGAAGATAGGAAGCAGCCCTCGAGTCGGCCGGAATTGCGCTTGCTGATCTCGATGATCTGAATGGTGCCGTCACTGAGACTGTAAACCAGCACAAAATCGCGGCCCTCGTCCTCCGGATGCGCCGCGTCCATCCGGGCGGAGTAACGCAGCTTCTTCGGAAAGTTCACCAGTTGGCGGATCACGTTCTTCCTCGGTGGCTTGAGTATGAACGACAGGCAGCTGGCGTACGTGTCCTCGGGGCTGCCGAAGTCGATATGCGCCGGCACCTCGTAACTCGTCGCCGGCCTCTCCACCTTTTTCTCAACCGGCGGGATCGGGTTCGGCTGCGGCGTCCTCAGCGTGTTAGAGTAGTACTCGCGCGTGAACGCGTCGCAATCGTGCAGCAGGAAGCGTCGACCGAGCACTAAGACCCTCTCGCCCACCTGCGAATAGAAAATCCGCGGTCGTTTTTATTCTCGAGCATCCGGACTGTTGGGAAGTAACGCGTTACTCGACGAAAAGTAACGTCGTCACAAGTCAATGTTTACATGTTCAGCAGAAAAAGCAGTTTACCAAGCGCTTTTTGATTATTATCTATGATTGAAGTATTCTTTCAGATCTCCCGTAAATTTAGGAAAATGTGCCAATCAGAAGCAACAATCACAAAGCGCTAACTAAACTGCTTTTTCTGCTGAACATAAGCAATGACACTTTTTCTCAAGAACGACTTGGTAATGTTGTTATTTTATCGCCATCGACGGCAGTGATGCGAAATCATGTTACACAGTGATTCGAAAATAAAAATTCTTCGCCAAAACTCTGAATCTTGATAAAAGTGATTTTTTATACGCAAAAAATGTCTTTTTAAAGGAGAAAAGTAATTATTTGTCATTCAATATTTTTCTCACTTGTTTTGGGTAAATACAAAATAACTCCATTTTCTCATGAATAATTTCTTCTAAAGTGTATATTATTTTTTCTTTTGCGATATTCTTGAATAGGAGAGGAATTTACATTACTTTAGGAAGGATTTTATATCATTCAATCGGATATTTTTATTTTCTGATTCTTTCCAGACTTCGTACAGAAGCTGCGTTCCGTTTGAGCGCTCATGCGCTGTAAGCATTATTCAATCTTCCTTTGGCATGTAATGAATAATAAAGATAGAATGACATTTATAACGCGTGAGCGCCCAAATGGAACATAGTAGAGTCCGATAGGACACGTCATACGGATTTAAAAAAAAGTCAATTATTTTCAAAAGACGCAGGTGTGAAATAACTATAACAGATTTTGGTAGTGTAAATGTTGGCAATTATTATACATACAACTGTAGTTCTTTTCAGAAACTTTGAAAACCTTCCCTGAACTATTGGCAAAAACACTTTTCGTAAGTTATTGTAAGTTATGCTTATTTCAACCACAAATCTGGATATTATTATATCTCGCTTCATAAATAAAAAAAACAACAAAGTGTGGAATTACTTCACGGCATATTTTTCGAGCATTAAGTATATATGATATATTGTGCACAATTTTGACAGTGTAATGAATATAACTAAAAGTTACTTTTAAATAGCTACTTTTAGCATTACATTTACTGATTTATCATTATTTAACTATGGAGTATCATAAAACTACATTTCGATCAATTCGCGGTGAAACTTGAAAAAATGAGTTTTGGCCAAGCATGTTTATGTATCTCAAATCATTGTGCGCGTTGGTTGGGTAACGTTGACGAACGTAATAGTTACTCTCGTTGTTAATTCGCACATACAAAATGCATAAGAAAGTCTTTGAAATTTTCGGTAAGAAAGGAAAACGGAAATTGCACATAGAAAAAAATTAGTATAAATTCAAGACTCATCATATATATGTATAATATATATATATATGAATGTGCGATCATTTTTAGATACGGTTCAATCGCACTCATTACTCAAATTTAAATAGAACATATTGCAGATCTTGTTCGGTTTCTGCCGCCAGTCTGCTGTCAAGTTATGCCAGTAGACTCTGTCGGCAGAACACGAGCTTAATGTGGACACAGATGACTATGGATCTGCCGCGGTATTTTCATCGAATCTGCCACCAATCTGCTGGCATACTGCCAACATCTTTACTGGGTCCCGGTAGTTATCCTATTCCATTTGTGATATTCGTTCGCAGCGAATGAAGTGGGAACGGCGAGGCCCGCGAGTCTTACTCGAAAGTCGCGCGGCGTGTAATACTCGACGACTTCGGAATCCCCGCGATCCGTCGGCTGCCAAGACGGCGGCAGGTTCTTCCAATCCTTGGGCACCCGCATTCGCTTCAGTAGCAAGGGCACGGGATCCTTGCCGTCGTTGCGCTCGTGAATCTCGCTGATGGCGATTGTGTCGTCCGACAAGAAGTACATCAGCCGGTAACGATCGCCGTTCCACGTGGCATCGAACGACAACACCATCTTATCGTACTTCAGGAAACGTCGTCTGGAGTCCTCGATCATCACCTCGTCCGGAACTGCCGCCCGCATCTCGCGCTGCTCCATGTAAGGATCCGCGGGTGCGGTCTCCTTCTCGCCGACGTCCACACCTTGGCTAGTCAGAAATTCCCGGGTGAACGGATCGCAGTCGACGATGTGGTATACGACGCCGTAGATGCCTGTGAGGAACGTGTTCTCTTCATTCATTTGACTATACTTAAAGGGATTGTTCGACTGTACTTGAAAGCTAAGAGAATGTGTTAGCAATTAGGACTGTTACTTTTGATCATTTCGAAAATTCGAAGCTTCAAAAAAATTCGAAACTTCGAAAAATATATTCGCGCGAATGGCAAATCCATACAGGGAACGCTAAAAGTAGCTTTTGAGCAATACTGCCATATCTAGGCTTTTCATTTTCCCAATTTGCTAACTTTTCGTGCGTAAATCTCAATCGTAACTTTATTTCACTAGTAGAGCCTATTTTATAGAGGCTATACAGAAATTTCGTTGAATTTATGTTGTTTATGTTGTTTATGTTGTTAGTAATAACAGGGAAAAGGGTCAGAGTGTCAGATAGAAGACAGGGCCGACGAAAATGGCTATCTTTGGGCAGTAGAGTCTTTCTTTCCATTCGAATATTTTATATATTTTTAATATTATGTTTTATATATTTATAATATTTCAATATATTTTTCAAAATTTCGAAGTAAATTTCGGATTTCGAAAACTCGAAGTTTCAAAGTTAACTTCGAACCTTCAAAGCTTTGAAGTTTGATTTTCGAAGCCTTCTAAGTGAATCACTAGCCCTATTAGCGATACGCGCTCAACGAATCTTTATCGGACATCACTTTTCTCTCGTCATACTTCCAATAACAGATCTCTTGGTCAGTTCGAATTGATAAATCCTGTGTCGCGTTCTTCGGTAGACAGGCGGAGAAGGAGGACCAGACGAGAAGAATGTAATCAGTTAACCGGAGATTACATCTTCCCAACGTTGCGTTCTCGAGAGATAACATTCCGAATGGATGACTCACACACGTCGATCCCGACGTTGAAATCCTTCCAAATGAATAGATCCCCTTTGTCATTCTTCGGGATTCTCTCGCGCCTTACCAGCTTGCCCTGCAGGAAACCAGCGTTTTCCACTACGGGTTCCATCACGCAGAGCGTGTCGTCCTCCAGGAAATAGAGGATATTCACGTGCCGGACGCGACACCGCTCATCCAGAGAATTGAGGACCCTCTGGCGAAAGAAGGCCTTGAAGCAGAGGCATTTCTGGGCAAACAGCGCGTAATGTGGCACGAATTGCCGGTACGCGTAACGAGGTACCCGGCCGTAAACCAACGACGGATCGTACCTGCAATTAGACAATCAACACCAGGAATCAGTTGAAGAATAATCACCATTCTTTGATAATATAATGAAATGATGTAACAGCCTATTAAACAAGAAATCACTAACATAACATTATTAATAATATTTTGTAACATTTTCAAATAAGTAGTTTTTAATGTTGTATATGTCATGTTGTTAACAATATTTTACCCAAACATTAAAAATAATATTTCTATATTAATATATTTCTTTTAATATTTAAGAATATTATATTATCAAGAAACAGTTTAAAGACACTTATAAAATATGTCAAAATGTTTATAAAATCCACATCGAATTAATGTTTCAAAAGATTGATTTAATGTTTCTTGCTTACTAGAAAAATATACATGATCTACAAAAGAATCATCTATGAAATAATCGTCTGTCATGTATAAGAAAAATCACCTGTACAAAATATAATAAAAGAATCTATATGAATATCATATGTAAAAGAAAAGGAAAACACGCACGGAGAATTAATCGCAATTTATTTTAATCAGGTCGAATAATTCTAGTAATTACTCCGCGCTTAGTTCCGCGCTCGCCGGAATTGGATTGGCGGCCGCGCGCGATAAAGAGCACTTTTCGAAAAAGCTTTGACAGAAAGGTCCGTAATTACTTACTCCACGCGATATGGTACTTCAGCGTACGCGGCCGATGCCGCGTCCGTCGGTCTCTTTCCGATGCCGTAATTGGTGTCGCGCACCACGAAAAAGCCATTTAAAATGTCGAGCTTGTGCGGCAATTTATAATCCTGAAACTTATAAAAAGACGAGAGATTCAGCCAGTGACTCCGTCAGAGCGACGAGTCGCTGAAGTAAATATATGAAAATGATAAACCGCTAAATCGGTTTAGCTCCAACTTGCTCGACAACACGATTGCGAAGCGCGCAATTATGCGAATTATGCGCTTATACTCACGCTGACGTCGCGGAAGGTATACCCCGGCAAAAGGGGCGGACTCGCCATGACGAAGAACGAACGACTCGAGGTCGTCGCTTCTGCTACGACGCCGACATGTTCGCCGTCGTATCGCCCGACTCGTTCGATTCAGCGACATCGACACTTTGTTTAAAACATATCTCTATAACGACGACACACGACTATCTATCGATTTAAGATGACTTCCACCAAACTCTGATTAACCTAATCGGCGATTTAAAATTGCTGTCAGTCGAATATTACTCGCTCTCTACCATGCTAACCACGGATAAAAATTATTAACTTATTAACTATTAATTAATTTTTTGATTATTATTGAACAACAAGTTGCAGAAATTGATGTGTTGGCAATCCTTATTAATATTCATCGATTAGTTTAACACTATTGCACTAGTTCAGCGGTGCAACGAAAACGAACAGATCTTTGTTTACACGGATCGCATATGCCCTTCCCTGAGAATCACCGCTTAATCCTTTCCTTGAAACGAACGTTTCTGCAAAACGCGCTGCATCGGTTGTACTGGCTGCGCGCATATCCCAGAGCAACCGCTCTGCGCACAGTTGCACTAACAACCTTTTTTTTATCTATACATTACATCATATAAGCGTAAATGAAATAAATGTAAATGTGAGCGCTGAACATTCAACGACTATACCCGCTTGTCGTATCCAGTGGTTGTTTCGCGACGAGCGACTATAGTACACGGTCGCCTATAGTACACAGAGATTGCTTTGTGGCGGACGACTATAGTCGTAACGAAAAGGTCAAATGTAGACGTAAAACTTGAAAGGAAGACACCAGACGTGAGAGAAAGAGAAAGAGAGAGAGGACAGTTCTGTTCGACCATTTATTTGTTCAGAACTTATTGACAACAGTAGTACTCGGATGATTGGCTGCTACACGTCGGCTCAGTTAGCCACGACCACTGCGAGATCACAAAGTCATGACCTTCCTGAAGATGGCCATGCAAGCAGCGGACAGGCAGCCGGCCATCGGCACGGTGATTATCCACGCGAACGCGATATTGCGGAATAATTTCCACGATACCCCTTCTCCGCCGCGGGACGCCCAACCCACGCATACCACCGAGCCCACTTTGCAATGCGTCGTTGATACAGGTAAACCAGCCTTACTTGCTAACAAGACAGTCACTGCTGCTCCCACCTGCCGAGATAAGTGTCGAGTTATCACCAGCCTTGACATCGGAGAGAGAGTTATAGAGATATATCGAACTCGAAAACTTTCGTAATAACTGAATATGCACGGCTATCAGTCGAGCAGTTAAAAGTAAACGAGTATCTGCAATTAAGCACGATCACCACGAGTCTCGACCTCCGCGAAATCCAAGAAAAACATATTACACTTTATTCATGAACGTAGCCAAGGTGAGGCAGGGGATAAGCACCACCCTCTTTAAATTTTGGTAGAAAGAGATGCAATTAAATTATGAAAATTATAAAAATGTAAGGAGATGTAACGGATACTTTACAATTTACATTCCACGAAGAAACTATATGATCTGTAATTAAAAACCAATGACCAAGTATCAGCAATGTTTTATGAAAATGAATGTAATGAAAATTTCTTGATTTCATCATCAAACGACACAGATGCCCAAGTAGCAAAGTGACGTCAAATGATGTTTTAAGAACGTTTAAATAACGTCAATAAGACGTCATTAAAACGTCATTTGACGTCACTTTGCTATTTGGGTGAGTGGTATTTGAGAAAAGAAAGACGCTGGGAGAAGAAGTATCTAGAAGATAGATTAACTTTAGTATAAATATTCTGATAAGTCTTTCTTCTGTGAAGATATACGTTCAATGAATCTGTGTGAAATAAATAAAATATTTGTGTGGAGATAAATTTTTGCCACTCCCGCCCAACTGAAATCCCGCTATGGGCCCGCCATGAACTACGCCCATGCGTCTATCTGAAACAACAAATGCGCATATCAAAGGGAGGTAAAAAAGTAATTGCGATTATTAAAAACCGCCGAGTCACCATTACCACGTTAACTGCCGCACCGCGCGATTCCCATTAACACCACAAAAGTTTAACTTATCATCGAACCATTAATGATAAGATAAAAAAAAAAGTATAATTCGAGATTCATGTATCCCTCACTTCGCTTCATCGGTTCTCTATTGGCCATAGAACAATTTTTGTTAAATGCAATTAAGTAATAGAACGCGCTAATGTCATGGTGCCATTCACCGGGTGACCCTCATGGCATTCAACGTATAGAAACAACAGTGAATGATTGATCTGTCGAATTTGAATACGCGTTAAGTGCCTGGCTCCTTGCTGCGGCGATAGTCTTGTTTGATGACGTCAGAAACAATAAGTAAAATGTACATGACACGCGACCTTTTTTTTAGTCTCTTCTCATAATTTCGTCACATTAATTTTACGATTATTTATAGATTGTTCAAGTTAAAGGAAAGTTTTCGGAATATTTACAAATGTGCCCAATCGATCATAAATATCCCGAGAAAAAATTATTCATATATATATGACTTTATCAACACTTCATATAAACTTATATATAACAATTATATGTAATTATAACTAATAATATGTGGAAAATTTGTTTCCAAGTACTATTTTTTGGCCGTATTCTTTTGTTTCGACGCATTCCGCACGGATTTTGGACATACGTGTCCTCGCTTCCGGCGTCATTAATCAAGATGGTTGCGCCAACCGCAAGAGCCTTGACAAAAGTGAGAGTCAATTCCGCAGAATATCCGCAGTGGTCGAGCCTCGCGTGGGAGTCGAGTCGAAGGTGGCACCTCTATAGTAAATCCGGTCGTAGGAGTGATGCGAGCCAGATCCTGGCCCAAGGTTCGTATTACCCTGCGTCCCCACACCCACAGACCCGCGGAGATACCTAGGCCGCCGTACAGCAGTAAGAGTATAGGAGTTTCAGCCTCCTGTCTGGCCGAGCCCTCCGCGTAGACAGCCCAGAGCGCGATCAATGGGCCGATCGCGTTGCTGACGTCGTTACCGCCATGGGCAAAACTGCCGAAAGCCGCAGTGAGCACCTGCAGGAAGGTGAACAGCTTGGACACCTCCGGCTGCTCCTCGTCAGTCGCGATACCGTCCGCCTGCGCGTTCTCCGCCTCCACCTGGCTGATCATCAGCAACGGGCTCTCGCTGCTGTTGCCGCGCAACTTTGGCGTCGTATCTTTCGCGTTACCGTTGCTGTTGCTGCTATCACCGCCACCACCGCCACCGCCGCCCCCGCCGCCCCCGCCGCCGCTGTCGCCGCACGGAGACTCCGAGATCACTGACAATACCGTCGTCTCCTTCTTGTCGCAAGCGCCAAACTGCGTGGCCGTTTTCTCCTGGTTAGCGTTCGCCGTAAGCAATATCCTCGTCTTCTGCCACGGTACCACGAACATGTACACGATCACCGCGGCGATTGAGCCCAGAAGTAGCGCAATTATCACGCTGCCCCACCACGGCAACTGATCTAGCATTAATACTGTGAAAAAAAGTAAAAATAGAGATATTTTAGATGCAAGAGCGAGGAGGATATAATGTGACAAACTTGAATGAAATATATCTTATGAACAAGGTTGATGATACTTTTTAAAAATAACTCGTTATTGTTATCACTCTTCTTATTTAACGGTAACGAATACAATCGTTATTTGAAAGAAAATCTCGTGGATGCTTGTTGAAAAATATAACGGAAATCGTCACTTCTTGAATAATGATAACAATGTTTTTTTTTCCTTATCAAATTTGTGTGTAAAGGTGATGATAACGAATTTGACCAAATATACTTTTTAGCATTATCACGCAGCCCATCAAGGCGTCTGATAATACTGGGCATCCATTAATATTGTAAAAAGAAGTAATAATAGAAATATCAGATACGGGAGTTAAGACAATATCACCGTCACTATTTGTTATCGTTACCTTTACTCGTTTGATAAGAGAAAACACGTTATTATTAACATTACGCAAAAAGTAACAAAAATTTGTTAAGTAATGATCTCTTTTAAATAACGATTATAATTGTAAAATAAAAAAAAAGTATACAATAACGTCGTTGTTAAATCGTTACGAGAAAAGTAACGATAATGGCGTTACAGCTGGAGCATTATTTTCCATCCCGGCCTATGATGTACGTATCTGTACTATTGTCACTTACGTTTAGGTCCATCAAGCACAATTGACATAACATTGACAGCTATGGTGACACCGTACGCTACGGGGAGAATATTGAGAGCCTGTTCGAACGGCTTGCTGGATTGAAGCACGGATTTCTTCAGCAGCCAAAAAATGAGGAAGGACACGATCCCGCTGAGTACGGGACTGGCGAACCATGACGCCGCTATGTGGGCGAGAGCTATCCACTTTACCTGCTCAACATTGACACGAACATAACGTGTGACGAACACCACGTTATACCGAGCATCCTTGTAATCGCGCTACGGGTCACGCCAGAATACTAACCCCGTCGGTACCTCGGCACACGAGCGAAAATCCAACTGTAGCACCAACAATGGAATGCGTACCGGAAATTGGAAGTCGTAACGCAGTTGCCAGCAGTAGCCAGATAGCAGACCCGATTAGACTGGACAACGCTCCCATCATCAACTCCTTCTCGTGACCCTCGTATAACGAGACGTCCAGTATACCCTTGCGCATAGTGTCGGAGACCTGTAATAACAAGCGAATCGTTGAGTAAATCGTCGATCTCCCGGCGAATTCGTCTCTATCTCATAGTCCCGTAAATAATGCAAATTTCCCCGTCGGTGTCGAATGCGACGTTCCCGAGACAAAGAAAGACTCGAAAAAAAAAAGTGTAAGGCAATGACCATCATTGTCCTGAACATCTTCAAAATACAAGAGTGGGAGACAAATTTCAAAAACAACAAACTGTTCACAGAATCTCTAGCAGACACCGCGCAAAATTTACTTTTTCTACAGATTTGGCGATCTGGGTGTAAATGTAAACTTTTTTCATCTTCTTCTGGTCATTGATAAAATATTTGTATTTTTCGAAAATATTCTACGTAGTAACAGTTACTGCCTCATCTCGTGCAGAGTTTTAATACCCGTGGCTTTTTATAACATTTTCATTATTCACGATACAGTCACTGAAGAGCTTGTGAAATTTCCTAAGTTTTGATGAAATCAAGTTCTACGATCCATCTATCTCGATATATTTACCTTATATCCGATTAAAACGGCGCCGGCGATCTCAAAGAAGGTCGCCAAGATGCAGGCTTGGAATATCGTGAGCACCCCGGCGCCGACGCTCGTTCCGAAGCTGTTCGCGACATCGTTAGCTCCGATGCCGAAAGCCAGAACGAATGCGACTATGAAGCCGACCACTACTATCCATACTAAGCTCTCATCGTACGGTATACTCATCTTCACCTAACTTAAAACTATTCTGCTTGAGCTTTCGGGGTGCGTATGGCGTGTTTGTTTGTGTCCTATGTGTGTGTGTATGTGTGTATTTCGCATGAACCCCCTAAACGTGTCTATCACGTTTCTCCCTCTAGTCGTACCCTCTAGTCATCCGCCAGAAAACTGGTAGGCATGATTAACTGATGATCCTCTACCACCACCACCGTCTTCTCTTCCTCCGTAAACCAATACGATATCGTATCTTCTCTTCCTCCGTAAACCAATACGATATCGATATCAAGAGGAATTTGTATCAAGGAAGAGCCTTCTGATATAGAACGTATTATATCAATACATAGTGTAAACGCTTATTCATCAGAATATATCCTTTCTATATACACTTGTGTGAGAATTGAATGTATATATATATATATATATTCTTTCATAATATAATATGCTTCTATATCTTCATTGTAGCCCTAATACGGTCAATTCTGTAGTTTTGTACATGTAGCAGAGGTAGTGTTTTGGCGCAGCACCTGATTCATCTAACATCGTGATCTCGTCGCACTCGTGTCGACGCGAAGAAACTATCGTTATACAATATGTACTCCCTCCCCCCGAAAATAAAAAAAAAAATAAACCGAAGAAGTCACTGGGTGATCCTCGTTACGCTCGTCGTGCTGTTCCTCGGATGGAAATTACGATGCACGATCTTCGAGTAGTCGAGCTCCTCTAGCAGCGTTTTCCTCGTGTGGAAACACGCCGGTCGCTGTATTCCCCGCATCTGAAACCGAACACGAGCCGTTCAATGGAAGTTCACCTTTCAACGTGGAAGTGCTTGCAAGAAAATTTGAAGTCGGGCGTGCATCGCCCAATAAACGGTCGGCGTCATGTATGCTGTAGGGGAGACCGGGGTTAATTGGCTAAAGGGGTAAGTTGGTTAATCGATTATTCCTGCTTTTTTCTAACAGATTACAGAATTGAGCAAATAGAGATTTCAAACATGTCAAAGGTGACTGTGAAATCCCTGCTTGTTTGATTCTGTTATTTGTTAGAAAACGACAAAAATAAGTAATTAACCAACTAGTCCCGGTTTGCCATTTCCTAGACGGAAAATTATACGATTTTCAGCCTTATTATTATATTATTAATCCATAAGATTGAAAATCGCATAAGTAATTATAATGATATAGTTACAACAATTAATTATAATAATTTTGATCTTACGTGTATATCTGATATGAAATGCCGAAAATCGTGAAATTTTTCATCTAGGAATTAGTACGGCGTATATGAGGCCGACTGAACTTATTTATTAAAACACAAACGGATCGACGTATGTAAAATAAAAGTCACTTTTGATTGGTCAAATATTGAACGGAAAGCCGAGTAAAATTCGACAATGGGAAGGTTTAAAGTTACAAAGCGGCGATGGTACAACTCCCTAGGAGGGAAGTCACGTGAAAAGTGCAGAATTTCATATTTTCATCGTTCGAAAAGCTACATGATCGCCAAAGCCGTCGGGTTCATGCGAAACTATTGACCTTTCGTGTTTCCGCTCTTGGGAGACAGTTACACGACTGGAAATTCTGATCCATTTCGGATCTCACAAAATTGATCCTCGTGAATCGTGACGTTTTCCCTGCCAAGGAGCGAAGATACGATCGAGACCGGTTAAGAATATACGACATTGCATGCACTCGCAAAAATTATCCGATCGTTAAACCCTGACTGATATTTCCCCCCTCCACGGAAATCTAACGAGAGACTATTCTTACGTCATTCCTCGATAGCACGCGATACCCTTCTTCACCCCTCGGAATTACCGGAATTTCGACGCCGTGAGAAGCGTGAGTCACACACGCTGCCAATGCGGAAGACTCGACGACGGTTGGTCGAGGATCGCGTTCACCGCGATGACATCCCGTACAAATGTCCACGCGCTCTGACCCGTCGTCATCCCCGGCAAAATTCGATCCCCGATCTATAGCGACGGGTGGATCTCGACAGTACCGCCTCGGCTTCGACGAGACTCGCGGAAACGTCACCTCGGTCGTGCTTTCTTCGAAAAAGGATCCCCTCCCACACAAAGTGTAACGAGCACGTCGTCGGTAACGAATTCCCCGGCGAGTGAGGCCGGGAGGGCCGATTCTCGAGCGAATACATAAATGAGAAAGATGTGTCACAGGTCGCCAATTAGTTTCACCTTCGAATCGCGCACGTTCCGCGCGGAGCACCCGACCGAGTTGCGTCGCCAAGGCGGCGGCAATACGGCCCGGATTGAATTCGCTCTCGTTAGGCGAGCCGTCTCGCCGGAGTCGCTGAGTTTCCACGTCGGGACGCCAAAGAGACTCTCAATTACCACGCTCCGAATCATTTTTCGTGTTGGCCCACGTGCGCCCCGTTCTTCGGCACGTTACTCGCACGTCGCTGGTAACGCGGCCGGCTCATCGGAGGGTAGGAACGAGCTCGGTAAGACACTTGTAGGAGGAGGACCTCGGCAGCGTCCAGCAGCCACAACCACCACCAGCACAGAGGAGCGGTGTTACACTCTCGCCGCTCGCTCGCGAGACGACTCGGAATCACTCGCCGTGGAGGAACTTCGGCGGTCGCTCGGCAGCGGCGGCAGCGACAGCGGCGATGCCGTTCAGACCCGCGTGGGGGGTGAAATATTGATCCGTCATCTGCTTCTCGCGAAACGATTGCCACACATATAAGGCGATCAGGGGATGCTCAATGACGATCAATCCACGATCCTCGATAGCGCGAACTGGTCGAATCTCCCCCGAATTCGGAGCTCCCCCTCTTCCGCCGCGCCAGGCATCCCAGAATGCACAATGGGGTTAGGGATGCGTCAACGGCCGCAGGTACTGGGAGACAAGCAAGGAACGGGATGATAATCGCACCTTGCCGTTAAGATATCGATTTATCAATCGAAAACGGCTGGATAAGCTCCAGCCCAATGACGGAGGTGATTAATGCTGATAACCTGACAGAGGGTCGGACATTTTTCCATTCGGAAATATTCGGTCGGCCCTGGAATTGGTGTTACGCAATAGACCCGGGAATGCATTCCAGAAAATGGTTAATAGCAACCGCAACCTGAAGATATCTGATAACTGCTACAAATGAATTTTTAATGACTTTTTAACATCATATTTAACGACTTATAACATCGTTAGAATTATATTTTAATGCGTATGATGACTAAATCGCGCATGGAAATATCTTTACGTATATTATTTTACCGACCTCAGTATCCTCCGGACTGAAATTAATCCACGAATAAAAATTGCGTCATCCTGCAGCCGAATTCTCGTCATAAATTTCCCCCCGGAGCGTCCGTTCAGCGAACCCGTTTCCACGCGTTTTTACGAACACAAGGAATTGGCTAAAACATCGTCTCTTACGAGAACAGAGATTTTTAATTCATGAACAAACGCAAACATCGTACACCTTGAACGTAATTAACTCGCTGAAATACGCGAGCTTCGCCGTGGTTCATCGCTTCGCTTTACATTTTCTATTCTCAGTTATGACTCAGGATCGCACGACATTGCCATTATAATTACCGTCTAATTATCGTAATACACGACGACTTCTTGCATAAAGGGTACTAAATGAAAGTCAGGTGAACAGGCACGAAAATAATCAGCGATATGTGCGATGCATACTGCAGCCGGAGGAAAACGCAGTGCGATATATCACGCTACGCTTAAAAGCCTGCCACATATCTTTTCGTAATTATTGATTTGTTTGCGTTAGCGTTATTGGGAAGTAGTCGTGATGCACGAAGAGGATGCGAGGATGGAAAATGTAGGGCGTCGCTTGAAACAACGTCGAGACTGACGTCGCTCGAATAGACGGCGTCGTTTGGAAGCATTGTTCTCTCGAAGGAAGTGAATGTAATTTATTTACCATCTAGCCCATTTGTTATATATATATATATATATATATATATATATATATATATAAATATGTACACACAGATCAGCTCTCTACATCACGCCGAAATTAACTGTGCATCAGGAAACGAGCAAATTTGTTATAATATCCTATGTTGATCGTCGAGCTAAGCTATATTCTACGATGCTTCCCACTTTTCCCTCTCTTCGCGCTCTTTTTGGACCTCTTTAATGTACGGCTGGAGGTACATCACATCCTATAAAAAATATTTTCTCTCAGTGAACTGAACAATGAACATGCTTAGTTTACATATCAATCGGATATCAATCGGACAACAATCAGATTTACTGAATAAATCAGTACTAAGCTCTTGAACTTCAATATCAATATTAGGCCATGAAGAGCCAAGTAGGTTATGTAGTACCAAGATAAAAAAGATAAAAAAGCTTGTTAAAAAAATATACATAACAAGAAATAAACATTCAAGAAATAAACATATACATTAAAGTTTATGAATCCTAAGTACAAGATTCTCAGACTTCAGTGTAAATTTCTCGAACTAGTGCAGCTAGTTCAGCAAAAAGAACAAACCAAGAAATTTAAAACAGCATTTAAATTGACAATGTTCAAATCATATATGTTATCAATATTTAAATTTACTGACATCCTCATATCGAGTCCATTGTTCCTCGGGTAGAATCCGTTTTTGAGAGTCAATTTGCATGGCCCTGACAATACGGAAATTACGTTCGTCCAAGAGATGTTTGGGGAGACGTCTTAGTGCTTCAAGTACATCTTCATTCTCATAAAGAACATCATCCCTCATCAAACCTAGAAAGGAAGTATATCAATACAGTTTCCTAGGATTACAATATAATAATCTGCATGCAATATTTGTTACTGTAGGTGCCATCAGTTTCTTTAAAAAAATATGGATTTTGTGATTCTTCAAAATACTATTAAGTATAAAAAATTTCTCTTGTTATCCAGGTTTAAGGGATATATTTTACATGACAAGAAACATGACAGTTGGAACACAGTAGTATCATTTCAGATGCATGATACACAATTCACTGACAGGATAATTTCGCTATGAAAGAATCAAACAATATGAGATGTCATCGGCGAAGTAAGGTTAGGTTTGAGATATTTGTCAATCGTCTAATATTGATTTTCCAACGGTTCTAAGACATAAAATAACATATTTGCATTACCATATTTATTGAATCCGCTCGCGTTATAGCACCATTTCTTAAAACCGACAGCTGAAAGATACGAGTGTGTTATATAAGAATATGTCTTGTTCGATACCGCTCGCAAAGAGAAACAAAAGCATATCAAATATCATTAAAGATGAGCTTCAAGTGTAAATTATTTACTTATCAACTGATTCATTCGTCTGCTCATTTTGGGATACGATGTTTTCGACGAGATTCGCAGAGGAAAACGTCTCTACCTTCGTCTCACACCACCATTAACCTCAGATTTGACCGAAACTTTTCTTCCTTCATTTATTGGCTACCTAGGGATCCCTAGGATGTATACTTCAACACCATTGGTCGCTTTGTCTTAATAGAAATCGGAGATGTATCGACCGATGAATCGATATTCGATTTTTTTTTCAGTTAAGACTGGATTAATAATGCGTCATACGTGTTCGTCGGATGCGCCGATTGGCTGTTGGATAGAAAATCTCTAGGATTTCTGTCATTGTCTCTAGACACCCTAGAAAATCTCTATCCGACAGCCAATTTGACAACGACTCGTCGTACAACATGAAATCCCAACCTAACTGGGATCCCTAGATCAAGGCCGCGAGATGGCGCTGCGGGCAAAAGGCGGGACTACTTCACTGCAGCGTAGAATTGTGAGGACAGTCGTCCCATGGCTGCGATATATAAGCAGGCGTAGTAAGTCGTCGACGGCCTCTGCCTCACTAAAGAGTAGAGTTTTCTTCACGTGTGGTTGTGTATCCTCTTTCCACAGAAAATAGGCCACACAACCCATCTCCATCCGTGAAATAACTCTCCTATAAAAATCCAAAAAAATCATAAAACCTCTGAAAAAACGCATACAAAAAAATCGCAAAACCGTAGGCGAAAAACCTCAGGTAACAGAGAGAGTGTGTTGGGGGAAAAAAATTAGTAAGGATCGTCCGTGTGCTCGTGCCGAGGCATCCTTATCAACGAGGCAACGAGGAAAGAAGAAGAAGAAGAAGCAGCAGCAGCAACCGAGGAAGTAGAAGAAAGGTTCTCAGGTGAGAGAGAGAGAGGTTGAAAAGACGATTCGAGGACGTGGCTGGAAGAAGGCGAGCCATATTGTGAGAAAGAAGAGACGAAGCTAGGAGGGGCGAAGCGAAGAAAACCCTCGCGCGAGAGGCAAAGGGTAACCAACGCGCGGCTGAGCGATCGAATTTTCTTCCCGAAAAGTGAGCACACGTCGAAGCAGCACGACCCTCCGCCGCGACCATGAATCCGGGAGCGCCCAATTATCCCATGGCTTCGCTTTACGTGGGCGATCTTCACACCGACATCACCGAGGCGATGCTGTTCGAGAAGTTCTCGTCGGCTGGACCCGTGCTGTCGATACGCGTATGCCGCGACATGATCACCCGTCGTTCGCTCGGCTACGCATACGTCAACTTCCAGCAACCGGCTGACGGTGAGTCATCACTGCCTTATCTTTACTTTCGCCATTATCATCATTATCATGTCTCTCGTATCGACGTATACGTGCGCGCGTCCACGAATGGCCGCCCGCTGTAACATGCCTCTCACACGTGCTGCGCCGCGTTGCTCTGCGTGTCCTCCATTGTGGCATCCATGTTGGATTCGTGTCGTCGTTACAAAATGGTGGTTAACGGTTAAATAGGTCCGAGTGAGAGAGATGGACGGAGAGAGTAGAATCGAAATGATTGAGGGGGGAGAGCCGAAGGACAAAGATCTTTTTTTGTTCCGTTTCATCTCGAAATTATCGGCGAACAGATGCCGTCATTGCCGCACAGCTCCGATCGCTTCCATGACACGACGATTTCATCCATCTCACTCGCGCTCTCTGCACTTTCCCTGCATCCCGTGTACGCGAGAACGAGAGAGCGTCCGTAGGACCCGAGAGAAATTGAAAGTGCTGAAAAATGCGACGCGAATCCATTCCCCACGGGCAACATGGCTTGCACGTTTCGAGTCGCGAACGATGCGTAGCGCTTTCGCAACGTTATGATGCGGCGCTCGCGTCGTGAAAAAAAAAGGAGTAAATCTTTCACTTTCTACGAATCTTTCTTCTCTCTTTGTTCTGTCAATCTCCCTTTCCTTCTTTTCGTCCCTTCAAATCTCTCTCCTTTATCGTTTTCATGTCTTTGTGTAGTTTTAGGCTCCGCAAAAACCGGTTTTTCCCCCTTTTTTTTTCGCGAACTTCGGTTGCCGTTCCAAGGGTAGGAAAATTCGTTTAGAAAATTTACACATGTTCAATTAGAATCTTCCACATTTTTTCCGTAAAAGAAGTTATACGGGGTTTTTCGCGCAAGCTGTATACCATCTGTCACATATTTATAATTTAGGTCAATGTGAACAAAAAAAGTCCTCCATTATTTTGCAAATAACTACGTAAAATTTCGAGTTATTAGTTATTGAAAATGACCGTGGGCAACGATAGCATAGAGGCTTCTTTAATTAATAACGCAAAACTTCGCGTGTTATTTGCAAAGTGATAAAAGACTCTTTTGTTTAGAGTGGCCTAATCTACAAGTATGTGATGTTGCACTTAATAAATTCAAGGTTCAATACACTGACACCAACAAATTTTTGAATTATTAATTCAAAAGGCCTCTATGACCATTTTTAATAAATAATGACGAAATTTTGCGTAATTGTTTGCAAATTGTAGATTTTTTGTTCATATTAACTTAAAATACAAGTATATGGCAGATGGTACGGTTTACGTCAGATACCCTGTATGTAAGAAACCCAGATTTTTTTCCGAGCCTTCAAAACTAAACATCTTGTTTTTTCACTTTTCATACTTAGCTTTCTATTTATTTTTATTTTCTTTGCATTCAAATTCGTTCTCACGATTTCAACGATACCTGTATATGCGCGCAAGCTTACTCGACAAGCAAACCCTGGGAATGTTTCCCGACCACGTGGCGTTGAAATTGCGCGCCATATTTGAAAAGATTCCTGTTCCTCAAAATGTCATGCGAATGTACTTATATGAATGTTTGTATTTCAGCCGAACGCGCCCTTGATACAATGAACTTTGACATGATAAAGGGACGGCCTATTCGAATCATGTGGTCTCAACGCGACCCGTCCCTTCGGAAATCAGGCGTCGGAAACGTCTTTATCAAAAATCTAGATAAAAATATCGACAATAAAGCGATGTATGATACGTTCTCCGCATTTGGCAACATATTGAGTTGCAAAGTTGCTCAAGACGAGTCGGGCGCGTCCAAGGGCTATGGCTTCGTTCATTTTGAAACGGAGGAAGCTGCTAACAAATCCATTGATAAGGTCAACGGCATGTTGCTGAACGGCAAGAAGGTACGAATGTTTTTTTCTCGTTTTTTCCCTTAGTTTTTAGCGCTGTTCTATAATTATTTAGGTCCACTTTTTGTCACTTTCTTTCGACAAGTTATTAAAAAATTCACTATCGTCCAAAATAGGCCAATATAATCACTTTTTTCCTTGTTGCTGTTAAATTTATAAGATATGGGTGTTCTGTATGTATTTTTACCGTCTTGATACCTCCGAAAACCGCTCCAAAAGCGTACTTTTATCGTTCATGCCTTTGATCTTTTTTCGTTATGAACTTTCAAACTGTATTATGAAGAGAACTCGTTATATGTTAAGTTATCCAAAGATAAATCTGCAAAGATAAGTGTGTTATCTTTTTGCTTAAATGACCTTAGTTATTTGAAATTTGGTAAACAATGTCACTTTTTGTCATTATTTTGATATCATAGAGAGAGAGAGAGAGAGAGAGAGAGAGAGAGATATATATATATATATATATACTATATACACTAATCTATCTATATATACTAAAAGTGATATATATATATCACTTTTAGTGATATATATATATATATATCACTTTTAGTTCTTTTTTATCAAGTAGTCATTTGTTTCACTTTTTTGTTCTGCTGACTGGATGATAGCACTGCATTTTATCTCACAAACAAAGAAGGATTGATATTTAACGTTATAATCTTAAGAACTCTAAAAAAAATTTTTTTTCCCCTCAATTCCTTCGCGGGTTATTTTGGTTTGTTTCCAAGGAAAAATTGAAAATGGCGGTTTTTTAAAACTATATTTAACATTCTTTTCTCTTTCGTTTCCCGATACGCGCAACAGGTGTACGTTGGCAAATTCATCCCGCGCAAAGAGCGCGAGAAGGAGTTGGGCGAGAAGGCGAAACTCTTCACCAATGTTTACGTAAAGAACTTCGGCGAGGACATGACTGACGACAAGTTGAAGGAAATGTTCGAGAAGTACGGGACCATAACAAGCCACAAGGTGATGAACAAGGACGACGGCAAGTCGCGTGGCTTCGGTTTCGTTGCGTTTGAGGATCCAGATGCCGCCGAGCAAGCGGTACTTGAGCTGAACGGCAAGGAGATCGCTGAGGGCAAGTGCATGTACGTAGGACGCGCCCAGAAGAAGGCTGAACGGCAGCAGGAGTTGAAGCGCAAATTCGAGCAGCTAAAGATTGAGCGGCTGAATCGGTATCAGGGCGTGAATTTATACGTGAAGAATCTGGACGACACGATCGACGACGAGCGCTTGCGCAAGGAGTTCACACCTTTCGGCACGATTACGTCCGCGAAGGTCATGATGGAGGAGGGACGTAGCAAGGGCTTCGGGTTCGTGTGCTTCTCGCAGCCGGAAGAAGCCACCAAGGCGGTCACGGAGATGAACGGTCGCATTGTCGGATCCAAACCATTATACGTCGCTTTGGCGCAACGCAAGGAGGATCGCAAAGCGCACCTCGCCTCTCAGTACATGCAACGTATGGCGAACGTCCGAATGCAGCAAATGGGACAGATATTCCAGCCCGGTAACGCTGGCAGTTACTTTGTGCCCACGTTGCCGCAGCCACAGCGATTCTACGGGCCCGCACAGATGGCGCAGATCCGCGCTACGCCACGCTGGCCGGCACAACCGAACCAGGTGCGACCGAACGCGCAGACCGGCAGCTCCGGATTCACGATGCAAGCTCCGTTCAGAGCGGCGCCGCGCGCTCCTGCCGCTCAAGCCGGCGCCATGCGCAACACCCTGTCCGCCAGACCTATCACAGGTGAGAGACAGCGAAAGATTCTCGGTGGCTTTCATTCAACTTTGAGTAATCGATAATTAGGATAACTCGACGGAATTGACCTATCGCACTGATCGAATTCAACGAATTGGTGCGATATGATTAATCAATTCCGTCGAGTTAATCGTCGATTATATTAATTATATTAATTGAAGTTTGGTGAAGGAGTCACTTTGGAATTTTTACGAAATACAATTTGTTTATTATTTATTCCCCGAGCAAAGATCGATCGGCATTAACTTTTTTTTTCTCTCTCCCCTCTCCTTGTTAGAGAAATAACACATGTGTACGTTGGCAAATTTGTTTCGTGAATATGTAAAGAACGTTCGAAAGAAAGATCAAGCTTGTCGCGATCGTGTGCTCTCGTGAACGACCCATACACGAGAAGCAAAGGTGACCTCAAGGGACGAAGATATTAATGATTTTGTTTACTTGCCCGAAACAGGTCAACAAGCGGTAGGTGGCGCAAACATGCAGAGCCGGTCTATGGCCGGACCGGCGGTCGGAGTTTCGCCGCAGAGCCGTCCATCAAATTACAAGTACACTGCGAACATGCGCAACCCGCCGCAGACGATGCCGATGCCCGCCCAGGCCCCCGTACAACAGGCAGTACACATTCAAGGCCAAGAGCCGCTCACCGCATCGATGTTGGCAGCCGCGCCGCCACAGGAGCAGAAGCAGATGCTGGGCGAGCGTCTGTTCCCGCTCATCCAATGTATGTACCCGGCCCTCACCGGCAAAATCACCGGCATGCTCTTGGAGATCGACAACTCCGAGCTTCTGCACATGCTGGAGCACAGCGAATCGCTGAAAGCCAAGGTCGAGGAGGCCGTGGCCGTGCTGCAGGCCCATCAGGCCAAGCAGGCGAATCAACCGAAGAAGGAATAAGACCTGCTCCGAAGGAAGAAGTCGCGGAAACCCGAACCCTTTCAATTGACTTTATAATCGGCAATTATTACTTGCGGATTAACAAACAAGAAAAAGAATGTTCTCTTCGTTTATTATTTCCTCTTTTTTTTTTTTTCTTTCTTTCTTTTCTCTTTATATATCCCCCTTTCTTCTCTTTTTCTCCTTCTCTTGCTATCTCTCTATCATTGCGCAATTTAATCGATTCAATGTAAATTTACTTTTAAGATTTTTCAAACTGCGATGATGACTCGAGACCCGATCGTCACGTATACTGATAATTAGCTGGAATTTAACTAAAGTGCGAAATGCGACTATTGATTTGGAAGCTGATCGTGAAAGGGTTTTTCTTCTAAAGTTTTTAAATAATAAATAAATTTTTTCTTTCAATCTACACACATATATATATATATATATATACACACACTGTACATTTCTCCTGACGTTGCATCTTTGTTATTAATCCCACCCTCACCGCTCTGTGAGAACGCGTTTGTAATTCGAATATGTTTCCGATCAAGAAAAAAAGATAAAAGCGAATTTCGAAGAACTCGTGAAGTATCTCTCGCTTCCGCGCTCTTATCGCGATCTGTCGCACCTTACCAGGAAAGTAGATATGATATAATACTTGATTTGGCTCACCTCACGTCTGCTATGTTGTTGATCTTGTTTAAGAATAACAAGCCCTGGGAGAAAGTTTATATATCGGGACGTGACAAATCTTTGGGCTTTACCAGACCCCAAACACTTCGGTCCAGTATAACACTCTGCTAATTAGCGTCGAATATTTTATCAGTTATCTCTTTATCGTTGAAAAACATTTCAACAGAAGATTCTTTGAACAATCTGAATTCGATTTTTTCATCACGAAAATAAAATGAATAATAATTTAATACTCAGAAAGAGAAGAAGAAAATGTTTCATATATTATTATACAGTATGTTTGGTATGTTGCGGACAACTGCTCATGTGAAGGTAGAATGAGTTAAACTGCACAGAAAAGTTCTCTACCATTTCGTAAACAATCACGCAAAATTTTGAATTATTAATTATTGAAAATGGTCATATATAGGAATATTTTTAATTAACAACTAGGACATCTGCATGTTATTTCCAAAATGTAATGTAAAGACAAAGGACTTTTTTGTTCAGAGTGGCTTAATCTACAAATATATGATAGCTGTTATATCTAACGACAGGTTCAAGGTTCGAAGTTCAAGATTCTATATACTGATGTGTGTCGCCAACATAGAGAAAATATCTTCTTTCAATTTTGATAAAAAAATTCAAAAACAAAGCAATTTGAAATTTCATTATGAAAATGATAACAAGAAAACAGGACATTTCCGGACCAATATTGATGTTCTTTTTTCCTGTTTTTGGGTCCACCATCTCCACTTCTCGAGCGATTGACCTCCACTTTTGAAACACCTTGTATAATTATATGTGATTATACATGGAAAATTTCTTCCCGGAAAAAAATAACTACGTAGTAGGAATAAGTAAAATAAAGACGGAAAATAAGGAAACTTAAATGTAAATAAATAAGAACAATTACATAAATACATCGAATAAAATACATAAAATAGAATAAAATTAAAATAAATATAGAAATGTCGAAGAGCACTGATAAATTTCGAGTTATAGGCAACAAAAGAATCTGTCATAAGGAACTAAACCTCGGGAGGGGAGGGGGACACGTTCGATACTTGCATTTCTTAATGTTCACACAATCACGACAATCCGAAATGTCAGGAAGAAAAGGATAGAATTAAGAATGAACGACGAGATCAAAGAGAAAGCTAGGTAATCCGTCGTATCCGCGATTCAAAAAACGCGCGTCGCGTATCGCGAACAAGCTGCGGCTTGATTTCGCGCGGCGGGAAAGGCCCTCTTGTTCTTTCTCATCTTTAATTGAGATCTCTCGCTTCCGCGATGAGCGCGATTGGTCGGCCGGTAGCGCCGTGCGACCCACTTCGGCATGCCGATAGGCCGTCGTGGCGCGCGCGGTGAGATAGAGTGAGACAGCACATTCCTCTCTCTCTCTCGGGCTGCTCCTCGGTAATGAAAAAAAAACATCTCCTCACAGAACGTCGGCAACGATCGCCGGGAGCAGTTGTGCGATTTTGTCTTCGCGAGGTGGCAGCGTTAATTATCAAAAAGCCGAGACAGAGAGAATATAAAGAGGATACAGAGTGCGACAGACGAGCGTTCCACAGCCGTGGGCAAAAGAGAAGTTTGAGAGTGTGACGGGGAGAGATAGACAGAGTTTGAGAGTGTGACGGGGAGAGATAGACAGAGTTTGAGAGTGTGACGGGGAGAGATAGACAGAGTTTGAAAGAGAGAGAGAGAGAGAGAGGGAGAAGAAAGATTGTGATCACGCTCGACTTGTCGCCCAACATACGAACGAGCGGGATCTCGGCCGCGCGGGAGGAGGAAGAGGCGGCGGCAGGTACGTTCCCTCACGTATGTGTCCCCTATTTGCGATGGCCTCGATTGACTCGGCGCGTTCGGCGGCTCGATTGTCGGAAAATTCAGCCGGCTAGGAGCGAGCAGGACGATGAAAGACGACGATCGAGATAATAACGGACAACCGCGTCGTGAATCACCACATTTCTCACGATTCGCCTGATTATCGGGCCGATCTGTTTCTCGTTATCGGGCGAGCGACCGCTTTAGACCTTGGCATATGGTAATCAAGACGTGAACAGCTTCCCGTTGCAAGGGCCGACATTGTTTACTTCCCTCGGCTTGTCGGCCCAAACGGTGCGAAAAAGTCACTCGAATCTCAAGGACGAGAGGAATTTTTTGCATTGTTCGCATTGTCGCTCGCTCACTTGATTAGTCACACGTACATACCGGAGTCCTCGCGGCAACTATATGTGTGCGCGCGTGTATGTGTGTCTGTGTCGTGTAGGAAGTTCGATGTAACGTTACTTCAAACTACTTGCCGAACCGTCGGACTCGGAGCCTCTTTGTTAGAATGGACAGAAGTCCACTTATCAACCAGTATCAAGCGTTGACCTGATATCCGACGTGTTATATCCGCAAAATAACCGTGAAATTATGCGCATAAACAAATAAAAGTTAATGTTCTGATGGCGGAATATCCGAGCCGCAAAGCGGACCGAACGTGTGAATTGCGTCGAAATGCTTTCCCTCGCTTTTCTATTTCCTCGTTTCCGTCAGACTTAAGTAGAGTGCATGTTTTATTATGCATAACAGAATACATTTGTACAGAGTGACTTTGATTGCATCATACACAAACGAAAGAAACCAAGCAATATAGCGTAATATTGTGGGTAATGGAGGATCGGATAGTATCAATATTTATAGTATTCAAGCAATTAACTTCACCCAAGATAAGACTGGAATCCAAGTTCGTATCAGATGTAAATTGTCGTATTAATATACCGGCTAGTTCTTGAATATTCGAGAATCCTGCATATCTGAATATTGACAAGATTAATTTGTAGAAACCAGAGGTTGCACATTGTAATCATACATGATTGAATGCATTTTTTTCTTTCTGTAAGATAGACTAGGAGATATTGCGAAAGAAAGTGGTAAAATGGATCAGAACGAAATTGTGAAAATTTTGCGGTCATGCCTGATATCATGCAAAGGTGGTGTAAAGTTGGACAATTTAAAGGGTATGCACACGAAATTATTATAAACTATTTTAATGATAAACAAAATATAACTGTCACTTCTACATTTGAAATATAATACTAATGATTGATCTTTTTTTTTCTTTTTCTTTTGACGATTCTTTCAATTGAGTTTGCTAGTTTCTGTCATTTTTGAGAGCTATGCAAAAACTACCTTCGTTGCTTTACAGCGGACTATCACATGATCACGGGAGAATCGTTACCCTACAGAAACTTTGGGTTCTCGTCGATCGAAGCCTTCATACGTAATATATCTGATATTACGGTGACCAGTAGGAATGGAGAGTTGTATGTTGACGCAGTACCTTCCAGGACAACTGCTCACCTTACGAAATTAATTTCTCACCAAGTCCAGCGGCGAAAAACACGACGAAAACCACAAGCCAAAAAAGTAATTAATGTTTCGTATTCTGTACTCTGATAAATTTGTTGCCGTTTATGACGTCCCATGATATTTGGACAAATATCGTAACAATTTAATCGTTATTATATGAGTTACTTCTTTTGTCCTACTTATATAACATGGCAACGCTTAAGACTGGGTCACATTTGTAGGAGTTATCGTTGTCTATGAAATTAATTTCCAGTGGAGTCCTCATCGATACACACCTAGAGGCTACTTACCAGGTTTTAAAAATTACACACCTCAGCCTGCAAAATATACTAATCCAAATCCTCCGCAGCCATTCACTAGATCAACACCGGGAAAGAGTAATTTGTACACGGACTTTAGCAGGTTAGTTGAGAAAGTGGATAAGCTTTGGGAAGTACACAGAATTAAGGTAGTTGTAGCACTGCATTTTCAATGAAGCATCAAAAGGCCATTCGTAAATTCATTACTTATCAAGCAAAATTACGTTCCTATACATTTATTTCACTACCTAAATAATAAATATTAATATAAATAAAAAATATAAAGACTCATTACTATCTTAAACTTGTAAATTGCAGCTCTTTTAAAATATGAGTCACACTTTGTACATCTGCTACGAATAACGTAATATTTCAGACCTACGCCACTAATGGAAAACATAGTACAATGCCCGTTTCCATTGCCGCGCAATAACGAGAAACCAAGATTCGCTCTGGACACGCCACAGGTTTCACCGAGCAAAGTGAGTGTGCAGATCGTGAATCCCTCCAGTGGCTCGACGTTCTCTCGGTGACATCGCTCACGTTAATCGTACCGACACTTGTAGAGACTGAGAGACAAAGCGAATCCTAACGTACCATCTTGGACGTCGCATCAAAGCTTTAATAAACCTAAGACCTTTGACGAAGGACCGGGGACCGAGATATCAAGCCCGAAAGCAGTGCCGCAGCAGCAGCCTGTGATAAGTTCAAAACCAAAGACTGGAGAACAAAAACCCTCGAAACTAAGCGATAGGCTCAAAATCACTTTTCCATTGCCAACAAATAATAACGGACATGCCTATACGCCCGTTATTCCACCCAGCGTTCCACAGGTTCCACAGGTAAGAGTGATCAAGGAACCGTTCAGTCGAGCGGCGTCGGATCTCCTCTGCAGAACCGAAATGTCTTTCTAGTTCGTACATCTTCAGCGTGGTACTTGTCCCGTCAACGATCCGCGGAAAGAACTGATAGCTCGCGCCAATGCGTTGGATCTACAGTTGCCGATGTACAAGATGTACACGAAAAAGGAAAGGTCCAATCCAACGAAGATCACGATTTACGCCAGCGTCAAAGTACGCCGTTTGTGTTAAATTTCATAACTCCCCTTCTTTTTGCACTCATTTCGCTATTTGTTCATCGACGATCCCGGCTGAATTTCACAGGTCGGAGCCCATACATTCCATACCTTCCCGGAAGACGCGAGATCCGAGGAAGAGGCTGAGAAGATCGCGGCACGTTTGGCGCTGACTAACCTGGCCAAGGAGTCGTCGAGTCCCGAAGTGACCACCGTGGACGTGAAATTAGTGAAAGAACGCATACTAATGATCATAACCAGACACCATAGCGGCGTCTTCATGCATCAGTTGCCGGCGTACTACAATGAACAGTATGGGGAAGCTTTGCCATCCGATTGGCAGAGGATAATCGAGGAGTGCGCGGATATCAACAAGGAGAAAGGCGTCGGCAATTCGACGATACTCTGTCGGTCCGACCCAACCGCGAAGGTAACGCACTTTTATTTTTCCGCGACGAAATTGCCCGCTCACAGAAACCTGAAGCGTTGTGCTCTTTCCCATGTGCTTCCAGCGACCGGAAGTTTACTCACCGTCTCATGAGGCGCATCATGAGATTAGCTCTATATCCAGCGAGAAGATACGGTTGAGCCCGATCGGACCCGTCGCGCCGGATAAACTAAAGATACCCGAAGCTACCCTCTGGAACGTATACCCAACATGCGTCATAAGCACCGTCGAAGTATGGGTCCGGCTTGTCGACGATGACTACAACGTAAGTGGATTGTCTCCTCTGTCGTCTGCCCTCGCTTTTTCTCTCGTATGACCGTGGGTCGCGTTTTTCCCCCAGGATAATTTCATCGACATGACCAACGAAATGGCGGAGTATTACCGTCAGATGAAGGAATCCGTCCCGACGTCGACGTGTGCCATCGGTGATTTCTACGCGATCTTTGAAGATGAGGACTGGCACAGGGTACAATGCATAGACTTCGAACCGAATGACGGGCTTGCTACGGTACATTTCATCGACGAGGGCTACGAAGATCAGTATAAATGCGACGTACTACTGCCCTTGGACAAGAAATTCTGCGTTCTCCCGGCTCAGGTATTATTTTGACGAACCATGTTGATTTATGACCGCATCCCAGGCTATGTGAACCCTCTGATAACTATGCAAGATTAGAACCACTTCTCTCACAGGGATCTCCAACGGAATGTCGACCGTGTTGATTTAGTGATTCTCGTGTTACAATAAACTCATTCTTTTCAGCTGAGCTAGAGAGAAACTTGAGAACGGGTCGTTTTTCAGGCAACTATCTTTCCGATATATTTTTTTTGAAAGTGTATATAAGGACCTCAACAGAATGGTTGACTTGTAATTTTAAGACAATGTTTTATGTCCTGTATTTTTATCTAAATTATCATTTATTTACCTTTGTTTTTTATTATATATCGGTTCGTTATCAATAACAAACAGAACGGCTTTTTAGTTTAAGATTTAAGACACAAGAGGGTTATTACGCGTTACTCAAAGACAAATATTAAAAATATATAACATTATTCTGAACCGATGAGCTATTCTTCTAAGGCCTGAAACTACGTTAAGTTAGACAAGGAGCGACGATCATATTTTTTTGTGTTTCTTGTATAATATATATTATTTATTTTTTACTTTTCCTTGAGAAATACAATAGTTTTGTAATTATGAAACCTGTGAAATACGCAGAAAACTAAGATATTTGGCCGATATGTCATGTAGAATCGTAAAATAATTTCAGAAATAACGGATCATTTTCTAACTATCTCAACTAACACGATCGTACGACTGAAAAGTGACTCGCTATTTCCGGAATTATTCTTGCGATTCTACGTGACATATCGGCCATATATCTCAGTTTTTTTACACATTTTCACAGATCAAGATTACGAAATCATTGTGTTTTTACATTGAACTGGGTTGCTGTTAGAATGAAGCAAATGTATAGTCTAGCATTGAAAAGAAAAGGAACGGCGTTTTAGTGCAGTAGTACTAATTCAGTTGAAAAGAACAGATCTATATATCGTCTAATATTAATTAATGTCATTGTCATGCGCGTTTTTTCTTCGCTACAGGCGGTCCGTGTGGCTCTTCAAGGGTTAGAGGAACTGCGCGATTACAGCCAACAAACTATCGCGGAGATCGAGAACCAGCTTATGGAGCGAGTGTTTTGCGTAAAAGTACACAGCATAGCCGCCGATGAGGAAGGCACATATGCGGTGGTGTCATTTTTTGACACCAGCGGCGAAGATGACATCGATGTGAACAATATCCTATTTGAAAAGATTATGGACAATATTGCCGCTACGTCCAAATCGAATGTAATTAATAATCTCCATTTAGATTTGTTCGTTTGTCAATTCTTGTTTTTTCATTGCCACGGTTGGGAAAGTTATCTCTTAAAGATAACTCATTATTGTTACTCATTTTAAAGCAGACTCGTTACTCGAGATGTAACGAGTTACAAATTTTATTTTGCGAATTTCTACTTTTTCGTTTTTATGATTCGCTGCCGTCCATCTAACGTAGATGTATTTCACGTGTGCGAAGCAACGATTATATTTGTTACTGTTGTATAAAAAAAAATATAATCGCGTTATCATGATCGTTACTGAAAAAACAATGTTAACGGCGACTTCCCAATGCTGTTTTATTCGATCAAATTTTTTTCCTTCTTTTCTATCCGAGACGTATTAAGTAAGAGGGCGATATTCATGGACGGATTTTATATTTAAGATCGTTTCATTGTCAGATACTGTACATCTTATTTTACGTCCTGGCTACGGATCATCTGAAGATGAACATAAGACAATCTTAAATATAAGAACCGACTATGAATACCACCGGCTTAAGACGTTTCTCTTGTTACAAGCAGGCAGGACAGTTCGTCGAATTGTACGTCACCAACATCGATGAACACGGGAAAGTTTACGCGCAGCTCAACTCCGTAGCTAGAACGTGTCTGCTGAATCTCATGAACAACGAGATGATGGCGCAGATACCTAGGAACGTCCTAATGAGCTCTGCTGTGAGGGCGATCGACTTCACGAAGATGTACTTCGTGCAGTTGGACTCGCAATGGTACCGGGCTAGAGTAACGGACGTTCAAAACGAGTCTTTGATCACGGTATTCCTGGTCGACCTGGGTCGGACAGTCACAGCGTTGCGAGCAAATTTGCTGCATATGGATAAAATCTCGAAAGTTCTGCAGAGCATTCCGCCACAGGTTGGTTGAAAGATCAAGATCAGAATTGTTGATATTTCGTTACGATAAAGTCGACCAGATTTGCACTATGTCATTATTTTGTGTACACAGGCGACGCAGGTATTCCTGCATAATATAGACCAATCGATGTACGGCGAGAGGTTCGTGGTAAGATTCAACGAACTAGTCTCGGACACCGATTTGCTGATCGCAAAGGTCGTCCGAGTGACCACATCCGGCGTTCCGGTGGTGCAAATTTTTAAGAGGGTCCAGCCGAGCAACATGTTAGCTTCCATCAACGAATCGTTGATTCATGATGAGGAATTGACAAAGTGAGTGAATACTTTCGATTCCTTTTCAGACTGTGTTGTGTTCGAGAAGTATGCTATCAGCACTATTGTTTCATCCTTGTGCATATCTAATGAACGATAAGGGTAGGATGACGCAATAACAATGATAATATGCAGCTCAATCACAGCCTTAGCCTATTTTTTCTCACGATTTCCTCACGTTAACTTTACGGCTATTTATTGATTGTTAAAATAAAGGCACATTTTTCGGAATATTTAACAAGTATCACTTTATGGATGTATCGTTTTATTTCAAAATATTCTGCAAGAATTCTGACTAGATGTTTTCTCGCTTCGCCCGTCATTAATCAAGATGACTTCTGCGAGGAAGCGGGAATTTTGAGAAACAAAAGAGGCTTTAGCTTCATCCCGAGAAATACATTGCGTATAATTTCCAACGTCCATACCATCACATACCACTGTTACATTTCCAGGTCTAATGAAGACGGCAATAACAATATCAAGCCCAAGAAGCGGTTAGAACGCAAGAACTCGCGAATCCTGGAGTCGGGTAAATTGAATCCGCCCATGATTTCGGACATCGGTCAATACTTCGACGTTCACGTCTCGTTGGCCGCGCATCCTGGGCATTTCATTGTTCAACCTCTGGATAGTATGGGCAGCATGAAGGTATGAACAGTATTGATTAATACCTGTATTATCTCTCCTTTATTCCCACTCGTTCGTTCGGACTTCCAATGAATTCGAAATCGTTTTCCAGACAATGATGAGAGAGCTGCAGAAATGCTGCGACGCGTACGAAGGGCCGGAGTTGGAATCCGTCGGCGAAGGAAAGCTGTACGCAGGGAAATGCATGGACAATTATTGGTACAGGTATGTGTACGATCAGCAGTTGCGGGATGAGGTTTTCGTCGTCGGCCATCTCGGTGTGACGTTCGTTTCTTTTTTTTCTCCAGAGTATACGTTACAAATATTATTAACGACAACATGATATCTGTGTACTTTTGTGACTTCGGGGACGTAACGATAGTGCAGCGGAGCAGGTTACAACCTTTGAAGAGCGAGTTCCTAGAACTGCCTTATCAAGCTGTCAAGGCAAAACTCGTCGGTAAGAATGAATAGTTTTTTCTGTCCTTTTCCCTCCTCCTCCTCCCAAGCCTTCCACGAACATATCTCATAGCGCGAGAACGTTCGAATCGTTTCATTAGCCGTGTTCAACAGAGAAGAAAATTCGATGAGCGATGCTAGGAATGTTCGATTCTGAACCGACTTTTTAGAAGGTCGATTTTTCCTCACAAAAATCGAATTGATTAAAGCGACTTTTTTGCTACACCAACATTCTTAGTGTGTTTAACGATTATTGTCTGCGATTGGAGTATTCTTTCAGATCCTTGACAGATCCGAGAGAATGTACCAATCAGGATCAATAATCGCTAAGCGCTTCACTGAGCTATTTTGCTTGCTGAACACGAGCATCACCGAGATGAGATTCATAACTTTCTTCTTTTTCTCCCCTTTTCACCGAAACGCGCGACACAGGAATACAACCGATGAACACTGACTGGACCGTCGAGGATTGCGTGAGATTCCGTGATCTGGTACTCTGCAAAAACTTTGTCTCCATAGTGGTCGAATCTATGTTCGACCACTTGTCGCCGGTTAACGGTACTGTGCTAGGACTAAGATTGATCGACGTTAGCACCGATAAAGACATATTTATCGACAAGATGTTAGTCGAAGAAAATCGTGCCAAGTGTATCGAAGGGGAAAGTATTCCTCTTAGCTAGCTCGTTATGATGATTGAGGATAGACTGAAGTGTCTATTTTCGTAATAGTACGTTACCCTTTTATAACGACACGGTGCTGCACGCTGCGCACGCACATTATAAAAGGGTAACGCGTAAACATATTATAGACTGCAATTTGTATTTGTTGTATCCGAGGATTAGTTTCATCCTCTCATCCCCTTTTTTTGTTAATAACACAAACCACGGACAACATTTTGATAGTGAAGAAGCATAGGTGAGGTTTATTTATCAAGAAAACGCTTATATTTTATTCTTCTGTAAAGACTTCGGTCTGCGATTATATCCATACATCGTTCTGTTGTCGGTTCACTCAAGACATTTGCTGTTGAAGTTGTAAAGTGTGTAGTTTATTTACAAAAATGTCAAGTTTTATTAAAACGTCTTGTTGTATTTTTGATAACACTATTAGCTCATAATAAGTAAGTATTCCTATCAGTGTTACATTATTATACTTATCTTTTTTTTTAGTTCCTCCGTTTCCTTTTTTGTTCACTATTTGAAGAAAGCAGTATATGGTTGTCAGACAAAAGACAAAAGATATTGGCTGTGTGTAATACTATGCATATGTTATTCATTAACAGCACATTCCATGTTTAAATAAATATATATACATATACATACATACATACATACATACATATCTGTTTTATATTATATATACAAATATATCACATCATACACACACACATACACACAAATAGATTTGCTTATATGAATCAGTCAATACGAGAAACTTGTATATGCATGTATAACAAATGCAACATGTTTGCAGGGGACGTGTTTTTCAGTCCCACCTCGTCCATTCTAACAATAATGAGAGAAAAGGAGAATATAGAGATATCGAAGTTAATCTTACTGTTCAACCTTATATTCTTACCTTACATTTTATTACAACTTATATTGTTATACATTCATTTTATCACAACTTATATATTTTTTATTTATAAATAAGTCGCTTCTCATACACACGAGTGATTTCCCGCAAAAGCGAACGAACCAAACTTACATTTTGCACAGCACATTTGTATTTTATACATCGCAACGTTACCTACTTCCTAATTATAACGAAAGTTCCGCCCTACTGCATACTTTTGCACGATGTCTCCGATCCATTTGTTTCACCAGTCGTGTCAGTTGCATCTCAGAGATGCCGCGGACGATCGCAGTTTGGACGTGTCAAATGCGCGACACAATCAACGAGTTTAACATCGGACGAAGCGTCGAAATAGTTGGTACAATTTCTGAGTGATGCCATATAATCAGGTAGCACATCATCAAGTACTATTTTTTTTCTGGTTCTTCATAAATCAAGTTATGATTTTTTAAATTGAGAATCTAACGATTACATTTGCCAAAGTTTTGTTCAATCGATTCTAGACTGCAAATTATGAAATATTTATTACTCAGGATGTTATTTATAAAAATGTGGCGATACTGCATAATGGGTTGAAGAGAAACAAGAGTAGTAATATGACTTCCAACTAAAATAGATTAAATTTTTTTTTAATAACAGTTTTGTTACAAAATTAGATATGTGTTCAAAATAAATTCTGAGGAGAAATAACAATGAATGTAATCGTGAATTTTTAATGTAGGTACTGAGTTGTCAGAAGCTACTATATATATATATATATATTTTTTTTTTTTTACTGGCTACATTAGTTCGAGAAATGTATACACACACACTAATCTTAAACTAAAAAGGGAAAAATAAAATAGAACAGAAAACAGGAAGGCACATATGTACATAATATATAACAGAAATTTAATTTTGAACATAGCAGCTTATTTATGAAAATCTTTGAGTCTACACCATCTTTCTGAGAAGTTCATTAATTTTATCCTCTCGATTTCCGAAGTCACCACCCTCTACGTAATGGTTAGTCTTCTTACGCCATCCGCCATTCGGTGTATTGAGCTGGAAAAAAAATAGAAAAGTGATTTTTTGATATAACTATACGATTTAAATTTTACCGTGTTCAGCTACATATAAATTATCGAGATACAAAACTGTTAAATGCTACAAATTTTCTCTCTCCACCTTGTGTGAATCGAGACAAAAATCTTTGAGCTCATCTTAGATTTGTAATATTAAGACGATACAAATCGGCACGAGGAATTCTTATTGCTCTTCAACATAGTAGGAAGTTAATAGACTTAAAATTATTCTACAACTGTGCTTATGTCGTAACCATAAGATACTGGATTATATTAGATTCTTTCAGTCATACCTTGAAGGGCCACAGAAAATTGCTGGCATATTTAAATTTCGGCCCGACAGTGAATATCTCGTGAATTAAATCCTCAGTACAGATGATGCCAGAGTGACCTAAGCGACAAACATGGTCCATTAAATCAAGCTGCTATGTGATTGTTGATGAGCATTAAGTAATACTACAACTGTTAAGTAATATTACAACATGTATTCTTGTGCAAATCACTGTCAAATCTAAATACAATAATTATATCGATTTTTTCAGAAAACTGCCCTGTTAATTTTTGACAAACTGTAAGAGAGAGTGTCCCTGTGTAGACAACACTCTCCTATAGATTTCTCAAGAAATTATTTTCAGCAAATACAGTATGTGTACTAATTATGTATCGCCGATGGTGTCTCCTAATTGTAATTAATAATTTTACACAGGTGTTAGAAGTTGCTTTAATAACCTAGCTTCTTCTCAATGATGGTATTGCTGGTTATCGGTACACGTTTGCCGTCTATCTTGGCAAATCCACGTTTGTACACCAGTTCACGAACAGATTTCAAATTAGGGTATCCCCACGTGACGTAAGGCTCGACAATACGTAACATATTGACCGTCGCCTTGTTCAATTTAACAAAGATGCCATTGTTAATCTGTTTTAGCCGGAACAGATGTAACACCTTCCGTACCTTTGGTGTAATTTGATTCACACTAAAATGAGGTTGTAATTAAATTTCGCTTGCATTAAAAAATTCCAAAAACTAATGTAGATTTGATCGATACTACAAGTTTTTACATTGATATATTGATATTAATTACCCTCGGATACGGATGAGAAATGCAAGATGTGCTTCCCTGGATATGTAGTAATTTCCACGATTCTTAGCCTGCCTCATCAATCTTATCTCGTCTCTCTCCTTTTGTCTATATTCTTTCACATATTGTTCCGCCCTCTTAAAAGTTTCTTTCCTTTTCTTATACCGATTCGCACGTTGCTATAAAAGAAACAATATGTCATGCGAAGTTGAAAAATTAAAATAGTCTATAATATGTAGCTCGCATATTGCAAGTGAAATTCTTCGTATGATCATATAACAACATACCTTAATAGATAATTGCAAGCGCGCAGCATTAAATGCTTCACGGCGTTTCCTCCTCTTCAGGACAGATTCCGGCACTGCCGGCAGTTTGTTAGTGTTTGCCAACGAGGCAGTCTCTTTCTTTCTGTAAAATTCAGAAAAATGTAAAAATGTTTCTTAAAACGTGTGCATGTTTTAGTGGACCAAAGCACTGCATTGTTTGCTTCGTCGAGGCGAAAGTATAAATTCATTACTGTTCACGCATTTTTAAAGAAACAGTGTGACATTTTTGCATGTTTGATGTCATAGTGTTGATTAATGCAAGCAAATTCATCCGATCTGCTCCAATTACTTACGTATCCGTCATCTCTCTGTATGGCAAAAGAACCTAACCTCCGCTGCTTCACGTCACCTAACTTCACGCGCGGAAACTTGCTTGTCGGCCAGTTTCCTCCGCGTAGCGGAAGTTACTGAAGTAACGCGCGCATTGTCATTTGGTGAGTTCGAATTCGTTTGGAATTCGCGGGTAATACAATAAACATTTTGTTGTATCATTAAATATAATTTTTATTCGAAATACTAATTAACGGGCGATATTGTTATATAAATTTGCAAAGGCCACGGCAATTAGCGATGAAAGATATCGCCGCAAAACAACTCGCAGAAATGCTCATTCACGCGCACCTCGACCGCCGTATATGAAATTAACATGTGCTATCCGAATCCGTTGTTGTTTACAAGGTGAATCCGCCAAATAAAATTAATTATTGCGGGTAGCAGAGAAATTAAGGAAATTGAATCGCTGATACACATGAGTCAGAAGAACAAATCAAGTTTACATCTTACATATATATATATATATATTTACAATTCGTACATCGTTAACATTATCTATTTCCTAATTATAACGAAGGTTCCGTCGCTACGTGGCGAGCTGTCGCTCTTGGAAGTCCGTTCGACGGGATTTGGGAGCTCTTCGACATCGATTACGACATTGTCGGCAAATCGACGCGGCGGCTGTTTCATCTCGACGTTCTCTTCGTACCCCGTACTGCTCGTGGTACGTGTGTCGAGTCTGTTCAGCATGCTTTTGCCTGATGTCTCCGATCCGCTCGTGTCAATTGCATCCCGGAGATGCAACGGAGGATCGCGGTTTAAACGCGTCGGAAGCGTGCCACGATCCTCGAGTCTGAGATCGGAGAAGGCGTCGGAGAGGTTGGTATGATTTCTGGCTGGTACCACGTAATCAGGTAGCGCTTCATCAGCAGATACCGCTTCTTCTTCCGGTTCTCCGCCGACCAAGTTGTGATTTGAGTCGCGACTTGTAACAGGCAATTCACCAGGAGGTCTTCGCTGCTCCGAACGTCTCATCATGTACGCTCGTCGCATTCTTCTGTATATCCTATCCGCGATGTCCTTCCTTCGCGCCTCTGTGTCTTCTCTGAGCTGCTGCGCGGCCGTTTCGCGCAAGAACTGCGGATCATCGACGGGCCAGCGTTCCACCCTACGCTGTACCTCGTCTATGTAACGCAGATCATTGGGAGGTTGTCCCCTGCGTCGTTCACGAACTCGGGCGATCGCTGGTGTGACGTCGGGAGGCTCGTCAGGTAAGGATCGCGTCGTATACGGCCTTGGCGGCCGTGCGTTCCTTAAAGAGCTCGCCGATTCCGGTCTGTGGTACCCATCGTTCAACTGATCTCTCGGATCTCGCGTTTCCGCTGTGATCGTCAGACCAACGTCGCTGTTACTCACGTTATTGTTAAACCTTAACACTCGTGCCGCCGTTGGACCTCCGAAGCCGGAGTATGCGAGGACGTGGTCGTACGGATGATAATCCACACACGTGACCGCCCGGTAGTCACGCCCGCTCGTGTATTTCGCTAGGTGTTCACCGGTCTCCAGGTGCCAGACGTTCAACGCAGAATCCTCGCCGCCGCACAACACCAGACCGCCGCACGGCGAGACGCACGCTTTCATCTGAACTCTGTAAATTGACACACGCCTTACAAAAAAGTATTACGGAATCCAGACCGAGCGGGGTAAATGTTTTCACTTCAAGCTGAGCATATATTAAGCGAATGCAAACTTTCGTTGTTACAGTTTGAACAATAGGTACGTCATAACGAATCCGGAGAACGTTTCGGATTTCGCCGATTCGCTTTTAATTAAGTTGGTTTATCAAAGAACGTGCCTCTGATTGTTCAGCCCGTCGTATCTCTGCAGGACCACACCAGTCGCGAGGTCCAGCATTCGCAGACCGCTGTTCCTCGAGTGCACCAAGAGTCTGGACTCAAGAGGGTGTAAGACGATCGTGTTGATGACCACCCCCTCGATCTCCCGGACCTTTATCTTCCTCGCGATGCACCACTCCCGCTTCGTCGGCATCTTGCCGTTCCTTCGTGCCGACCAGACGATTATCGCTCCCACGCTGTCAGCCGTGATCAAGTCACCGCTCTTTTGAAACACCAGGGAGTTGACGAAGCCCTCGTGACCCTCCAGCTCTTGGCACAGCACTCGCTCCCGCGATCGCTTGTCGCTCGCCCAGACGCGCGTCACGCGGTCGTAACATCCCGTCGCCACGATCGTCGTGTTGCCGGGGCCATACTTGGCGCAATACACGTACGCAGGATGCGGCAGCATCTGCAAGCGAAGACGATTCGGCGACTTGAATGGGCGAGGATTGATCTTACTCGGACGATTCTTCCCGGAGGAGCCTCCACAGAGAAGAATAATTTAGCTAATTTTATGCTGTCGTAGCAAATGAATGAATATACTTGGATATAAATAGATAAATACATAGGCTACTTTTTAAATACCACCCAACATTTCGGGAATTAATTTTTGAGGTCACTTTATGAAGAAAACGCCGTCACACAAACCGTATGTTCATTTCCTTATAAAATGGCCTCAAAAATCAATTCTTAAAATATCGGACGGTACTTAAGAAACATTCTATGCATTTATTTATTTATACTACGATGACATAAGAAATTTGCTGCATAAACAATTGCCCTCTGAATGATTTTTTTCCGTGTACCTCATCGTTAAGGAAGGTTACTTTGAAGTGTCTGCTTTATTTTCTCCTATCCCTTCAGGATTTGCATGGGAAATTGGTGAGTTCAAATGATGTTAAGAAGGAAGTGTCTCTATCTGATTACCTCGACGTGTTGCACAATCCGGTTGCGAACATCCCAGACGCGCGCCGTTTGATCCGCGGACGCCGACAACAGACAGCGATCGTCGCTAGACCAGTTTAGAGAATAGACGAAGGTCTTGTGGCCGGGAAATCGCACGTGGGTCTTGCCGGTTTCGACCTGAAATCGGCGACGATGATCGCGCGAACTTGCCGCAGTGTTTCATCGACAGCGAATGCACGTCGAAACATGAGAATTTTTTACAAAGAGAGACCGAGTCAAGTTGGCTCACACAACGCACATCAACCGTGTGTTTCTTTCGAGAGGAACGGTAGAAAAAGAACTACAAGATTTAAATATTTATCGTCTCTATAGGTATTTGAACAAAGTAAGGAATAACAAACGTCTTCCTTCTTTTTTCGTTCCCTTTTCCTCATTCCTGGCTTTGTTTGGGCGCACTTGAAGGGGAAAAATGCTTTATTCAAGTAAATATCTACCAAAGAATAGTGGAGTAATTATCTCACTTGGATTAAGTAAGTATTACTTGAATGTAGCACTTTTTCTTTCACCCATAGATGAATATTTCCATTTCGCGATCCCTTTTCCTTCCGCTGTTTCTCTCGCAATAATTACACCAACGAAACGCATGGTCGGCACGACCCTCGGCTCAACTCGCGCCGGTCTCTTCCCGATAATTTTGCGGAACGCAATTTTACGAGTTTTTCAGGATGATATTCTCGGTGTTCGATTACAGAACTTTTCGACAGAAGTTTCGTTTCCGAGAGATAATTCCCCCACATTCCCCGCTCCCTATAATGATGATTAATTTTATTCGGCGGATTCACCTCGTAAACGACAACGGGGTAACTGTACTCCTCGGAATGGACGCAAGCCAAATACTTGCCGTCGCTGCTGAACGCCACGTAGAAGCACCCATTTTCGCTTGTCTCCGTCTCGAACATCCTGTCGTTCGGGATCTTGCAAGACTGGGCGGCCAAGCGCGCCCATTTCGGCAAACTGACGGCGGTCGAGGTGCGCGCGTACGAATGTTCCTGCGAGTCGCTTCGCACGTCGGAGATATCCTTCGTCGCTAATTGCCGGTACAGCAGAGGTTTGACCTTCGGCGGTGACACGGAGGTGACCGTTACGAAGAGACTACTTGGATATTTATCCCTGTTGTTCGATTGCCACCACGTATACACCTGTATGCACGCGCAATGCAAGGAATCAAATGTCGCAATGTCGAGTAGTTGCGTTGTAAATTTCTTCGAATGAAATCCTATTAGAGAAATGCTCACTCGAAACTGAAGAGTGAATCTCTCACGTGTTCCACAAATGGCGGGGTTAAACTCTGATTTTCATAAGTTTGGAAACTTCATTCTAAAAAATTTTCAATGATCAATCACAATCGATTATTCTCCCTACGGTCAAATAATAATCAACTGTGATTGGTCAATTTTCTTACTGCTTAAATCTTGCTCCTTACGTTTTTCTGTGTGCCACAGCCCTAACTTAGCGATAACTAAACAACGGGTACCTCGCATGTGTGCCTGTCGTATTTCTTAAAACTCCGCCTGGGCTTGTAAAGCTGCAATCGTACTTTCTTGTCCGTGTGAAGGGTGTCATTAGACCCTAACGGCTTGAGAAACGCCCAGGCTATTTTGCTCCAACATCCTTCGCTACCTGAAACCATGAAGGAGCACATGTCGTTTATTTATAGCAAGCACGTGAAGAATCAGGAGCTCTCCCTAAGACTCGAAATTAAGAATAATTTTCAAATGTATCTCGTACTTTCTGTCGGACTTTGTAAATTGCGAAGTCACACATATCATCAGGATCGTCCACTTTTTTCAGTTAGATCGATGCATTGCACACGCGCGGTAAATGAACTTTACAAATGTTCTAAGAACGTTCTTTTCTCTATAATTTCACTCTAAGTATTAAATTATTCATGGCACCTTATATATTATTTGTTCGTTCTGTCTTCACGTAATCTTAATTTTAATTTTATCCAAATGTTCTGTAATTAGTCAACGATTAGATTTTTTTCTTTTATGCATTCTAAAGAGTTTTTCTCGTAAATAAAGATGATTATTACTATTATTGTTATTATTATTATTATTATTATATTATTATAAGTATATGAATTTCTTTGTGTACGATATTCTTTGTTTATTCATAGAATATCCGATTCTAATATTTTGGAATCAAGAATATTCGTATTTCATGAAAATATTCATAGAATCTCTGGTGAAGATATTTTACTGAAAATATAATGAAATTTTATTAAAAACGCGTTAAAAATGTATTTCATTTCACTTTTCATCGATTTCACAATACTTTCGGCAACATATTTCCATCAGGGATACTTTGTGCTACCCGGATAACAATATGACATTCAAGGACCCAACGTTTCCGGCGTGAAAAAAAAACGACGAAAAAGATTGCGTAGCCGTGAAGAAACTTGCCGAATCTGTCGTAGCTGAAGCTCGCCTCGGCGAAGCTCAGCGGGTCTATCACCTCGAAGAGGATCACCACCTGGCCGTCCCCGTCGCGTCTCGTGATCGCGTCGAAGTCGTGCTCAAAGATGAGCTCCTCCTCCCAGACCGGTATTATCGAGCGGTTCTCTCTGAAGTCGAACTTGCCGGTGATCATCGGCTGCAGGAACACGCTCGTGTTCTCGCGATCGCCCGAGTTCCTCAGATAATTGCCCGTGCGTGCGTCTACGATGTGCACTTTCACCATCGGCCGCTTGGCGTTCGCGTAATCCGCCTCGAGCAGGTCCGTTCTGTGAACCGTCACGGAAATGTACCTGGTCTCCGCCTCTTGCCGCTTGTCGCCCTGCTCCTTGTCCTCCTTCCCCTGCGTCCGCTTCTTCCTCTTCTTCTTCCGGAGCCTCGTGTCCGCCTCGGCATCGGCGATGGAACGCGTGTCTTTCGCGGACGGACTTGCCTTATCGTCGTTTGGAAGAACGTCCTTCTTCCTGAACAGAGATCGTTCCCTCTTCCTCAACGACCGGTCCTTGTCGCTCGTCGACGTCTCCTCGTAAGTGATCGAGCTCGACTGAAGGTCCGTGACCTTCTCCAGACTCGACGACGAGTTCAGTTCCCCGGAACTGTTCTTTCTACTACCCGAGGACCTGCTGGAACGAGCTTCGCTGTCCACGAGACGGTCTCGTTTGCTTCTCACGCTCACCTCTTGAGCGACCTTCTTCAGGGAGCCGCTGGACGTCCCGCTCGTCCGCGTCTCTTCGACCTCCTCGGCGTTCGACGAGCGCTCGCTCATCCTCCTCATCTCGATTTTCGTGCTGTCGCGCCGGTGGTCCGTCTCGATCCGGAGAACCTCCTCGTTCTCCACGAACGCCGAGTTATCGAAGAAGAAGACGTCGCGTCGCACGTTGGTCCGCGGTGCCGGAACCGGTTTGTGCGTGTCCTCGTCCTCGTCCTCGTCGATCAACGGGGACTTGCTGCGCGTCTCAGGTAGCCGGATCACGCTGGTGTCTTTGGCCCAGCGTTTCCGCGGCTGCCTCCTCGAGTTATCCTCCGGCTCGCTCGCTGCGTTGACGGTGCTCCACTGTTTCCGCCGGCGTGGCTTCACCTCGGGCATGGCTTCCTCCGGCGTCCTGACGCTCCCCTGCGGCGGCCCGATCTCCTCGATCAGGTCGAACGACTCCAGAGTCACACGATCGCGCGTCTCGTCGAGGCGAGTCCTCGTCACGGCGACGCGGCGATCACCGCGAGGCACCTCGACGCTCGCCCGCCTCGAGGACGAACCCTTGGAGCCGTCGGATCGTTCAGATTGCTTAGCCTCTTTCTCGTCGGAGGACTCGGGGACGCTCTCGATGTCGATCAGCTGCGAGGCCTCGTTGTGAACGTCCACGACGACATTCACCGTCGTATTCAACGGCGTCGCACTCTCCGTCGACTCCTCCAGGAAAGACGACACGTGTCGGGATCTCTTCAGCATCCTGCCCCTCGAGGCCATCTTTTCTTCGACTCTCTGCGGCGTCGTCAGGGTCGGCAATGAGTCGACGGTGGTCGGCGATTAAGGTCGCTCGAAAGGAAGTATCGCGTGCGTTCCACTTGCGTATCGATTCATCACTCACCGTGCGAACGTGCTTGCCGTAGCTCGTAGTCGCCGAGCAGTCGCGATCCCGTCCTCGTTACCGTCCTCGTCTCCGTCCCGGTGTCATTCTGATCCATCGAGCGGGTGGACGCGTCGCGACCGTCGTTACTACAAACAAACCAGGTGCCAGGTGCGCCAGGTGCGCGACTAGTGTAGAGGCACTTTGTGCACTCCCATACTTGATTGTTGTCGCGGGGAACGTCGGTGAATCGATCGATATGGCGGAAGCGTACTGCGAACGTATTACTACTAACTTCACCGTTTGGGACTCGTCTTCGTGTGTCTCGCCCACTTCTCCGGGCGAATCTCACGTTTTCAGTAAAGCAGTACAGAAGGCACGCGCATCTAGGAGGAAAGAAAGGAGATAGAATGAAGGGAAGGGCAGAAAGGCAGAGAGAGAGAGAGAGAGAGAGACGAAAGATATATGTATATATAGATATGTAAATTTATTCCGTTCTGAAGTGAAACACCTGCGAGAGAAACGGGAACGCTTCAACTTGTGATCGTGCCGTTCTGCAACACGTTGTTATTGTTTAATTCCACATTATTCGCCTCCGCTTCTCGGGCTAATTCCTGCGGGAGAACGATCGATAAATATGCAGGATGTAACTAAAATTTCGGGGAGCTCTCCACGTCAAAATATGGCAAAAAATTCATATCAAAATATATCCGCTGTTTCGGTAACTGGGAACTCCTTTATACCTCGTTAATCAGGTTCTCGTAGTCCTGCTCGCATTGCATTATCATCGTGTTCTTCAAACCGTTGGACGTATCCTTAGAATCTTCCCGTTCGTCCGTCTTCGCAGAGGAATCGACTAAGTCGGACTCACCGTGCGCCTTGAAGGCCCTCATCTTCAATCGTAGCTCTCTGTTCTTCGCTTCTATCACCTTCTCCCTGCGCGTCTCGCGATCGAGCAGCTAAAACCGTCGTACATTATTCATGTAAAAGAATTGATCATTTAAACAGAATAATCATATAATAACAAGATTAATAATTGTAATTTATTATGATTCAATTGTTATTAAATTATTTATTATAAAAATCAACTTTTAATTTGATTTGATTCTTTTTATTAATTTAAGATTTAATCTTCAATTTAACTGATTAAAGCCAACATAGTCATTTTCTATGATAAATTTCGTATAAGAGAAAAAATTTTTTATAATATACCTTTCTACGAAAAAATAATGATTTAATTGTTAAATTCTAATAATTTTTCTTCTGTAAATTTTTTGAATTGGTGCATGTATTTACCGCGGTTAACAACAATTTATCGTTCTTCTGGTTAACCGTCAAGGCTTCCGAAAATTCGACCAGGTACGTCGCACCCCTCTTGTTCGCGACTGCAGCCAGCTGTCCTTGCTCGTGGGGTCGTATGCACGTCAAGGTCTCGTCGCAAACCTTCAGGAGGGTTGAACAGCGATAAATGATCGAGTACGAAGATAAGGATGGTAGTTTCGTACCTTCACGCTGAGAACCGGGCTGTCCTGTTGAATTAGAAAGTCCCAGACGTCTAATGTGCCGTCCGTTTTGGTCAGGAAATATACGGAGTAGCGTGTGCTGCTCCATGCACCGCTTGTGAGAAAGTCTCGGTGACCGCTGGAAGATTAATGACGAACTTGCTAATGAGACCGAGGGTTTCCAGCAAACGTGTTGACGTGTTAAGAAGTGACGTACTGAATATGTACTAACGACGTCATCATGTTAGCTGGGTTTACTATCCTCGAACTTACGGGGTCCAAGCTATACAGGATTCCCTGCAGTCTTCAGACCAGATCCTGGAGGTCCAGTCGCCGACCGTCAAGAAGTTCTTCACGAACGTCGGGTTTCTCTCCAGGCTTATGACCGGCCCATATTGGGCCTTGAATCTTGTCGCGATTTTCTCACTGGGCGTCTTACCCTTGCGATTGCCCGAAATTACTACGCCTAAACGAGGCGGAAATTATTCGCGCTGTTAATTAAGTAAGCGCAATTACACTCCCGAGTTTACATTCGTGCGAATGACTCTTCACGGCTCGTTTTCTCTTATTTGCATAATCGATTTATAGAAATAAAGTAAAAATGAAATTGTTAATCCCCAGATTTTACGTTTGATAAAAAAGAAGCATTCCATAAATGGAATATTGAGTTAACTTTCCGCTAATAAATTAACTTTCTATTCTTTAGACAATCTAAAGATACAGGACAGTCGTTCGCATGTCTGTCTCCTTGGAATCTAAGTGGAAATCCACGATCAGTTGCGTCATCGTTATGATAGACAAAGGGTACCATTTTCCAAGCCGCACATGAAACGCGTCCCCATCGATGGCTCGAACTGAAGCGCCGAGATACCAGTTGCCTTATCGACGTTCTGCTCCTCGGGCTTCAACAGATCTATAACCAACGTCTCCGTCGGGACCTGCATCTTTCTGGTGTCCCACCATTTTATCTGCAAGCGTATTTTTCGTAACGTAATCACACGTTATCTCTCAATCAAAAAGAGAAGACAAATATGCAAGTACGCAAATCGTCAAGATATTTTTTTAATACAATATTACCGATGTAAAATATCGTGCGTTTAAATAAATGTTCGTTACCACCGATAAAGATCCGATCAAGAAGACTAAAATGCGGATATGAATATTTCATTAGAGTCTTCAAATTTCAGAAAAAATCTGTTTTTCCCCATTTTTCATAGATTTTTTTATTTTTACCTTTCTTACAGAAAAAAGCATATACAACAGGTTTTAATTAAATATATGTAAATTTTTCTAGACGAATTTTTATATCCTTGGGAGAGAAACCGCGGAGAAATTGAAAAAAATGGTTCCTTTCCGAAACTTAAAAATTATACATTTTATATTGACAGTAACATTATATTAAGAAAAATATTTGATAGTTTGGGCATTTACTTCAGCGTACCGGCTCTCATCGCTCTATTTTTTGCTCCTTTTCTTATTGAAAATCTTAGAAGCTTAATTATTTTCGTAGTTTGTTTTCTCACACATTATCTCGCCGACGATAACGAGATTAAATACCTGTCCATCCTTCGAGGCGCTGAAGAACTCGGTACCGGTCTTCGAATTGATCCACAGAGCCTTGTCGCACGGGTCCCTGTGGCTGAACTCCACCGAGCTGGTGTCTACCGCTTCCGGTCCTCTTCTGATGTCCCAGCAGGCCACCTGTCCGGTCATCAAGCCGCCCACCAGGGTGTTGCTGTCCTTGGGACTGTACTCCAATGTCAGAAGCGGGCAGAAGGGTTTCAGCGTCATGTAGGCGCTGTTCGGGTTCTCTGTGATTATTTTCCTTCTTTCATGATCTCTTATACATTCACCAGGCGCCACATCACGCCGGATCTCGGTCGTATACTACGCTCAACGCACCTACTTCCCAGACGTACGACGTGTGATTGCTACCGGAGCTCTTTTTGAAGTCGACGTTGCAGTAACTGGCGGCGAAACGGTTGCCCTGGTCAGGCGACCACGACAAATGAGTGACCTGCCGTTTCGCGTTCGAAGGGTCGCGGTACACGTTCACCGTGCGCGAAAACGCTCTCTGTATCAACGGGGTCATCTCAACATCGGCGAAATATTGCTCGTAGATGTTGCAGGCGTTGTTCTGCAGTATGCAGTGCTCCATGGACTTGATTTAACAAGGCAAGAAAGAGAGAAAGCCTCGGATGAATATCACAGAAATGCAAATCCATGCGGGTTCAACGCGCGCTCGATACGAGAGAGTTCACGATTTACTGGCAACAATTGGAGCATCGTGTGAATGTACAGCTCGTCCTTCTCGATCTTGCGCCTATATCTGACCGTCTGCTCCAGGTCCTTCATGTTTATGTCCTTCGGCCAGCCACCCTCGTAGTGGTACATCTTGTTGTCCCTGAATGTCGCGGTTGTTGTGTTCACCTGAGATGTGTGAAGGTGACTTTCAGTTTTCAAGATTAAACTGATCGACGAATAACAATAAGAGTCGCCAACGCCAATCTCCAATTCCGTAATTTGTTATTCAACAATAATCAAAAGATTAATCATTTTTATTTTGCCCGCACCGGCAAGATAAAAAGCAGGTAATATTCGGCTCTGACAGCGATTTTAATTCGTCAATCAGATTAATCCGAGTTTGGTGAAAGTCTTATTCTAAGTATTCGTACAAAAATATGAATATATATAAATGTATAATACATAGATATGTAATATTAATGTAAAAAAAAAATTTTAATGTAAATCATATAACTTACAAGACATTAGAAGTCAAATTTGCAGATGACGTCGGAGTAAATTTGCAGATGACGGTTGCTTAAATTTTGAACTATTTAAAGTTTCGAACTTTGTATTAAAAATTCAATAAATTTAATCTGAGAAGCCTTCTATTTACAATTGATAAATATACATGCAAATAACATTAATGTAAGGTATAACTGTATGAACATGTGCTGTTCGGACTGAGACAATTTTGAATCGCGTGGGAAATGCCGTTCGCAGATGTACCTCGTGGACCGCGTAGACCTTACTACACTGCGTAGAGTGCGTAACAGGATCCATCCTGACGTAATTGCTCATTATCCCCGGATTCGATTTGATATCTACTTCGATCGTGTCGACGTCGGAGAAGTTGCACCTCTTCCCGAAATGCATCCTCTTCTTCGTGTAAGCGTACTCCGCGTCCATTGTTCGCGGGGACTACTTGAAAATTATACACACAGGATACAAAAAAGTCAGGCATATACTCGACGGGCCGTTCACAATTTGACATTACAATTGAGACATGGTATTATAAAATATCAGCATTTTATTACTCATACTTGTTGAGAAATCTTCAAACGACGCGAAACTCTTACTTAATTTATTGATAAGCGTGATGAATCTCCTTTGTTTACTTATTAATAGTACAATAACAAGCGCAAAAATCGTACTGCCGTAACATCGTAGGTCTGCGCAGTCCGCACTTTCGTGGAAAACGGCTGTACGAATTAGCTACACGAATATAGTGGTTACTATAGTAACGGAGAACACATATGTGTATATCGTAAGCGCGAGACTCAACTGTCGGTTCTAACTAAAACCGGCACTTCGGGATTCAAACCCTGGCTAAGGATAAATATCGTCTTGTACGCTCGCGCATACTCCGCGCTCGCAGGATCGATGTTAGACCTGATCGCGGGTATCACGTCGCACAATATGGTCTGGATTAATGTATTCAAATATTCCGCGCGTTGTAGCTTTTGCACCGCTTCGTACAACGACAACAACTGCCTCTCGTCGTTGTATCTCATACAGTACACTTCGGGGAAACCTGGAAAACAGAGGAAATCGAGACTAAATGTATTGAGCGTAATTGAAGAGAAACGTTGCGTAGTCGGCGCCATATATGCTTTACCTTAGATTGCAACGTTTTTACTATTACATTTTTACCCTTTCAAATATACACATAAGTCGAAAATATTATAAATAGAGTAATTGTAATCCTACCATTAGAATTAGAGTTACTTTCGCGATTTTCGATTTTATGCATTATGCTGAAAATTGTGTAACTCTCCATCTAAGAAATGATATAGCATACGTGACACCGACTGTATTGTATTGCGATTTAAAATTCTTTCATCAAATTCTGATTAATCTAATCGACGATTTAAAATTGTTGCTACTCAAGTATCACCGGCTTTATCATATTAACGCAGATAGAAATTATTAACTGTAACTTTTCAACTATTATTGGACAAGTAACAACATTAAAAATTGATATTGGCAGTTCTTATTGTTATTTATCGAAATTCAATCTGAATTTGGTCAAAGTCAACGATGTTCCCAAATTGCTTTCGATACGAAAACGGAACTTACTCTTGAAGTGTTTCATGCAAGAAATGTTCCAGACGCCGTTTAACATCCATTCCTTTGTCAAGGGAAGTTCAAAAGATGCTCTCTCGATGATACGATCTTCTACGATCTTCTCGGTGTTACATGGCTTCAAAACAACTTTCGAATTCGTGATCCAGTTCTGCACTTCGTCGAGTTGCGTTGAATCTAATTTCCCAGTAAAGATATCACTGAAAAATGTCATCGACTCGTGCGCCATTTTGATCAACTGAGATATTTCTTCCGAGTCATCTTGGACAGAAGTATTCTGTAAACGCGAAAATAAAGTAATAAGCGAGGAAACATTTTGGTATCGTACAATTTTTCAGAAGCGGAACGTTTTCTCTTATATGCCATTTTACTCACCATCGTGTCGAATTCTTTCAGAAAATTATCAATCGACTTAGCTCGAACTTCTCCAGTGACGTTTGAGCGATTCGCATCAGTTTTCTTGAAAAATATGTGAGAAGTTCTTAACGCTCTGACAATCTCATTCGGTACGCTGAAATGCCGAAGTGCCTCGGCTGCATCCACCATGATAGTGCGTTCAACAAGTTGATTACCGTCGTGCAACGGGCAATTGTTAGTCCTGCCATCGTCGGGGGAGGAAACTAACGCACTTTCCGTAAATTTCTGTGCCATTTTGTGTATCAGGTTGCTCAGTTCGGGAGCCAACGCTGCCGGCGGTAAAGACCTCTTCGACTGAAACAGGAATGCGCGCATGGTGAAGCGATTACGTTGGATATCTCTGAGAATAAAAGCGTACAAAGTTCTTTGATTGAGTCAATATAAGCAGAAAGAGAACACTAAGAACCAAAATTGCAGTTGTATGATACACGTTATTAAGAGTTGTGTATATTCACAGGTATAGAATATAATAAAATTCGTTAAGCAAATTTTAATAATAAAAATTATAATAATTAAAATTAAAATTGCTTAACGAATGTTATTCTATATCCACGAGTACAACTTTCAACAAATGCAATACAAATATTCTCTTTCTATTTATTTTTGAGAAGGTACACCGAGAAAAAGATTTTTCTGGATTTAATAAAATTTCTTTAATTGAAACAAATTTGTCTCTTAGAGTGGAGCAAATGAATGGTTGATTAAACAAACAGGATTGTTTGGTTTCTCAAACAATAAATACCATTACGTCAAATAACATATTTCTTTTGTATTTGCATCTAAATATTATAATAGTTGTCAGAAGCAGTAAATTATCTGAAAGGAGTAACTCTGTGTTAAAATAATATTAAAGGACTTCTTTGCTTCAGCGACAATATTTATATATATAATGAAATAAATTTTCTTATTGAAAACTAAATATTATTTTCTCTAAATAATATCGTTTTCCCTATCAAACAGTATAGTTTACTCTAGTGGAACAACATTTTCATTCAAACAAAATCATATTTGATATCAAATTAAGTTGTTTATATTAGGTAAACCCAAATCAAACATGTATATTAAATTCAAAGAAACTTGTTTTTTTGTATTTTAATCTCTTCATGAAGTATTGTAAATTATACGTACAGTTTGCGAAATACAATTAGAACCATGAGTACCAGCTTGCGACTTGTTCGGCGGAGTTATCTTTTTAACGTTCAATTTGTTCTCCAGTATAAAATTCCTTTCGTTCTTCGACTTCGCACTGCTTCTCGCGGCCGACGCTCTCCATTGTCTTTTATCGTTAGTATTTCTCGACGCAATCGAAGTTACCGCGCCACTTTGGAAAACTGTCGATGGACTTCTGACGCCAGCATTCTTCGCAACGTTTGTTCTCTGCGTCGCGACGTTCGTCCGCGGCATGTCTCTACGACCGCCGTTATTCGACGCAGGAGCTGACGGGGAAGCTTTCCCAATCGGGCCTTTTCTCGAGGGTTTCCTTGGAGGCGCCACGTTCAGCTTCACACTCTCACGCAAATCTTGCGCTAAGGTTATCGCTCTGTCTATCCCCGCGGCGATTTCCTCGACTTCGCTCTCAACGGCAACCTGATCGACGGTGAGACGAGAGATGTGTTCACATCGCAATTTTTGCACAAGCATATATATAAATGTATAAATCTAGGAGTGTCAACACTTCACGAGATCCGCGCTCTCTGTCGCATTCATTGACTCAAGCAAACTAAGCCTATGACTTATATTAAGCCGCAAATAAAGACTTATTAAAATTAAAGCATTGGTATATTGGCTTTTTTGATCGTAAAGTTCATACTTTTTTCTTACCAATAAACATAATAAATTTCAACTTCTGTTTTTGTTTCAGACAGTAAAAAATAACTTTTTCTAATTGAGAGAAGTCAAACGTAGGCATATTGATCCTTGGGAACCATAAATCGTCTTTTGAAATTTCCATATAATGAGATAAATTGTAGACTTTACTTTAAATATTATCTATTATAATTGATTGTAAAAGAAATTTTGTATATTTTCTGAAGATGCAATGATATAGTCGTCCGATGAAAAACCTTCATCGGACATAGTTTTATTAATTAATCATTTTGCACTCTCTGTATACTTCAATTGTCGTCCATAATTATATTTGTCACTTTATAACACTTGAATTTGAACTATACTCGTCACTTTATAACGCTTGACTTTGGTGAACTCTTTCCTAACGTTTACAATTATTTTTACATTACTAATTACGTCTCACTTTTATTTTTCCCCGCATAATTACTTTCAATCATGGATATATGTGTATATCGTTAATATTAATGTTCTTATATCACGACATCATGTATCGTCGCCGGCAACCGCAAAATGTCAAATAATATGTATACATGTATGAATAAAATCATACTTTTTTGCAATTACAAATACACTCGTCTTCTCGTTTCTCGACAATTTTCACCGGCCACGGCTTCAAGGCGAACGTCGCCTCCTCGCAGTTTTTTCTCAGCACCGCCTTCACCTGCTCCGTGATCGACAGAGTGTCGTGCAGCAACTTGCACAAGCCCGACAAATTCAAGGTACGATCCATTACTTCCGTAGTTTCGCGACCCTAATGGAAAAAGAAACACAGACCGTTATTATACAGAGAAACGTCGATGAATGTGGGAATAAATAAAGTATAAATGTGCCGCTCAAAGTGTTAACCTTCGCACACGCGATACGTAACACTTGGCAACATAATTGTCACAAGTGTCCGCTTACGCGAGCCATAACCGACGGTATGTATTTTGAGTTATTACTGCTTCACTCGTGTTTACTTCACTTGGTCCCTCATTATATTACCGAACGCGAGTGAATTGTTCAATAATTCACATTTTCTGCACGCATTGTCAATAATCACATACAAACACGCACATGCACACACATACAAAAGTGTGGTAATAAAAGACATAAGCCAGAGAATAGAATAATATCTTTATATATTAAGAATAATATTATAATAAAGACTTAATGATATCATTTACTTTTTTTTTTTCTTCACAAGTGTATGTCTCATCGCTAGTTTCCTAGAGTTTCAGTCAATTAAAACTAGAACATTGAGAAACGGCTGCCTATCCTAGATATATCTAAAACGATCACATTCACACGATCGTTTTAAATGCTGCGATTGGAAATGTACTTGTAAACCACTAGTCCTCGCAGAGTGCTTGGAGACTTCGGCGCGCGCGTTCGTGAAAAAACCGACCGACGGACCCTTAGAGATATGGTGTATAGATAAAAATAACCTTTTTTTATTCATATATAAAAATAAAAAGTGATCCGTAATTTCAAGATCTTCGATTATTATTATCCTCCTCCGCGTGTTATTTTCCCGTTCCTTGGCGTGGAAAGATGAAGAAGGCGCAAAGCTATGGTGGATGACGCAGTTTCCAGAGGGCAGAAAGTCACATCGCCCCGACGTAGGGCGACACGCAACGCAAATGGCATAATTGTGGAGAAACGTACACCCGTGAGTCATTATCGTGCGCGTTCGACTGTCTCGATGCGTCGTGGGGCTCTCACGGTCCCGCGGCTTGCACAGCTATCGACGAGACGACTACGTATCACAAAAGTACGCCATTTGAGCCAACAAACCGATATCGTGACGATAACCCTGTGCAAAACTGCAAATGTGCTCTTAATTTTACATTGTACACACTGCGATCGATCGTACCGTAAACTTAGCTTCTAAATTAACAAGTGTGAGAGGATGCACCACCGAGTTATCTTCGTTACAAATGAATGTATCTCTGTAAGCGGGAAAAAATTATGGAGCTCGTAAATTGGATGCAGGAAATACAAGAGACTTGTTAATGTTGATTTTACTCCTTAATGATAATGTGTGCGTTTACAACTCGTCCTTCCTTGGCACATCGTCGTCTTCGTCCTCTTCCTGAGCCTGCAACGGGAAGAAATTTTAAGAATGTACACGGGACTATTTTCTCATCGAGTCTTCTTACAAAAGACGCAAGAAATTCGCGAGAAAGTCACACGATGGAGATACAATCCTGTGACAATCTCTCGTCCGACATACCTCGTCTGTTGGAGCTTCGCCGTATTCTCCGCCGGATTCGATGAACTTCGAAAGACCATCCAGCGTCCTTTCACCGTTGTATTCCACAGCCTGTAGCACGAGTGATCAAAATGAGCGTATTTTAGACATATTTCATTTTTAAACATATTTCACTTCGATATGGTATTGACTGCTTTCAAGCGGAGAAAGTAGGCTCAGTGATCATTGCCTGTAACTGGAGTGCCTATTTAGATCCCTGATAGATCCAAGAGAACATACCAATCAGGCGCAATAATTAGTAAGCGCTCACCAAGCCGCTTTCTCTGCCAAACGCAGGCTATGGTCACATTCAACGAACGCAACGGTTGAGTAACAATTATCTACGATTAGTTTATCCTTTTAGATCAGCAATCACATCCATCTTTCTAAAATCGATTATTCAACCGTTGTGTTTTCGTTGAATGTAGCAATTAGGTGCGTTCGAAAATATAACGGTCGTGCAATCATCGATTGAGTTATTTTTTTAGATCAATGGTAAATTAAAACAATATCCCAATGACAGTGAGCGTTCACTGAACTGTTTTGCTTCCTGAACGCAGCCATTGCAAGGCTCTCAACAGAATGGCTGACTTAATTTTAAGAATTGTGCTAAGGCCCTAAGTCGGATAGGCGAAAAGGGGAGCCGTACCTCGTTCGTCTCTTTCTTGTAGAGCGTGAGCGTAGGGAAACTGGTAATCTTCACGTCCTCCAGCTCGTTAGCGGTGGCGTCCATCTTCGCGATGACCACCTTGTCGTTGTCCTTGTACTTCTCGCCGAGCTGAAATGAACGCACTGGATTAGCGGGACTTATCGATCGACAACGTCATTCGTCGCACGTGAGAGAAACGTTTCTTGATAACGATAACGTACCTGCTCGTAGATGGGCGCGAGCTGCTGACAGTGACCGCACCAAGGCGCGTAAAATTCAACCAGGACGTCCTTCTCTTTGTTGTAGACGATCTCGTGGAAATTCGTGCCAACGAGCACCTTCACCGGGTTCTTGTCCCAGTCCTCCGGCAAGTCCTGTGTCAGCAAGTGCCGTTTCAGCTTGCCCTCCATGAAGGCCGTGACGAACTCCAGGACATTCTCGGCGGTCAGTTCGGGCTTCTCCGGCTTGTACTTGGCCATGTCCTGCTCGAGCTTGATAAGTCGCATGGCGGGCACATCCTCCTTCTTCAGACCGAAGAATTCTAAGATGCGCTCGTGGTCGGTCTCGTCGCAATCAATCGTCACAAACAGAACCTGAACGGATACACGAAATTACTACTGTCGATCCTGACGAACGTCGCAGCAATACGCGGAGGAATGGTGTTAGAGCGTTCCGTACCTCGCCGCGGTACTTCTTCGCGGGCTCCTTAATTCCATCGACGTACTTTTCGAAATGGCCTTCTTCTTTGCTGAGGAAAACTAACAGGTGGCTCTTGATGTCTCCACTAAAGATCTTCTGCGCCGTGTCCTGGTTGAACTCAACGATCAGTGGCAACGAATGCACGGAAATGAAGTTTTGTACATCTTTGACGGTGAACTCGCCGTCGTAGACGGCCTTGCCTTCGTCGAACTAGAAGAAACAGAAACGAATGTAACCGAATCGTGTCCGTTTTTCATCGGGTCTTTGTCGGGAGGATGATTCATGGCAGCAGAAGCAAGCATACCTTCTTGAACAACACAATCTTTCCATCCTCAACGTCGTATTCCTTAAGTACTTCATCATTGCTCGTGATACCAAAAACATGATCGTCCACCGCGTTACCAACGTCGAAGAATACCTTGGCCGCGTCACTTTTCACATCCTAATAAAGTTGTTATATATGTATATAAACAGGCAAGCTGTTGCAACAAATTAATTTGTCGGTTATTACAATCTTCGAGAATGCATATGTATATTTATTAATTAGTGAACGAAATGAAAAAATTAGCGAATAAAGATTGCGAATTATGGATATGTAAAGATTGATTGATGAGTGATCAGGTCGAAATCCTGATCACCTTACCTTGAAGAACCCAACAATGGCGACATTGTGCGTCTCAATAAATGTCTTCGCTTCGTCAACGCTCGGTAAATCTTTGGCAGGCGGACTGGTCTTCTTCTTTAACCAATTTACAATATCGTCCGCCTGTCGACCACCGGTATAATCGATCGGTGTCCCTTTACGGTAAAACTTCAGAGTGGGATACCCTCTGATTCCGTGTTTCTCAGCGAGTTGAGTCTGAATCGTCGCGTCTACTTTGGCTAACTTGATTGACGGGTCAATTTCTTCCAGTTTCTTCGCCGCTTTAACATATTCAGGTGCTAATGCTTTGCAGTGTCCACACCATGGAGCATCTATAATAATAAAAAAAAAAAGAATTTAGGCCGTGGGGTAGGTAATTGTGATACTTGTCAGATAGTTTTGTGTGTAATGATTTTTGTTCTATGCAGAGTGTATCTCAACACTCTGATTCTACATAAAAAAATAAAAAAAGTCTTAGTAAATATATATTTTCAAACGTTTAAATTCTGAGATATAGTTGCTGTAATCTCAGTTAAAAAAATATATTTTATTCGTTAAATTATATTTTATAAATAGCTAGACACATATTGTTATAAAAATTGTTTAAAATGTCTGCCTCCCTTATCAATCAGGGGAAATTTTATCAAGGGGAAACAATATTTTATAATGATTTTTTATCTCATTCGTGGCAAATAATAATAATATACCAATATCACAATAAATGATTCTTCAATTAATATTCAGAAAAATTAAAATTGATAGATATTATCTTCAAAAACAGGTGAAAAAAGTGTTATATTAACATTCTTAATCCGTTTATCGCGATGTATGTTCTTTTATCGTTATTATCTTCTAAAGACTCTAAATATCTCAAAAACCAAATATTTGCTTGCATACATTTATTAAGACTTTTTTCTTATTTTTCAACATAAAATGATCCTGTAAATTTATCGGTAGAATTCAGACGCACCCAATATATAAAATATAGTCACTAATTGAATTTTTATTACGAATAAAAGAGATAAATATTTTCAGGAAAACATCAAATTCAGAGAGATAACTGTTCTCTTTTGAAAAAAAAAAACAAAAAAATGTCCACTTTGCCATGTCTAATTCTGCAACATTGAACCTTTAATCTTTTAATATTATATTTAAATCTATTTTTTTCACTGAACTGGCTGCATTAGTATTTGTACTACTCTCCTCTTTCTTCCACCAAGTTTCAACTATATATCTCTTGTTAAGTTCTATAAGTGCACACTAGTTTAGCAAAACAGACCAGACTTCTTGTGTGACAAACGACACAACTTAAATTTTCCTTTAACGAATCACAACTTCGTCGAAGTGAAATCTGTCTCAGTCTGCATACAGATTGAGAAGTTTCTCTTTTTACGCAAAAAACCTTGCAACTCATAGAACGTAAGCAGGAAAAAGAGAAATGTTGCAAAGACAATCTCGCCGATCTGTGTGTTAGGATTCCGCAATGATTACTTCGCCGCAATTGAATCGAACGGATACCATATGGTTACTCGCGAAACTCGAGGAAGTCGTACTTATCGATCTAAAATTACAAATTAGCCTTCATCGAATTCAAACGAATTCGGTGATAAGTACGATAAATACGATGATTGTCACCTGTATGATTATCGCCAGGACGATACAGACAATTCGCAAATGTTGCCGGCAATTATCATCAGCGATCATCGTAATAACGTCACAGTTCGCGACGTTCCGGTCACAATCGCCGGGCGATTTATACGGCTGGCATAACGGTAAAAAAAAAGAAGTGCGCGAGGAGGCAAGGGAATTCGTCCGTGTCTCTTCTCAACGATCCCGACTGCACTCTCTTACACTTCGTGCACCCGAGCGAGATGAACGCGGCCACGCGTGGGTAGTGTGCGAGAAGGAAAGGAAACGCGCGAGTGATAACAGCGTAGGTGCAAACGTCGAGCGAGCGAGCGGGGCCTCCGTTTCCGCAAAAGATTATCTCGGGGTCTAGAAAGTCTCGAAAAGGCGGTCGAAGGACATCGGCCGCGGATCGATCAGAATCTCGCGATCGGATATCGCGGACATTGGAATCTCGCGCTCGGAACACCGCCCACATCGATTCGTTATTTCGTGCATCGGCAGAGCGAGAGATGCGCCTCCGACGAGGAGAGGAGATAGGCACCGTCGCTGAAACGCGAGAAATCATCGCGGAATATCCAGATATGTCGCTATCCTTTTTTAAAATGTCCCACCAGAGCAGGTCTCTACTCTCTTTGAACGATGATCGCCGTATTTATCGTCATGGTTACTTTGGCCTGTATTCTGAACTCGCTTTTATCGATGATAGTGCCTTAAATACTTCTTAGCCAATCAGATGACCTCTGAGCCACCTTCAGAGGCACTTTTATCAATAAAAAAGTTCAGAATACGGGCCTTTGTTGTTGCGCAGGTATAATATACGGTAGGAAAGCTGTGTGATGACAAGCTGTCGTTAACGGTTACAGAATACAGGTAATATGATGTAATTCGTTTCAGCTGAATTAGCCGGAACTGGTTCTTTCTCCCTTCGACGCTAGGTTATATACCTGTTTCACGCCAAAGGCGAAAAGTGCAACCTGGCTCGGCCGGAATACGACACGCGGCAGGAAAGGGCGAGACAGAATGAGCGGATGAACGAACGCACACCCTGTCCTCGAAGAGGCCCGAATGATGACGTGTATGAGCGCACGCATCTGGATCAGACAGCGGACACACGGCGACGACCGGAGGATCGCGCACGTGGAGGTCGCGCGTCCGGCGGACTCATTCTTTCCGTTTCTTTCTCTCTCTCTCTCTTTTTTTTTCTCCCTTTACGCTCCATCGCACTCCTTCCTCGCCCTGCGACACGTCCGGCGACGCGTCTCGCCCGGAGTACAGAGAGTGCAGCACCGAGGAGGAGAGCAACAGATTGCCCAGACGGATACTCACAGAATTCGACCAGCACGTAATCGTTATCCTTGATGACGCTGTCGAAGTTGTCCTTCTTGATCACCAGGATACCCTCGTCGAGCTCCACCTTGGCGAGGCTCACCGCGACAAAGCATAGTGCCGCTAAACCGAATCCGCCAACGAATCTCATGATGATAATCTTCTCTCTCTCTCTCTCTCTTTCTCTCTCTTACTGTCTCTCGGGGCCCGCGTTCTTTCGCTCCTCTCACTTCTCTTCGAGTTACGGTGTGTGCGCACCTCGCTGAAGAGGACGACGACGACAAGACGGCGGCGGCGGCAACGAAGAAGACGGGAAGACGGGGAAGAGGACACCGTCCACGAGGAACGCGCGAAGAGTGAGCGGACGCGATGCTGTGTCGCGACCTATAGGCTCACTGGATCGCGGTTTACGCGTGGCATCGTCCCCCTCATCGTGGGGATCTCTGATTGGCTGGCGGCATTGGCCGTGGTATCCGCGGTATCATCATCGTCCGCCGTCGAGCCGACGCTCGCCGAGCTCCACGCGGAGCTTTACTCGTCGTTGCCACACCGACGCGGTGATAAGCGCCTCGCGAAACGTCAAACGATAACAGTGCGCAGAGAAAAATGTAATTTTAAAACTAGGCTTGCCGATAGCACCGCTTTCTTATCTCGACAGATAAGTGTAATTCTGATGGATTTCTACATATATTCCACCGACCGAGAATGTGTCATTATCGGCCGTGCTTATTTAAACTATATTGGAACAGTGCTGCCAACTTATAGCTTATTTCCCGCCATTTTCAGCTTATTTGAATGTCTAGAGTGCGGAAATCGTGTTTCAGATGATTTTCGTTTCAGCGTGTTTTCTGGATTACTTAAAAATTGAAAAGGCGGATTATCTTTTCTGAAATAAGCTAACTCTGATGAAAACACTTTGTTGAAAATACTGTGAAATTAAAGAAGGGTGAAATGAAAGTGTATTGAAGAATTATTGAATATGTATAAAAACTGTATACATATATATATATATATATATATATATATATATATATATATATGTACACAATTCTGTAAAGAACAATTGTTTGTGCAATATTTTTTTTTACGATATTTGATGTTTTGTTAAAATTTATGTATTTACGTGATATTATATTCGCGTAACAAATGAAATTTCACCCGCAAAATTAACTATATATTTATTTGTTTTTTTTTATTTGCGCGCGCATTCGCACATAAAGCGTACATGCATTTATTGCTTTTGGCTGATTTTTGACTTATTTTAGAGAGGCGTTTGACAGGTTTAAAATTTTTTCGAATTGGCAATACTGCGTAGGCGTCAAAATGGCGTCCCACTTGTGAGAGGCGAACACCGGCAGTTCGACGATGCGGTTGAAAGTGAGAAAGGAATTAGTGAACACGTGTACCGAAGTCACACGTAAGTAATCTCAGAAACTATATAGGAAATTCCACTTGGTGAAACCACACACGTAATTGAAGATTATTAATGTGATTCATGTTGGCATGATTGATTATAGCTGCGTGGCTGAGGCAAGGACGACGTGACAAACACAGCTGACAGGAATGTCGCAAAGCAAAGGTGTATGTCAAGACTTGACCCTTCGAGGAAACACGCGACGATTATTCGTTCGAAGCATAATCCTAACTGTAAAAATCAAGCTTGTGAAGAGCAAAGCGTCGAGATGACATAGGTAAACTTTAGAGCATCCTTGACATGTACGGTGGCTCCTGATTTGTTGATCTTCGTAATTCTCAAGAATCCTAAAATTCTCAAATTCAAGTATCAAAACTCAAACTCTACAAACACGAGGAATTAACGTAGACGCAAGTTTACTGTGTTTATAAAATATGCTCTGAAGTATTGCACTTTCCAGACCACAACATAAAAAGATAGCAAAGTATCGTGTTGTATACATACTTCTTACATATAGTTGTTATTTTTTATAGAATTATTTTATGCTATGTATCACAAAGTTCTCAAATTCTGAAACGATGAAACCTCAAGTAATTGATAGGATTACAAACGGAGGTCTCGGTAGAGCATGACGTTTAACTCGAGAGATCCGCGAAGAGAGACGTACTATAGAATCTTAATATAGGCAACAAAACGCGATGGCATAATATGACGGATTATGTAAGTGTCGTTAAATGACGAATTCCCGAAATAAGTGCCGCCACGAGGCTGTAATACTGCTCGGTGGCGATACGCCTCGTTATCGGCATGCGTCGCGCGTAACGGAGCTGTTTCTCCCGATTTATTTTCGTGCATTAATCTCCGAATACTCGGCACACCGAGACGTTCCGCGACAGTCCATACCACGAATCTCGGTTATTGACTATATTTATGTACAAGCGTGGATTAGTCTTGTCCCTTGCATGTTATAAATAGAATATAATAAGAGCTTAAGACACTAGGGCACTTTGCACGGTGTATGTGTGTGTGCGCGCGTGTGTGTGATGTAAAGCTTCCAAACTTCCGAATGGTACATACTGATTTGAAACAAACGAAAAGACAAAAAAGAACACAGTGAACTCTGCCGACGATAGACGTACTAATCGGATCAATCAAGTTGCGTTGCGTTAATTCCAAAAGCCGATCAGCGAGAAACGAGTTTGTCAATAATAGAGTATTTCCGTTCACTAAGATAACAATGCACAAAGTAACGTCGGAGATATACACGGAAACTAACAATATCTCCGAGAAGCTTGACAACGGCAGTAAGTTGTGCTTTCGAATTTTAATATCCGAATAATATTCAGTCTTTGTCGAACGCATTAAAACACGGGGTGCAAAATCGATTTCAGACGCGGTCACTAAGTTCGCCTTCAAATGCCCGTCTTACATGATCGACCCGACGTCCACGGGCGGGACGTTCAAGTACGACGATGATGACGACCTGGACGTGGACAGAGATAAAGAAGAGACACTCGTGATAGGTATGACGAATGAACTGTCGCGCGCGCTGCGGTATACGTGGTACGTTGGCCAACCGCCTCTAAACACAGAAGAATGTTACTTGTACCTCGAGGAAAAGCAATTACTCAATTTATTTTTATTCTCAATTATTTTTCTTCTTTTAAGTAATGAATATCTTGAACGAAGAATATTTTCTTGATAATAGTGCTAAAATATATTCATCATAAATATTCGAAAAGCTCATTATCATTTGCTCAAAATAAGAATATGTTCTATATTCTCAAGAATGTTATAAACTTGATCGAAGAAAAGTTAAATTCGGTTAATTAAACCGAAGTTTTAATTTTAGCGCTTTAATATATTTTTGGTTGAAATACTGAACTCATACTAGGATTGAGAATATATCTTGAATAAATTTGATGCTTATGATGAATTTATATGATATATTTGAAACAAATATATATTCGCGAGTATAAGTTCATCATAAGCACATGGAATTTATTTAAAATATATCCTCAATCCTAAGTAAATTTAGTACCTCAATCACCAGAATATTAAATTAAAATACTAAAACTAAAAATTCGGTTTATTTACTTATTACAATTAACAAAATTTAACTTTTCTTCAATAAAGTTTGTAATATTCTTAAAAAGAGAACAAATTCTTATTTTGAGTAAATGATAATGAGCTTTTCCAATCTTTGTGATGAATATATTTTAATACTATATCAGGAAAATATTCTTCATTCGAGATCTACTTAAAGAAGAGAAATAAATCGAGTAATTTCTTCGTAATACAATGTTTTTCTCTGTGTATAGAGCACAGCGAATCGACGGAGCTTAATTTGGTGGGTTTGCAAGTGTGGAGAGGCGCTCTTCTGTTAGCCGACTACGTCTTATCGCACCCGGATTTGTTCAAAGATCAGATAATCTTGGAACTGGGATCAGGAGTCGGCGTGACCGGTATCGTAGCGAGCTACTTAGCCAAAAAAGTCATCTGCACAGGTGCGTACGCAGTGCGAGCGTTCAAGACTCCATTGGAAGGCATTCGGCCTGTTCTTCTTAGCTGAATCGGCTGCACTAGTTGAAAAAATATTAAGCACATTGAAGCGTGAGAATCTCGTATGCACGCTTTATACGCTTCAATGTGTATATAAATTTCTTGTACTAACGTAGCCAGTTCAGCTAAAAAAGAAAATAAACCAATTGACTTCACTAATCTGGATCTCTCTCTCTCTCTCTCTCTCTGTCTCTGTCTAGATATCAACGTCGGCGGTATATTGAGCCTGATCGAGCGGAATTTCCAGCGGAATCGCGCGTACGTCAGGTCTAGTTATAATGTGGAGGAGGTGAATTTCCTCGACTTGGGATGGTCGAGGAGATTAGAGGAGAGATTGCAAGAAGCAAATATTGTACTGGCTGCGGATGGTACGTTCAAATAATTCTGTATTGTAACAAGTATATAAAAGATAGAGGTAAAGAATGATAACGTCGCTATCCTTATTCGACTCTTACAGTAATTTACGACGACAAAATCACGGATGGATTTGTCCGTACGTTATCGAAACTTTTGTACATGAAGAAGAAAAAGACCGTTTACGTCGCTCTGGAGAAGAGGTACGTGTTTACTATTGCCGATTTGGACACAACTGCACCGATGTACGAGGAGTTTCTACGTTGCGTCGAGAAGTACAGGATGAACTGGTCTGTAGATTACATAAGTATAGATTTTCCGCGCTACTTCAAGTACGACCGAGTTCAACATTTGGTTTTAATGAAAATACAAAACAATACGAAGTCTATTGCGTATGCGTAGCAAGCAACTTACGTCCCTAATAGCGTACGCGAATCGTCCCCTCATCATCATGGTGACACAACACGTGAAAATATTACACAAATAGAAAGAACATCGGAACTGTCGGATCGAGAAATCGATGATAGCTCTCCTTAATATGTGCACTTATCTAATGAAATACAACATCACAATTGACGTAATTTATAGACAAAAAAAACAGCAGTCTCTCTCTATTTTAAATAAATCACCTCTCGGATATATAAGACTCGTCCTAAAAAAAGCTAGGATATTTCTTCTCTTTTATTCGAGATCCTCTTGTTCGACTCTTACATCATCCCACCTCGGACCGTCATCGCAGAAAGAATCACGAAGAGCGGGTTAATTTAAGAGTCAAGAACGAGGACAATAATCAAGATACATCCAGATCACGATGAAGAAAGTAATGACAGCCGCGTAATTCAGAATTTCGTTTGTTTTTCTTTTTTTTTTGCTTCACGTCCACATATTTATTATTTATCGTTACTTTCCTATTTACATCCTACCTAGCGGATAATATTATTGGACAGTAAATGAAGTCGCTCGAAGAGCACGATGATTCCGTGTATATGTGTGTGTATGTGTGTCTGTGTGAACTCAAAGTGCCGCCGCTCAAGTGAACCACGGCGGCACGTGTCGTCCTATAGGATTAAAAAAAAAATCTCGTTACGCTATCATAAAGAAGACAGTGTATACAGAGAGAGGAATGTGAGCGCTTCTTCGAACGACCGCGGCGGCAGTAGAAGTTGTATATGTTACACGCGAGTTTTTTTTTTTTTTTTATAACAGTTCGTCATTCGGTATATGATATATATTCGTGGGTCCGAACCGCGCGCCAAGTCGTGGTGCGTAGGAGAGAACGGCGATCGGCGGGGAACCGGCGCGGCGAATCGCACTCGATGAGAGGCGCGTGTCATTGGAGTTTCGAAAATACAACGACCGGCGCCGTCGCCGTCGGGGGATCGTCGGGCGCCGTTCTCCGGCGGCGCTCGGACCCGCTTAGTTTGGTAAAAGGCACTTTTACTCTACCGACCCATCATCTCACGATGTAGAAAACGTAATGTATAATTTACAGCCTCGCACACACTTGATTTGTTTGTTTTCTCAGCGCTGAGCGCTCGCAGCGTGTGACGCGCGATGTCGCGACTATTACAAACGGCACGCGAAAAGCGTGCGCGGGGCTTCTCCTCGCGGAGCGCCGCGCGGCACCACACGTTCGTCTCACGTTCGCTTCTCTTTCCCTTCCTTCCTTTATATATATATATACATATATATACATATATATACATATATGTATATATATATATGTGTATGTATGTATATGTATATATATATATATATATCTCTCTCTCTATTTCGCCGTCAGCGTTCGTCTCGCTCCTCGAAGACGAATCACGCGATTCAGGAGATAAAAAATTCTACAACTCTCGCGCGGCTGCGATAGATTTTTTTTTGACGCTGTATACGTGCACGCCCTTCTTCGTCGCCGTAGAAAAGACTAATACAATCTATCGGATTGCGCGCGAGAAACACCCTGCGATCTCGGGGCACCTCGCGCGCAAGAGCGGTACGCGTCGAGCGGATAAAATGTTCGGCTTTTCGCTCGCCGTCGAGGCCACTAGGCGGAAGTCGACCCGTTGTACACTCTGAGATCCTTGTTCTCGGCTTTGCCATGTCAAGATGCGATTTTGTGTGCGTGTGTGTATGTGTGTGTCTGTGTCTAACTCGGTGAGCATTTACTTGTGAACTTAGCGACGTGTCACGCGAGTCACGCAGAACCGTTGTAGATTACACCGGAGTACCTCGGAAACACTGCGCGTATAGGTAAAAGCTTAAAAAAAAAAAACTCAGGCGAGATAATAAAATGCCGTTGACTAGACCCCAAAAGAAAAAAAAAAAGAAAAGAGAAAAAAAAGGGAAGACAGAAAGAGAAATTGGTGTATGACAAAAATTCACAGACGGGCGCGATCGGTATCATACACTCAATAGGATTCTTCCGATAATCATCATAGTCGCGATCGGACCGTTGATACATACAGAGGCGATCAATCAGGGTAGCTACACACGCTCGCGCGTATCTTGCCCGTTACATTTATATCCTCTCGATTCCCCGAATAGTTCTCAACAGCTTTTAAATTAAAACTCGAGAATGCTCGTCTAACAGCTAAGAACAATAATTATCCGATTTATTAATTATAAATTTCGATTGCATCTCTTTATATTATTTGCAACAAATACTGTACAAAAAAAAAAGACAGAGAAAGGGAGAGAGAGTGAAAGAAATAGAGAAAAGCTAATGCCCGTTTCCACCGTTTCACGTTTCAAATCTGATCGACGATTAACTCGACGGAACCGTTCACCGATCGCAGCGATCAGTTCCAGTTAATTGGTAAATGCGATCGGTTAATCCCGTCGAGTTAGTCGTCGTTTAGATTCAACGCACGATGGGGTGGAAACAGACACAAGTTCGTTTCGGACGCTTTCCGTGCTGAAAGCGTCGTTCCATCTTTCTTGCTCGTCACGTGCTGAGGATAGAACGACGGTGTCGGCGCGGAGACGTGTCTCCGGGACGAACTTAGGCTCAGAAGACGTAAGATTTGCACAGGAGAACGCGAAAATCGCTTTCTTTTTCGCTACTAGTAGCTACCTCCGTTCGGGGACGGTTTCTGACTGGCGACTCCGTTGCTCGGCGGTATCGCGTCCAACACCAGCTTCCTCCGGTGGTACTCGGTGCTCACGCTCTCGCCGGCCATCGACTTCCGGCGCAGCGGCGTCGCGTTCTCCGCGCCGACTTGCACTATGGAGTTTGTACTTTTCCGCCTGGCGGGCAGATCGTTGCCGGCCGATTGCTTGCCCGACGGTGCGCTCTCGTTCTCGCCCCGGCCGACGCCGTTGCTCGCGATCCCCTTGCCGATCGAGGCCGCGGCCCCGTAGGCGGAACCCGCGCCGGCGTTCTTGCTGACGGAGTTCTGCATCGAGCCGTGCGCGACGTTCTTGCTCGAGGACGACGAGGACGCCATCATGCTGGCGTGCTTGCTGACGTTGTTGTGCGCGGACATCGTACTCTTGACGTTCTGGGTGTTGGGCGAGCCCAACGGTAGCGAGGTCTTCCGCCTGGCGTTCGAGTTGCCGCCGTCGCCGCCGAAGTTGACCTTCGCGCCGGCCTTGGTGTCGTACGCCGAGGTCTGCGAGCTCGTGATCGTCCAGCGCTCCACCTGCGCCTCGTGCGACTTTTGTAACACCTTGCGCACGTCCCCGTCTTCGCCGCCTTCCTTCATGATCTCCTGCAGCTTCTGTATGGTCTGGTAGAGGATCACCGGGCTGATGAGACCGAAGTCGAACAGGCTGCACATGTGCAGCACGAAGTTGCGGTAGAGGTTCTTCATGAGTAACTCTTTCCCTTTATTCTCTAAGAACATTTGGCAAGCTAGTGGTATTTGGCAGTCGCCCACGTATCCGTGTTTCATCACGTGCAGGTTCCACATCTTCATCAGCTCCTTCTCGCCCTCGTTCACGTCCGTGAAGTCGTCGATCATCATCATCGTCTTCGTTTGCAGCCATTTGGGGTCGTTCTCGCCCTCGGAGTCGATGTCCATCTCTTTGGGGTATATGGGTAAGCAGGTCACGGTGTGATGATACAGTCTGAAACGAGGGGAAGCGTCGGTACGGGTCAGTATTGGAAGTCGCACGGGTAACCGTGATTGTCGTCCTTTTGTCAACGACGTGGTCGAGACAAACGCGTTCCGATACCTGTTGTGGCCGGTGATGTACGGCCTCTGGCTCTCGAACTCGTTCTCCTCGAGCTCCAGGAACTCGGACAGACTCGGCTTCGTTCTCTTCGGACGACATACCAGGATGTTCGTCACGCTGGTGCGTCTTGTCGGCCCTGTCCTTGAAAAAGGTACGCTAGACGGTTGTGAAATTAATTCGTGAGGACTACCGGCATACGAACCATCATAGCACTCGTTTATTGCTACGTCTATTCGGGCACCTTGCGGAATTGGCTGCAAAAGGACAGTATACAGTGATTAGTGTGATTAGCCTCGCACCACGCGACTTTATCGTCGTGCATATCCAGGGTTGGGAAGTGACACGTTACGTTTTTTTCAGTGGCAACTTTACAACAACGTTATTTTCTTTCGTTAGTAAGAACGACTGTAACAAACAATTTCTCGTGTAATGGTAACGAGTATATCTATTACTTTCGTCGTCGTTTGGAATGTAAAATATATCTACATGAAACAAATTATTAAAAAAAAAAGAACAAACTTCAAAATCTGTAAAAAAAATAACGGAAATTATAACTCTTTTTTTTAACGGTAACTAGTAATTTTTTTTTAATGAGCAAGAATGCCGTAACAGAATGATTGACTTGTAATTTTAAAGCTTCGGGTTGCAACTGTTTTTGATGATGTCAGAAGTGAGAAAACGTATACCAAGAATTCTTGCGTTATACATTCAAATAAAAAAATACACTCACAAAATGACATTTGTGATCGACTTATAAAATTGTCCGCTAAAATTGAACACTTTTACTTGAACAGTCAATAAACAGTCATAAAATTAACATTGATAGAATCATAATAAAAAGAGTGAACTTATAACGCGAGAATTTTTAGCACGCGTTTTCTTGCTTCTGACATCCAAAAAAAGAACGGTTGCAGCGAGAGATTAGCCTTAAGGTGACTGTAAATTTTGTTTAAATCATCAATTTTTATATTTTATCGTACAACGGTTTGTTATCAATCACAAACAGAACGGCTTTTTAATTCTAGACTCAAGACAGTCATTGTGCGCTAGAAGACAAAGATACAAAAGCATAAAGCATAGTTTTAAACCGACCAAGTCAGCCGTTCTGCTAAGGTTTACGAGTGACTCTTAAGAAGTAACTTGCCCAACCCCGCGCGAATGTTGAAGAGACGCACGTAAACACGCGCACACTCACCACGTATGTAAATGTGAACCGCGAATGGCAGAGCTTCAAGTGCTTCAGAAGCGAGTACAGTTTGCCGCAGTCCAACGAGCACCATGGGCAGTGTAGGTCTTCGCAAGCCTCCGTCTGCTGCCGGCTGTTATTGTTGTACAAAAATTGATAAACTATCTGCTGGGCTCCCGCGTTGGCGTCCACCTTCTCGTTGGGGACACCTATTCTCGAGGGCGTTAATGGACTAGGCGTTGGCAGTGTCGCGTTATTGTTATTGTTTGTGCTATTATTATTGTGACCTACGGAAGAACGCTCAAAACCAGCTGAAAAGATAACGTGACTGGTTGATGATCGTAAAAACGTACGTAGCGTCGTCGTTTCGCGCGTCCATGCGTGTTACATTAACTACTACTGCGAACTGACCGTTGGCCGATCGATTCTCTTTATTGTCGCCGCTCGGTATCGGATGTATCGGCGCCGGTCGGTCCACCAGACCGTTGCTCGGTTCCGTCGTCCAACTTAGTCGGAACTTCAACGTCGGCCCGGTGCTGAACACTTCGAAGGGCTCGCAGTTCTTGATGTCCGGCAAAGACTCCCAAGAACTGTGCTTCTTAGGGCTAGACCTAATATTGGTTTGTACTTCCTGCAAACCTAATTCGTAATCGCCGTCCGTCAACAAACACCGGCTGTGCTTATCGTACACTATGAGCTCGGAGCCGTACTGCTTCACCTCCTCGCCACCGCCAGTCTTAATCGAACCCGTAGACGATTTACGACGTTTTTGAGCTGGTTCTGCGGAAAGAACGTTCTCGTTCGCATTTATTTCCCGAAAAGAGCAAAAAAAGTACGCGGAAGAGGCAGAAGGATGCGCGAGACGCTCATCGTAACCATTCGCGGCCACGTACGTACCTTCTAAATCACAGTTATGCATAAGGCAGCCATTGTTAGACATGCAATAAACCCTGAGCAAAAGCGTATAAGTCTTCGCTACGTGACCGTTATTTAAGCTAAATGATTCATTGGGTATGGAAATCGTGGGCGCCTTCGACGGAGGCTGAGTCTCGGAAGGATTGATCGGGACCTCGCTTGTGCCGATTGGAACCTGAGAACGAGAAAAAGAACAGACGCCACGGATTAACGGAAAGTTCAGACCGACGGAAAGAAGTTCACCTCTCGTGTGTTCGCAACGTAAATTAATAATAGCATAATTAGCAACGTACCGTGCAGTTTAATGACATTAAACTCACTTGCATGATAGGCGAACTAACATCTTTCCGCTTCTTGTGGCAGATTTTCAATAATAGTGTTTCCACTTTAACTGGATCCTGTGATATCTCAACTGCAATCACACATCAATCTTAGAAAGTGTCACAGTGAAGTGTAAAGCCTGATTTAAAATGTGCTCTTTGCGTCTTGTTTCTTGCTCTCGATCTCTTTTTCATAAGTTCTCACAGAAGCAAGATAGAAAGCAAGAAACAAGACGCAAAGAGTACGTTGTAGATGAAGTTTTACTGTCAAATGTTCATGAAACGTTTCGGATATGCAAGCAAATAGAGGTAAAACCAACTTGTTACCTCTTTTGTCATAAAATCCTAAAAACGTGAGGGTCATATATCCGGGAAGGCCGAGATTCTGCTCTTGATTGCTTTTCGATATTAACTTTTCCAAAATCGAGTCGACCTTGAATCCTCGTCGTGCCTTGTGACTTCTGGACATACGTTGCCGCATATACGTTAAGTTTCTGTACAGAAATATTGGCTGGAAAGAAGAAGAGGCGCCAAGTCAATATATGTGTTCATTTACCGGTTAAAATACTCGACGCACAAATACAGGATGATTAAAGTAATGTAATCCTTTATACCCACCATAAATTTTGCGAACAGTAATTTTGAGAATCGTGTGAGCAGGTACAAATTATAACAGAGATAACGAGCGATCCGATGTTTAAAAAAAAATATTTCAACTTACCTGACAAGACAAATGCTTGCGACGTTATGATTACGTACTCTTGCGTGTATTCTTTGTTGAAAAAAAAAACTATTACACCGTGTCCATTCGGTAATTATACACACATATGTGTGTGTGTGTATGTGTGTGTGTGTGTGTGTAACGAGAATAAATCGAGTATAGTTAACGCTTTGAGGGCAACGCACAAATGAGGGCTCTACGTAAAATTAAAATTGAGAACATTGACTACTCACTGAAATTTGGTTTCTTGTGCGGAGGAAGCGGTAAATCTGCGTTGGTTCTGAAAAAAGAAAAATATTAAGATTATAAATAGATGATCGAGCTGCAGTGAGTTAAGATAACAAGTAACAAACATATTGCGCAGGATGTTTGAAATAAACGAATTGCAATTACAATTATCACAATTATGTATTAATTATTTCTACACAACAAACAATCTGGTTTAGACGTAGGTGCGTTTAATTAAAAATGCACTGTTTTATTGCAATTAATATTCTCTCTTGCTGTATAATTAAATATCAACAGAATGTAACGCGAAATATAGCAAACGGACAAAAACTGAAAAAAAAAAACAACTTTTATCATAAGCTCATTTACTAATTGCCACCCTTACAATTGCTCCTGCAAATTGTATTATTCACTATTGAGAAAAATTGTTCTCGGCTTTAAAAATTTTATAGAAATTTATGTTCACGCATCCATTGTCGTTTCACATAATTGCGGCTGTGATTGCTTACACCTTGTTTATCCACCTGCGCTGAATTAAAATAATTTCATATCCTACGAATATAGTACAAGCGGATTTCCCTAGATGGCTCCGTAGGTGGTGCCTTTCTCACGCTCAAAAGTGGATCTCAAATGCTTTAAATATCAGCGAGAACACAGAGGAAGTTCAGATCCTTCTTAAGTTCGAATGGGAAATGATGAATGGGTTTTGCTCAAATTGTTTGAGACGCCTGAACCTTACTTTGATACGACATTCGGCAGGCTAAACCTCTCTGATCCCATTTTACGATAATACAACAAAAACAATACTCTGTTAAATTCATCTTCCCATCGCGATGTATCGGCCGATCGCGATAAAAACTCGGCTTTGGAACGACAGTACGCGCCAGGGGGATTATATCTCAATTGACCGGGAGGGGTTGCAGGAGAAAAGTTTGTTTCCTCGGTCGAGTAACGTTTCATCCTCTCGCGCGTGAATTTCCGCGGAAAACCCGACAGTGAGTAATGAGGTGGACGGACGCTGGCTGGCAGCGGCGGTGAAAAAATCGTACACACAGAAACCGAGTAGCGCGCGCGATACCCTCTCCGCTCCGCCGTGAGCAGCGGGAGTAACGATGACAGGTGTCCGTGCGTCAAGAAAACGAGGCGGAGGAAGTGAGGGAACGGAGGAGGAGGAGAGCGTCTACCGACGCGCGCCACGGCGCCCGAGTTGGCCTCTTCGCGAGTGGGGTTAGGTCGCCGCGTCGAGAAGCGATAACGTCGGGGGTGTTCACCGAGAGACGATTACGGTCACGCACCTCACGCCGCGGACGTCAGCGGGGCGCGCGCGGTCGCGTTGGCAGACGGCACCGTCGGCCGCTCGTCGGCACGACGGCCGACGCACGCGGGCAGCAGCCGACGACGGAAAAATGCAACGGGCACCATATCAACGGAGTTGCTAAAAAAAGTGTGTGTTGTTTCTCGTCGGACATACAGTCGTCGGGCTCTCGGTACTCACTTTCGAAGGCCTGCAGAAACAGCTCGTGGTCAGCCTGTATCTGGTCCATGCGAGGTCCCTTCTGCCCGTCCAGGTCCTTCTCCCGCTTCTTCGGCGGCATTTTCGCGCGGTCCTCCGTGCACGACGAACTCCCCCGCGTTAACTCCACTGCTCGTCGCGCGAAAGTTGTACGAACGACAACACCCGCCCCGCGCGAAAACTGCGGCGCTCGGCGGCCCTCGGCGACCGACGCGCGCGCCCCCTGCCGGCGAGACGCGCTGTCGGTGCTGCTCCACCGCCGGGTAATCTGTGCGATACCAGTCGACTGTCGATGATCGACTGTGTCTGGAAACTATCGAAAGTGGTAGGTCGACTTCAGGGTGATGTCGTTGAATTCTGATTGGCCCAATTGATGACTTCATGGTGACGGTCACGAATCTCTTGCCCGGAGGCTGGTATTCATAATCAGATCTTATATTTAAGTCCGTCTTAAATTCATTTTCAGATACTCCGTAGCGAATGAAATAAGCTATTCAGTATCTGAAGATGAATTTAAGTTCCGGTCTACAATAGGTGTTTTAAGCTCTAAGCCTTAAGAAATTGACCAATTCACAGTTGAATATGAGGAGAATAATCGACTGTGATGGTCAATTTTTTAATGTACTACAAGTTGATTTCCCTAGATGGCCTCATAGGTGGTGCCTTTCTCACGCTCAAAAGTGGATCTCAAATGCTTTAAACATCAGTGAGAACACAGAGTAAGTTCAGATCCTTCTTAAGTTCGAATGGGAAATGGTGAGTGGGTTTTGCTCAAATTATTTGAGACGCCTGGACCTTACTTTGTTACAACATTCGACAGGCTAAACCTCTCTGATCCTATTTTACGATAATACCACACAACAATAGTCCTTAATTCTCATTGTAAATCTGCTTTAGTATTTAAAAATTGCATTTTATTTTGACCTAAGTAACTCGTACGAACTTCCCAGACAACCTAATAGTTCCAAAGTCTCCGCTACGAGTCGCCGCTATCTTCAAAAAAGAAAGTCGTAATGTAACTCAACGGCAGGCCAGACGGACTTTAATTTTCAAGTGATACGACTCAACAGTGGATTCGATCTTTTTTACTTCCAAACCAGATTTCACAGCAGGTGAGAAGGATTTATCAGATATTCCTGCATAATGCCTGCTCATTATTGCCGTTTTCAGTTAGTATTGTTGATCGAGACACTTTCTCGCGTGTGCGTGACAGAACGGCCTCGATGAAGTCTCAACTTCGAAAGAAACAAATATATAACCTAGCGTTGAAGAAAAAAAAAACGAAGTTCCAATGCAGCACTAGTTCGGCTGAGAAGAACAGGCCTATTGTTTTCGACTCGTATAATAAACTCTGTTGAACGCATCGCAAAACTCAATATATTCTCAGCCCTTTTCGCAGCGATTCAAACTCGCTTTGGTCGAGAACGTCGTGCACTTTGTCGTTCTTTGGAGAAACGAAGCCACACGTTGCCGTGTCGTGTGCGAGATATCCATGAGAGTATTCGAATATTTCAGGTAAATCTTTTTTTTTTTTTTTTACACGAACGGATCAAGATGGCAGCGATAATCGAGTAGACGCAAGGATCGTGTCTCTTGAAGCAGACAGCAAAATTGTACGCTCCGGATATCCTCCCGGTGCCGGCCGTACAAGTAACTTGGTGGCGTGTTCCTTGAATTTCGGGGAGTTATCGTGAGTTTATACGAATAAAAATGACCGAGGAAACTCAACAATCGGAGGCTGTCGTGCAAAACGACGTTGGTGCTGTACAGAATGATACGCAGACGAACTCGTCGGATGTCGGGAAAATTAGGGACAATAAGAAAGAAAAATGTCGTCCCATGACGAAGGTTTGTGAATGAACACGATTTGTATATATTCGTCATATATCGTTAAATATTCATTAAACGTCCCCGTATTATTATCTGATGAGTGCGTTGCATGTGGCACAGGTTATGTTAAGTGCTGATAAGGGGATACCGCCGGCCGGATGTTATCAATTTAAGTAGAACTTGGTGGGCGCGATAACGAGTCGAGATATAAGTGAAATTTAATCGTCCTTTCAATTCAAGCCCAAAATCAATAAGATACGTTGTCAAATATGTATTGTTGCCAAATTGTAGCGAATAAATTTAAAGTAAATATTATTTATAAATCACATATTAAGAAAATAGTATATATAAATATTATTTTGGTGTATTAAAGTATTTAATTTCCCTATATGAAAACTGTTCCTTCACAATATTGAGAACACATGCATATATATATTTTTGGAATATAAATAAAAACATAAGATATTTTTTATTCGCAGTTACTTTACATAAATATATATGTTATTCTGTATATATCTAACAAAATTTTATCCAATTTGAATTTTGAAAGTTTATATTTATAACATAACATCATATCGTTTGTCTGTTACCAGGTGGTGATCAGGCGATTGCCTCCAACAATGACGCAGGAACAATTTCTGGAGCAGATCTCTCCGCTGCCAGAACACGATTACTTTTATTTCGTGAAAGCTGACATGTCCCTCGGCCAGTTCGCGTTTTCTCGCGCTTATCTAAATTTCACAGATCAGCAAGATATCTTTGTGTTCCGGGAGAAATTCGACAATTACGTCTTCGTAGACTCCAAAGGTGTGGAATACTCTGCGGTGGTAGAGTTCGCACCTTTTCAAAGATTAGCGAAGAAACGACACGGTAAGAAGAAGGATGTCAAATGTGGCACTATCGAGAGCGATACATATTACACGAGCTTTCTAGAGAGCTTAAAGAACCAGGAAATCGACTCGAACATAGCGCAATCGAAGACCGAATATTCTTACCAACCACCAGACAGTGAGTGTCTTTATATTACTTGTATTTGGTTTTGCAAATCAGAGACATCGGCTCTTAAGATTATCTTAAAATAATACCTAGTCAGTGAAACGACTTTCCTGGATCAATCAGAGCAATCAGATGTCTCCGATTCGCAAAACCAATCGCAACTATTACATAGTCGAGGGATACAATATAGATATTACCAATTTATTACTAGATTATTAGATCAGAATATTAGATTACGTGTAACTCTTATAAAAAGGCCCCTTTCACTAACCTAAGCGACTGATATCCGTTTCTACTATCATGATATCATTAAATCTAAACGACGATTAATTTGACGGAATTGACCAACCATATTGATCAGTAGATCAGTGGATAGCTAATTGGTCAACTCCGTTGAGTTAATCGTCGATTAGATTTAAACCATGATTGAAACGGGCAGCAAAAGCGTTATAATAATTCTCTATCACGCAGACACAACAAAGAAAATCACAACGACCCCGCTGCTCGAGTACCTAAAGCAGCGCAAGCAAGAGAAGCAACGTCTCAGAGATGAAAAGCGCGAGGAGAGGCGAAGGAGGGACCTGGACAGGCGGAGAACGAAAGACGATCCTATTATTTCTAAGGTAAAGCATTCGTCGGATAAATTCAAACGACGAATACGGAGTTTGGTATAATACACAAGACACAATCTCTCATCTCGCTTGTAACCGCTCGATCTAACTCGACCGAGACTCTTCTCCGGCATATTCTCTTCTTTAATTTTTTTTCTCATCAACAACAGCACTTTTACTGATAACGAATCATTTTCGCCTACAGCACACGCACAACACAGAAGTCGATAGGTCACCCAAGCTCACCATATTACGCCCCGCGAAAATCCGGGTGGAACATTTGTTGCTTCCAAAGTTTGTCAAAAATGCAAGTATACACGAGTACGAAGAAGAGACGTTCCTCGATAGACGTGCGCACGAACGAGAGCAAGAAAAGTCACGCAAGACCCATCAGGGATCTAACGAGCGCGTTAAAAAGTCCAAACCCATTCGAAACGTGGTGACCGATGTCAGGAAACAATACTTCAGTGGCGATAAACGGGTTAACGGCAAAACTTCTTTTTGTCCGCAAAAAGGCGATCATGTAAGATGAAAAAATTTTTCTCCCCCTCATTGGCAAAAAGCTCCTCGATTACCACGATTCTTCGATTGTTCGATCTAACATCGGAGTAACACGGTAATCAAAAGTAATATTCTCCCGTTTACGTCAGTAGCCGCGAATACCACCCTGACACTTTCACGTGCGACAAAGTTGCGGTACTTGAGCCGAAAAAATCGTGTCGCTCCCCCCCTCCGAGGCGGTATGTAAAGAGGGAGAGAGACGTGGAATCAGGATTTAACCTGTCCGGTTCGCTGCTGTGCCCTGAGACACGCGGGAAGGTCGACGTTGACCTTTCACCGATGGCATCGATGATGATTCTCGAGAAAGAGGAGCGCTTGTCATCACTTATCGCTGTTTATCGATTTTGTACATCTACTGTTTTCTGAGAAAAACTCTACGCGATTTCTCTCCCGTGCATGCGCACGTGTAACGCGATCAACGAGCAAATCCTCACTTTGTAATGGTTTTCACCGTCTGTACCGGATTTTTGAGAGAAGAATATATTTGTAAAAAGGCCCGAATTTCTTTCCGAGCGTTCGACACGATCACAATTCTGCTCTTTACCTTGTCGCGCGCGGTGTAAACTTGCAAAGGTATATCGTGAACGAGGAAGTATGATGTGTGTGAGAAATTGTGAAGAGTCCGTAAGAGACAAGAAACAATGTATGTGTGTACGTACGAGAGGAAATATAAATGAAGATTGACGGGTGCGCGATTTTCCACTGTCTTGCAGGTTCTGAAGAATCCGGACCTGGACAGAGAGTCCAGTAAGGACGACAAGGAGAACAAGGACGAGAGGGATAAGCTTTCGCCGAAGGACCTGAAGAACAGGAATAAGAGGGACGACAAGGTGCGGGAGAAGACGTCGCGGGATCGAGAGGCCAAGCCCATCCTCAAGGGCTACAGGGATCGAGTGGACGAGAGGAACAAAGATCGCGAGATCAAGCAGAGACGGTACGATGAGAAGAAGCTTTATGGGAGGCGCGATGAGAGAGAGGGCGCGAAGGAGGACAAGAGGATCGACCTGAGGGACGACAGGAGATACGAGGCGAAGGAGGACAGGAAGGTGGAGGAGAAGCGCGGCAAAAGTTATGAGAAGATGAGGCAGGAGAAGAAGAAGTTGGCGGAGACGAAGAAGCAGATGGCCGACGCGAACGTGAGCAGCGAGGCCAGCCCGAAGAAGGTGCGGGAGGAGCACGACAGCGTGCAAGAGATCGAGGACACGAGCGGAAGTGTCCGAGAGTCCGCGCACGACGACGACGACGAAGATCTCAAGCAACGAGACAACGAACGAATGCAACGCAACGCCGCTGTCGAGGACAGGGTGACTGGCGAAGACGCGTTGGAACATCGCCGGGAAGCTGCCGAACGAGGGAACAGCGTAGACAACGCGGGTAAGTATACTTGACTTCTACTTTTTATTTTTTCCGAGGCTCCCGTTTCTTTCCTCGCCGCGTGACTAGTGACGCCAGAAGCGAAAAAACATATGCTGAACGTATGGCAGACGCTCGCTAATGCTCTGATAACGTGGTAAACGCGAGCAAGATCACAACCATATAACGGATATTTGTTGATGCAGACATGAACGAGGACGAATCCGAGGCGAAGATGGAGTCGAAAGTCGTGAAGAGACGAAGCTCGCTCGAGAGCGGCGGCGAAGGCGGTACCGGTGACGGTAACTGCTTAAGACGTCACAAATCGTTGGACGGAGGAGGTCAAAGCAATTTGCAGAAGAGCGAGAGCGAAGAGAAGGAAAAGGATAAGAAAGATCCGCGATTGGAGCGTAGGATAAGGAATAAGGTAAGCCGTTGCTCGCACTCCTCGAGTAACGAACGAAGAGCCATCTCATCGTTCTCAGCTTTTCACTCGACTGGAAGATCACAAAATCTCATCTGATCCCTGTTCGGCTGCATCACTTGTCACATCTTATTGTATTAAACCGCCAATAATTATATTCAACAAATTTCAATTATTAAAACTTATGGCACATACAAGAATGTAAAACTACAACTACAATGAGTGCAGTAAGCTTTTAGCCTCTTGCTCTAAGCACTAAATTGTAACGTAATTCGAGCCAAGAACGTTTCCAGCGCTACGTTGCAATCCCTAAGATTTAATACTGAATCTAATAAGTTTATATTTTGTCGGTACTCATTTTTATCGGTAAAAATGCTTAGATTATTAGCAAATCTCAGCAAATCAGGTGGTTTCTAGGTCACTTGATCTATTGCAAATCCAAATCAAGCAAACTGACTAACCACATTATTTTCTTCATGGTCCGATTAATTAAAAAAATTAATCGGTCACTTTGCTCACAGCTTACGTTTAATTATCGCTTACATTTTCGTGTGTGTCACGGAGCTAAAGGCCCAAATGAGAAAAAAATCACTGTTGGGGTCGCAAGTTCTTGAACAGCCGCGCTCGTTCGTTCGCAGGACCGTCCGGCGATGGAGATCTACCGACCCGGCATGGGCAAGTTCAGCAAGCAGAGGCTGGAGCGCGAGAAGTCCAACAACGACGAACGAGCGTCCCTCTCGCAGAGCCCCACGCCGAATCCCGGGGCGCCTGTCAGCGGGAAGCCCGGCAAATCCGCGACGGAGGTGCGCTCGATGACCTTCAAACGCAGCGTCAGTCGAGACGTGGCGTAACGAATCTCCTCGTCCGCACAGTCTATACGCGTCGTACTGCCGAGAAACCCGATTCTAACGGGATTGCGATCCCGCTCGGTCGTTTCAGCAATTCCGGTCCTTTCGCCGTAAATGGTTCTCCTCCCCCTCGCTATACAGTCGATACGGTTTAAAAATCGCAACACTTTTCTCCTTCGATGAGTTTCGCAACACACTCGGTGCCCAGTAAAATTTGTTTGTTAGCAGCTCTCAGGAGGATTTTGTATCGCGTATACAAGATGCGTTGTGCGAAAGTCATCGAAAACTTAAAAAAAAAAAGTGTAACCGTTAATCTGCCAACTATGTGCGTATCGTCGGTTACAAAAAGCTCGCAGCACCTTTTTTCTAGTAAGTTTCGAAACGCATCCGGTGTCTAATGGGAGGATTTGTTTCTCAATAATTCTCAACTGTGTTTAGTAATTCTCACTCACTATTGAATACGAGATGCCTCGGGGAATTCGAACGTCGAAAAAAGTGTCGCAGCCTTCTCGTGACTGACCATACATCATAGAAGATACACGTCGCCATCTTCGCGTGTCGCGTGTTCGAGAACACGTTCCTCACAACACGCGCGCACACTTGGTCCTACGGTTTTCTCGCGTCTCGCGTGCTCCTCGTGCCGCGACAGGGAGACGCGAATTTTTATGAGCTGTGATGTTGGCATTTGTCATTGACAAATCAATAAATACAACGTATAATCTACCACAATGATGATACTTTCAGACGTGCTTGCGCATCAATGATTTTAATACATCGGCTTATACTACAATGCAATATTATCGAATGTATAATTGCAAATAATAACACTGAATGACACTGACTTGAATCAAGGTTACATTAACATAATTGTTCTTCTTACGTTCTCCAAAGGGTAGAAATGAATGTTATTTACGTTCTTTAGAAAGTCGAGTCGAGGTCCTGACCGAAGGCTTCCGCGGCGTTTTATTGGTTTTGTTTCGCTTCGGGCGTGGCGTCACGCCGTTGCTATCGCTGACTGATGTGCTTGTTTTCCGTAAACGCATCCTTTTGTCTGTAAAAGAAAGGAGAAAGGTATATTCGTACTATTCATTGCTTCGTTACTTCAAATTGCGAATAACGAATAGTAAATACCGCGCGTTACAGGCGTATCTGAAAAAACGTCGTCATCGTTATCTTCATCATCCTTCGCTGGTGATTTTGTACGGGGCGTCTTTCTCCTGCTCGTTGGCGTTTCTTTGCTAGTTTTCGCTGAGAAACAAATATGAGAAAAGTCAAAAATACCTAATTCTATTAAAGAAAAAGCTTTTACTATTTCTCTAGATAGATACTTATAAAAATATCTATTTATACTTCTACTATTTCTAATAGAAACTTCTGTTTTTCTAATACATATTTTATTTTCACTATTTCTGGTGGATATTTATATAAAAATATCTATTTCTAATTTCGACTCTATTTTCTCAATAGATACTTGATTTCTACTGTTTCTAATAAATATTTACAAAAATGTTCATATAAATTTCCGCTTTTATTCTATTTTTCCAATAGACATCTTATTTCCACTATTCCTAATAGATGTTTATAAAAATATCTATTTCAGATTTTACTCGGCGTAAAATTATCGACATGTTGATCATAAAGATCTATAGTAAATACGACAGTAATATCGTGGAGGCATCTAACCAGAGCTGCTAGATCGCGAGATTTCTAGAAATGTACCAGTCAGAACGTAATATTTCTAGCGCTCAAGCAATGCGCAGCGCAAATACAAGTATCGTGTGCCGCCACGGCTTTATATTTATGTAGCGTGACATAAGCCTTCCACTACGTGAATAACGAAGAAGTTCCACCTAGGACCTGGCAGCTCTGTTCTAATACTCACAATTTGCAGCAGCCGCACTGTCCGCCGCATCCTCTTCGCCGTCGGAGCTGTCTTCATCGTCACTCGTGCTTTTGCGTTTAGTTTGCCGTATACTCTTCCTGATCTTCGGCGTGTTGGGCGGGGGTGGCATCAGACGTTCGTCCGTCATCTCCGAGTTCGTGTCGCCCTCCAAGAGCTCTTGCACCTTTTCCTCCAGCTCTATACCGACGGCCTTCGCGTCCGTTCGCTTCTTCGCTTGCTCAACAATACTTTGTAGCGCCGTTAACACCGGCTTATAGTGAATCTTGTCTTTCAACAGCGGCAGATTTTCGATGAGACGACGTATACCTTCGGGAGGAGCCACGGACAGCGGGATTAATTCGCGTCCTGATCGATCGCATCGATTGAACGTATCGATTTTACTCGACTACTCACTCTTTCCGCTGAATTGCAGGAGTGAGAGGCAGTAGGAGAGATCGCGCCATTGTCTCTCTGTGATGGCCAATTTGAACCGGGCGCAGACCTTCTCGATTATAGTGTCGACGTGCTTCTCTTTTTGCAGGAGACCGAGAATGTATCTGCAAAGGACTGGCGTTCGTGAAACAATCGACGTCAGCCCGACGATAATTGTGCGATACTCACCTGATGGTTTCTTGGAACTGTTTCTCCTCGAGATTCAACTTGGGATCCGCCAATCGCGACAATATGTCAGGTACCACGTTATAAAGAGCGTTGCCCTTCAGGGCGAGTTGATTGAAGAATTCTTTCGTCTCCTGTCGTATCTGTTCGTCTTCGTCCATGATGCACAGCGCCAGTTCCGAAACTTGTCCCTTCACGCGTATCATCTCCCTCATTATGAGATTCGACAGCATACGGACGCAAGTTCTACGCACGCTCATGTCGGTGTCTCGGAGCCTACGAATGTTGAGCGCGAATGTTAACAGCAATGAATAAGCCACGATTCATTCTACCATTTGCGAAAAGGAGAGGGAGAGAGAGAGAGAGAGAGAGAGAGAGAGAGAGAGAGAGAGAGAGAGAAGAGAATGAGATTTGAGATGGCATTCTTTTCCTTTAAAATACCACGTGAGATAATAATCACTTATAACTGAACTAAGACAACTTATAAATTAACTAAAGTAAAAATATAAATTGTAAAATTATAATATATAAAATAATTAGAATTACAAAGAAAATAATTGTAAAACAAAAACAATAAGTTAACTAAAATAATAATAATCATCTTTAATTTTTTTGTATAAATCATTAAATCGCGATATTTTTAGAACATTTAAAGTCGGTTTTCAATATGGACATTCGACAGATAGCCGACTCACCTGCCGTAGATGTGCTTCGACCACGGCTCCACTTGATTGGGGAATCTCATGGCGAGATCGCTCAATCCGATCAGCATGTTCGATCGTATACCGGAATACGGCGATCGTTCCAATATGGTCACCAGCAGCTGCAGGGTCTGTTCGCAAAACTCCGAACTCACCGTCATCATCTTGCTGAGTGCAAGCGAGCCCGCGGCTTGCAGATTCTCGTTGTTGTACTTCTCAGGATATTTGCAAACCTCCAACACCAGCGGACTGCAAGGAACGAATTGTACATGCGTTACAAGTCAACTTGCTCGATTCTCGCGATTCTCATGCGAGAAGAATCTTGCTTCCGCCGACTGCGGAACCAGAAAGTAGCGCGTTACTTGCCGTCGTCGTTACCGTTATGACGCTTATTTTTTCATCAGCAACAGTAACTCGATTATATTTTCTGGTAACGATGATGAGTTACCTTTCAAAGAATAATTTTCCAACTCCACAGTGGGATCACACTTACACGAATCTCGCGAGCAAGCCGTCCCCGATGAGAATCTCGTTCTCGAGCGCGTTATGCACGAACTCCGCCTCGGCGTCGTCCAGAGCTCCTGCCAGAGCTTCACTTCCTGTGCTGATATTGTCATCCTGTGCGACGCTCTGGTTCACATCTCGGCTCCTGGAGGAAAGTACGGACCTGTTGCTTTTGTTGAACGGCGACGGGGTCACCATGCTGCCTTTCGCTTTCGTCTTCTTCTTGCCCTTGCCCTGCATCTCTCGCACCGCGTTCCTACGCTTTAGCTCTTTGTAGACGAACGTGTCCAAGTACACCATCTCCCTGATGGCAACGTGTCCGATGATGTACAGCAGTTGTGAAAGCACTGTGTACGACACTTCGATCTTCTGAGCCGTTTCCTCCTCGGTGATCTGGCCCTTCTTGCTGATGTCTAGCAATAATTTCTTTATCAACTCGTTCGGCTGATTCGCTAACTGCAATCGAGAAAGTCGATCTTAGTGTGCCACATTCGTTCGCTCGTTAAAACTTAATTAACACGTCGACCGCCATAGGATGGTCACCAGCGATGATGATGTCACGTTTCGCTAAATAACATTCCAGTAAATACCAATCAACATTACAACAATATTGTTATAAACTGTCATAATATAACGTACGTTATAATTTCCCACTCAACACACACAATGTAACTGTTATGCACAATGCATGGTTGTGTTTACATTGTTGAGGGAGAAATTATAACAATGATATAATGTTATTGTTAGTTGGTGTTTACTGGGATACGTATAAAACGTGAGGAGCTGTATAGCAACGCATAATAAAAATACATAGCCGACAAAGCGAATAAAACGAGCTGACGAATACGTGCGTCATGAAGCTACATTCACCGCATGTCTGGCGATTCAAAGATGAATCGAGAATTGAAATAATGGAATCAAGTCGAAATCAGTGTGGCAGTCAATGTGTTAACCGGCCTCACTTACGTGATATATGGCGTTGATCGCATCCGTCGCGAAAGAGATGTAAGCCTTCTCATTGGTGCTGGTGAAGTTGTCCGTTAACAGTGTCAAAATCTCCCGGAACATGTCGTGGTCGTTAGAGTACCTGGGGCAACGAGGAAACGTTCTTATCACCGTTTTCAAAGAGCAATTCGCGACAAAGACTTACCTCAACACTGCCTTATCGATATCTTTACTGGCTTGCTTGATCTTCAGCAACATTCTGCAAGTGTCCCGCGCTAAGAGGAGGTCCTCCTTCGCGCGCGCACCCAGTCCTATCTTCACTAATACATCTAAATTGTCGATAGCTATGTTGGTTTCCGCTTGAGCTACCATCGTTATCATCATCAGCGCAGCTCTGCTGTCTATCGGCGACGTACCCGGATACTTCATGGAAAATTTCTCCCACAATACCTGCGCATTCGTGGAATATGCGTGAGATTCACCGACGTCGTCGATTCGAAAACAAGTGTGTGTAAAGCTGAGAATTATTTTTTTCGAAAATAATTCGCGTCTTTTACTGAACAAAATAATTCATTACCGTTACTCTTACTTATTTAGAAAGAATCACTTATCGTTACTCAATAAGTTTGAATCTCAGCTACTTCTGCTTACAAGTCTTAATTCTTGCGAAAATTCTTAAATCTTAATTCGTTGCAAAAATTTTTGCGGATTATGTTACAGTGAAAAGACATGTCCGTAAAATAAAATTTGTGATTGATTGAACATATATTTGTAAGATATTCCGGAAACTGCAAAATTAAAATGACATGCAACCTTCCTTTTTAGCTTATCTTTTTTCATGATTTCATCACGTTAATTTCATGACTACTTATTGATTTTTAGAAGGTCACGTTAGAAGGTCAATTCACTTCAACTGATACAATTATGAATTTTTTGATTGCTCGACCATTTATTAATCTCATTTTTCGTCAGTTATTCTTCCTATGTCATAAATTCGAAACTATCAATATTTTATTTTTATTCATTTTCATTTAAAAATGGCGGCCACCTGAAAACATAATGGAGTAATTTTTGAGTTTATACGATGCAAGTAACGCGTTATTTTCCATATCCGCGCGAGAGTTCAACGTCAATTAAATTTTTCAGAAAAAAGTTAAAAAAGAAGGCTAAGTGCATACCCCCCCCCCTAAAATAAAATTAAAATTAAGTATTTCTGTTTAAACTTATATCTCCTACGAAAGATGAACGATATCAAACAATTAAACTAAGTGAAAATAATCCTTGCAAAAATAGCAATATTAAAATGCTGCATCAATTGGAAGTGAAGAAATAACGTATTAGAAACAAAGTTTTCTACACAAACATCCAAAATTAGCATTCATACATGTATATTAAGTATCTTGGTTTCCATTTCGAAGCTTCTTCAAGTCTCAACAATCCAGAAACGCTTGGCGTGCCCAGGTCGCATTGAAACACACAAACTTTCGGAAATTAGTACAATATATAAAATGCTGGATTTCTTGAAATTTGCGTGTCTGATGCTATCGAATTACCTGCAGCAACTCGTTGTCCAGCTCACCGCCCTCGTACCACGTAGCAACGAGCTGAGCGAAAGCCGGACTCTGTCCGGGCTGCAGTTCCTTCAACAAGTCGATGAGACGATTTGCACGGGCAACGGCTATCTGTCGTTCCGACCGCTTGTCGTTCTCGTCGGTATCCAGGTAGATCTCTTTGTACACCACGGTGATGTTGTTGCGCACCGACTGATCGCGGTGGAACACTTGGAACAGTGCGTTGCGCACGCAGCTATCCGCTCCGGCCACCCCGAACTGGAAGGCCGTACCCAGAAACGTGCACGACTCCACAGCGTCACCGGCGCACGTGGAGAACAGCAGCTTCTTCGCTATCGGTATCGCTTTCTGCAGTTCAGTGGCGAACACGAGACAATTCTGCGGGGGAAGAAATGCGTGTAACGAGGAATGTACGAACGAACAATTCGGGAGCGGCTCGTTTCCAGTAAGCGAAGTGTTAGTAATACGTCTGCAGATTGACAGCAGATTCGATTAGAATATCGTAGCACAGCATCTACGTTTTCTTCTGTATTCGTAAAATTTCTGCATCAACCCAATCCTGCTCGGTTTCTGTCATCAATTTGTCATCATACTGAACTAGCAGATCCTGTTGTACTTCTAGCAAGCTGCTAATGAAATTGACAGCAGATACGAAATCTGTTTCTGCAGGTTCGACGATTTGAATTAAAGTCTACCTGTACGTTGTGATGTACCTTCAGATAGTTGACTATGCGCTTCCTGTTGACTATTTCCTGCTTGATCGTCTCATCCTTCTCCGACTTCTTCGCGTCGTTCGCGTTCTCTTCGTTGCCCGTCGACTTATTGTCTTCCGATTCAATGAAGATCTTCAGCAAGAAAGCGAACAGGCATTCCTCTTTCGCTTCGATAGGAAGATTCTCCATGTTCGGCGCTTTCTCCAATTTCATACAGATCCTCCACAGATACGTCACCGCCTCGGTGACTTTTCGGCTTAACAGCAGCTGTCTTACGTGTTCAAATACGTGATCCGGGTCGATATTTTCGTCTTGCACGATGTCTGCATTGTCTGGAAAGAGAAACTTAATGATGTGTCCAAAGATCTCACGATAATTCGTATAGTCGGTGTCACATACGCTGTACTATTTCCTAGACGAAGAGTTATACAATTTTCAATACAATTTTCTTAGATAAAACGCATAAAATTTTCAAGGTTGAAAATCGCAAAAGTAACTCTAGTTATAACAGGTAGAGTTATAATAGCTTTAATAATTGATAATTTCTATGATAATTTCGATTTTATATACATATGTGGCTGTGTTCCAAAATCCTATTCGACGGGTAGAGTAGCATTTAATTAACCAATCATGATAAAATCTTTGCTTTTTCGTTCTGGTTGATTAATTAAATGCTACTCTATCCTACGTCGAATAGAGTAACGCAACCTGTGAAAGACTAAAAATCGTCTAACGGTAAATAGTTTCAATCGAGGAAACGAATACAGCTTAGATGACGTCGATTGTACCGAACGATTGGCGCATTGACAATAAATAATACAAACCATTTACATGCTTCACTTGGTCATCCTTTAAAACTTTTTCTATCGCAGCTCTTATGTCCGGCAATAAAGTAGTCCAGAGTTCAAATCTTTGCGCGTGACCGCGCTTACTGGTGCTCGCGACTTGAGCTTTTAGTTCCTGCAGTTTCGCTTGCTCTTTCGCCAACGAAACAGAAAGCTCGATACAGTCTAACTGTAACAAATAGAAAAAAACATATGTGAGGTCAAAGGCTGTTTACAGGATAATTACAGGATGAGTAACGACAAGGTGTCAATCGAACCCTGCGACGCGCACCTTGCCGGCGAAGGGATTGCTCTGCAGCAGGGTGCGCAGCAAATGCAGAGCCTGCCGGCGAACGTTCGCGCTCTTGTCCTCCAGTCGTAACGCGGTTGCAGCCAGAAGACTTTCGTACCTCGCCAACGGCACCGCGCCTTCGCAGCACAAACGCTGCCAGGTCTGCAGCACCTTCGACCTCACGTAGGCGTGACAATCTAAAATGTGCTCCTCTAAGCTGTTCAGGCAATCGTCGCGCTTCTCCTTCTGCTCGTCCGTGAGATCTTCGCTGGTCAACGCTTTCTGCACGACAGCACCCAGGACGACGATCACGCAATTCCTCATGCTGTAGAACTGCAACGGTCACCAACGTGACGTTTCTCAATGAGGTCGTCGTTTAACGAACGAGAATCAAACTACTATTGTTAGAGCATAAGAATTGATTACACTTTTACAAAAACACTTCAGTCTGTAAACCTTCCTCGATCTGAATAAAGGAAATTACAAGTACGAGGTGCAAATTAAAACCAAATTAAAGGCCAAAGTTAAAGACAGGAAACGAGCACATCAGATGCAGTTTACTCGAGTAACTGATATGCCCCTTTTCTATCTCCAACTTTGGTCTCCTTGCGTGGATTTGCGATAAATCCCTGCGGTTTTTAAGAGACACTGTTTTATTAATTTGCAAGTCGTACTTGTAATTTTCTTTATTTAAATTGGAGAGGGTCTGCAATGGACCGGAAAACGTAAAAAGTGCGAAATTAATATTTTGTCACGCTCCAACAACGGTTTGGCTCTCATAGGTCAGATATTAACATTTCCTTTTTCTTGTAATTTTTGGAGCCATAGTTATATTTCCTTATAAAAAAAAAAAGAAAGAAAAAAGAGGCGGACGCACGTCATTCGACAGGTAGTCCGTAATTTCGTCGAGGATGGGGATTATGAGATTAGGTTGCGAGGTCGCAATGTGCTCGAGAAACATGGATATGTTGCGGTTGTCCGCTTCGCCCACGCCGTTCTGTCCGATTTCATTCATCACCTCCTTGATCAGACCATTGCAACCGCAATTCATGGTCATGTGAACCACACCGGTTGCTATGGGAATCGCCATTGAGTCGTATAACTTCACCAGCTGAAATATCATAGATACATGTTAACTTCTATTTTCGAACGAAACAATCAAGAATTTGCGAGTAATTTGTCTAGATATGTGTGTACCTGAATAATCCTTACAACGCATGTTATCCCGTGATTGTATTTCTTTATTAAAGTCCCCAGAATCTGTGTGGATAGACATGGTGTTTGGATGGTGTTTGGATGCGTCAGTGACAATGAGAAAGTTCATAATGCACAAAAATACAAAAACTGTGATACCTCAAATATAGTTTGTCTGATGTGCTTTTGCTTCGCGTCCCTGGTCTTTTCTAATATCTTGTAACATACCTGTGCCAAAGTCCTGCAATATCACAGTTGTAAAACAGTGTCTCAAAGTTAGTAGTTGCTGCAACTTACGTGACAAATAAATTTTCAACAATTGGCGGTCGCCACATCTTGCACAATGGTACTTGCAGCCATCGATACAGAAGTTCCAGAGCTTTTGGTCTACTTTGTTCCCATTCTTCCTCGAAACTTGTCATAGCAGTTTTCTTTTTCTTTAAGAATAAAATCAGCCTCCTTTTATGTGGCATATATCTCTTTACGATATATAAAAACTAAAGAATCAGCTTATATACCTTTCCAGTATTACTCTCGCTGGAATCTTGCGTAATTTGGTCATTTATGTGACAGACAAACCATGAGAATAAATATGCCAGCATTTTGTTGATGCACAAATATGTTTCTCTCTCTTCCTCATCAATGTCATTTCCATGATCAAATATTTGCTCCAGGTTATCCACAACTATTTCCAAAGCTAAAAATCGTACAAGTTTAAGCACAGTACATTCGTTCTAATGAATTAGTTACATTTGTATCGCAAAATGCAATGTCCTCCTTCGCAACATGCAATAAATAAAACATCCAGCATGGAACATTACCCTTGTGAATTCTGTTAAAAGAACGTATGCAGACTTCAAGCTCTATTTTATTGCCATGAATGACGACGGAGAAGAATGTGTCAAAGTGGTCCAGAATAAAATATGGACCTTTTTCCTGCAATGCTGCGCGTGTACCTATGAAACAAGTGTACTGGTTGTAACTTAGTCACCAGCACTACATCCAATAATATACAGCTGTTAAATGTAACAGACTGTAAGTAAGATTATGCTGTGTTACCGTCGAGAAACTGTGATAACATTCGTGGAGGGATGACCTCCTTGACAAAATATTGGTCGGCATGAGATGTCAAAAGCTCATCTTTCATCAAAGGTATCACAAAGTTCACCATTTTCACGTACACTGGATTACGTACTGTAAATTAATGGAACGAGCGATTAAACTTTATTCGTCTACATTACATTCATTATGTCTGAGAAAAAATAAAACCCGCGATCTCGTTCGAGCGGGGAAGTGCACCGTTTATAACCAACTCCACAATCGTGTTTTGGATGTAGAATTCGTTTCATTTTCAAATGCACTGCTGCCAACCTATATTGTTTCACGCCGAGCGCGAATCAACTGCGTTAGTTCTACTAGGGACTTTGTTTTTAAAAATCGTATTTAGGGTGTGTCCCATTAATGCTCGTATTAGACTACGGATTAGAGATTGAAATTGAATTTGGCCAATCAATACAAAGTTAACTGAGTTCAAATTTAGTGAAATTTAGTGAACTTTGTACTTATTGGTCAATTTTTAATTAAATCTCAATCTCCAATCCGTAGTCTCATATAGACTTAAGGCTGCATTCGGAAATACTGAAGGTACAGAGACATTTAAATGATTAAACTGGAGGACAGGAAAAGAGATATGTGAACTGGAGATAAAACTGACCAATCAGGATCAATCATGCCAAGAAATCACTTGATTGGTCTAATCATTAATTTCGATTCTCGATCTTCACTACGATATAGACTTCATGTTTGCAATTCTGTGAATCCCCTGTCTTTTGTTTAATAAAATTCGTCACAATGTGAATGACGCATTCCCGAGTGAGACTGATGTCATCAGTAGTTTGTACTTTATCGGCATTTCTTTAAGTTTAAAAATGTCTTGAAATTTAATATAAAACATTCTTCATTACGCAGAGTGAACGTAAGTACCCGTTAATTAACGAATAATTTTTGTAAGTAAAATGGAACAAGAGATATCAACATGATTGTGTCAATTATTCAGGTTATGCTTTATTATCTATAAAAAATTGATAAATGATACATCATAATTCTTCTAATAATTATATCTATAATAAATTTTCTTATTTGTTATTATCATAATATTTACTGTATTTCCTAAATAAAACGTGTATATGTATGTCTTTTCCTGTGCTTTTATAAAATTATTTCTAGGTCCATCCCAATATCTATATCCAGTGCAATTATTTTTAAATATATTTCTATCATGTCGCAACAAAAAAAAAAATCATTTCAGAAGGGAAAACAGGACCTCACATGTTTTCAGTAAGAAAAACAATGCTTTGATTATAAATATATATCTTTTCACTATTAATTATAAGAAATATACTTCTTATAAGGATTATATAAAATAATTT